ACCTCTTTAAATTTCCTGAGGCCATCTTAGCACATTTAAAATAGGCTATATCTGGCTATCCCGGCGTTAAATAACAAGCAGAAATCACAATGCTTGAATTTGTTTTATCAATGATGAGATTTTTATATGATGTTATATCCAATATGAGGCGTTCGTCCTCCTGACTTTTCTTCCAAAAATCAACAGAATTAATTTTAATCTTTTCCACAGATATTTACTTGCTTTCATGGCCTTTGTAATTCTAATATAGTTTGGCAGTGGTGTGTATCAGTGCTTTATGAAATTATTTCTTGATTCAAATTTATACTGATTTAGATAGCGCCATGTAAGTTAAGGTCAAAATTTTATAAAGGTCGATAAGACAGCTTGATCTGTGAAAAGCGATCATGCTTTGGGTACTGAAACCCACGCTTTACATCGCTAGTCAGCCTAACTAATGTCTCACATATGTCTAGCATGAAGATATCTGATATATTCCTGGATCATATCATCAAATGTTTTACATAAATTTTCATCAAAATACAACCAGTTGTTTACATTTGCTTCACATTTCATTTGATCCTCAATGATAACGACACACTACCATCATAATGACACCATTGAGTTTAGGTAGTAAACGTCGTATACAGACGGAAACGGGTAAGCTTAAATCGAAGTTATATCTATTAAATATTATCATGAATTTCAATCCGTTATGCGTTCTAGGAAAGAAATGTAGTTTTCTTCACAACTTTGGTATTATCACCACGCTAATCATGTCTACATAACTCGAACAGCGGTCAAGAAGAATGTCAGGCAAAAACAACAAAACTATTAAAAAAACTAGCTCGTTACAAGTCATTTAAGAAAAAGTCTGCAGTCTCTTTCGCCATATAAGGAAGTAATCTTGGGAGGCATTCGTCATATGAGGGAAAAGTCTGCAGTCTCTTTCGCCATATAAGGGAGTACTCTCGGGGCCTTTCCTCGTATGAGGGAATAGTCTGTAGTCTCATTCGCCATATAAGGGAGTACTCTCGGGGCCTTCATTTTTCTGTCTTCTCATTTAGTACCTCTTTTCATTTTCTTCTTTTTAAAATTTGTTAGAAACATTTACACTCAATGTACAAAATTTCTCATTAGTTATACAAAAGTATACACAGCGCAGCGAAGTTAAACTTCGAATTCGGTATATCTTAATTAATTCGTCAATGTAAAGACGAAGGTCAGAGTTCTAGCAGGTCGAAACTATGACGGAAGACAACTTTGCGTCAATGAGAGGCAGTCTAAGGGAAGTAACTGCGACTATTTTACCCTTTGATTGGAGTAAAATAATATAACTTGCCTTCAACATATGGCGATCTTCTACACAAGTCTTTATATCATCTTCACCAGAAGCTTTATTACAAAATACTGCTGGTCAGCTCCTTACTCGGGAAATCATCACATTAAGTGGTAGGTGTGATATACCCTGTGATATACCCGGTAGGTGTGATATATTCGTACATTTTATCGATTTACCTGTTTGAATCAGTTCGTCGATTGATTAATTTCCATTAGTGTCAGTAATCTATTGGAAAATGTTGGCATTCATTTTCCGTGAGTGTGCCAGTAGTCTATTAATAGATCTTACCATTCATTTTCCGTGAGTGTGCCAGTAGTATATGGAAAATTTTACCATTAATTTTCCATGAGTGTGTCAGTAGTCTATTAATAGATCTTGCCATTAATTTTCCATGAGTGTGCCATGCGAATACGTATTGATTTGAAAACCTTTTTGAAGTATTCCAAAATCCACAATTAATATATTCCACTTCCAAGAGTACACACTTGGTATCATACTAACACTATAACCACAATTCTGTAGTATTCAGAATGGTAGTAAAATGCTTGGAAAGGTTTAGTTGAACACCTAGACAAGCCAAATATGGAACATTTGTTTGCAATATAAACATGGAAAGTATGTATCCTATTAACCCGAAATGATTAGTCAGTATTGGAGAGAATATGTCAGTAGGGTAATGTAAAGGAAGGTATTCAAGGACACCAAGAGGTAATGTGAATTGTCAGAAAACAGCAGATAGAGCCCCAGTTCATTTCTTATATAATTTTACAAGAATTAGTGAGTCTCTGGTGAGTTTAAATGAAGTAAAGTTTTGCAGACACAATTGATTTAGAAACCAATTTAAGATCCCTTTTATCCCATGATAAATTATTTCTGTAAATCTTATATATAACTTTCTTTTCCCAGTCATTATTTAAGTTATCCTTGCTCTATATCAGTGGTTTCTATTAAGACATCATAATGCAATCTGGGAATGTATGACATACATTCTGTAATATCATTTCCTGATGTTACTAAAGGTCACATAATGTAAGTTCATACACAAAAACATCACATGGACATATTTATGGGATAAAATGTTTTACTCTAAAAAAATTATCCTTCTTAATAATACATACCATTAAATCAGACTACTACAGATTGTGTGTATCAGGACAGGTGTGTATAGCAGTGTTGATACAGCGGACAAATGGTGTGTATCAGGACAGGTGTGTATAGCAGTGTTGATACAGTAGACAAATGGTATGTAACAGGACAGGTGTGTATAGCAGTGTTGATACAGTAGACAAATGGTATGTATCAGGACAGGTGTTTATAGCAGTGTTGATACAGTAGACAAATGGTATGTATCAGGACAGGTGTTTATAGCAGTGTTGATACAGCGGACAAATGGTGTGTATCAGGACAGGTGTGTATAGCAGTGTTGATACAGCGGACAAATGGTGTGTATCAGGACAGGTGTGTATAGCAGTGTTGATACAGCGGACAAATGGTGTGTATCAGGACAGGTGTGTATAGCAGTGTTGGTACAGTAGACAAATGGTGTGTATCAGGACAGGTGTGTATAGCAGTGTTGATACGGACAAGGATTTACAGCAGTGTTGATACAGCGGACAAATGGTGTGTATCAGGACAGGTGTGTACAGCAGTGTTGGTACAGTAGACAAATAGTATGTATCAGGACAGGTGTGTATAGCAGTGTTGATCAGGACTAGGGTGTACAGCAGTGTTGATACAGCGGACAAATGGTGTGTATCAGGACAGGTGTGTATAGCAGTGTTGATCAGGACTAGGGTGTACAGCAGTGTTGGTACAGTAGACAAATGGTGTGTATCAGGACAGGTGTGTATAGCAGTGTTGATCAGGGATGGGGTGTACAGCAGTGTTGATACGGTAGACAAATGGTGTGTATCAGGACAGGTGTGTATAGCAGTGCTGATCAGGGATGGGGTGTACAGCAGTGTTGATACAGTAGACAAATGGTGTGTATCAGGACAGGTGTGTATAGCAGTGTTGATCAGGACTAGGTTGTACAGCAGTGTTGATACAGTAGACAAATGGTGTGTATCAGGACAGGTGTGTATAGCAGCAGTGTTGATCAGGGATGGGGTGTACAGCAGTGTTGATACAGTAGACAAATGGTGTGTATCAGGACAGGTGTGTATAGCAGTGTTGATCAGGACTAGGGTGTACAGCAGTGTTGATACAGTAGACAAATGGTGTGTATCAGGACAGGTGTGTATAGCAGTGTTGATCAGGGATGGGGTGTACAGCAGTGTTGGTACAGTAGACAAATGGTGTGTATCAGAACAGGTGTGTATAGCAGTGTTGATCAGGGATGGAGTGTACAGCAGTGTTGGTACAGTAGACAAATGGTGTGTATCAGGACAGGTGTGTATAGCAGTGTTGATACAGTAGACAAATGGTGTGTATCAGGACAGGTGTGTATAGCAGTGTTGATACAGTAGACAAATGGTGTGTATCAGGACAGGTGTGTATAGCAGTATTGATCAGGACAGGTGTGTATAGCAGCAGTGTTGATCAGGGATGGGGTGTACAGCAGTGTTGATACAGTAGACAAATGGTGTGTATCAGGACAGGTGTGTATAGCAGTGTTGATCAGGACTAGGGTGTACAGCAGTGTTGATACAGTAGACAAATGGTGTGTATCAGGACAGGTGTGTATAGCAGTCAGGGATGGGGTGTACAGCAGTGTTGGTACAGTAGACAAATGGTGTGTATCAGAACAGGTGTGTATAGCAGTGTTGATCAGGGATGGAGTGTACAGCAGTGTTGGTACAGTAGACAAATGGTGTGTATCAGGACAGGTGTGTATAGCAGTGTTGATACAGTAGACAAATGGTGTGTATCAGGACAGGTGTGTATAGCAGTGTTGATACAGTAGACAAATGGTGTGTATCAGGACAGGTGTGTATAGCAGTATTGATCAGGACTAGGGTGTACAGCAGTGTTGATACAGTAGACAAATGGTGTGTATCAGGACAGGTGTGTATGGCAGTGTTGATCAGGGATGGGGTGTACAGCAGTGTTGGTACAGTAGACAAATGGTATGTATCAGGACAGGTGGGTATAGCAGTGTTGATACAGTAGACAAATGGTGTGTATCAGGACAGGTGGGTATAGCAGTGTTGATCAGGACTAGGGTGTACAGCACTTTTGAGACTGAAGACAGGTGGTTGGCTTAAATGAATTGATACATCATCTCATCGAGGCTACGTTTTTAACTACATGTAAAACATAAATGTGATGTTTGGAAAAATGTTGTGTTAGAGTGTTCTACAAATAAATCCCAAGTAAACAGTATGATAAATCAGGTAATATTTTATTATCACAGATCAACACCTGACATACATAAGTAAATCCTTGTAACAGAGCTAATTGTTTATATCTAAGATGTCCTTGGAGACATCCCCAACAACTGTATACAGTTCATTAGCCATTTCCTGTAATGTCTCTACAAGATGTCTCCAATATCTAACATTCTGAAATATAAAGTTATGATACCTCATTCTCTACATAGAGCAGTAAAGTAAAAAGTATGATGTTTTGGCAACTTTCCACAATGCACATTCTCTTAATCATACAGTTCCAAAAATATTACCATGGTAATACCTCTTCTTGATCTACGATTTTTTGCAAAATTCTTGTAACATCAACACAATATTTTAACCTCTTCTTTATACATAAATTAGAATTTTTGAGCATATGTTTGACAAAAGTTTATACTGTCTTAAGATTGCGAGGGTTCATTCTTTACGGAGTTCTCTTCTACTGGCTCCTGCTGAGATTGTTCCTCCTGGGGCTGAGTTTCTGGAGGGGTTATCTCCACATGTGGATATCCTTGGTTAGAAGGCGCCACTTGTGAAGGTGGGATCACCAGGGAAGGGGCACCTTGGGGAATTGGTATCCCCTTTGTAGAGTCAGCCTGTGGTGAGTCTGTCTCTGGGGATTGTGGTGTGATGTCACCAAGTCGAGTGTATAAAGCACTCTTCATGGCATTGAGAACGGTTATGGAAGCAAGGAGACACATGGCAGTATCCTCATATCCTTGGTCCTGGAAAAGCTCCACCAGACTGTCCCACTGTACAGATGTTGTATGGGAGTCATCTAAGACTGCTGCCTGGAATTGGTTAATCTGTGGATCATCTGAGGAGAAAAAATATTAGCAGTCAATAATAAGGATAAGCTGAGGGACATAGAGGTTCCAGTCAATAACAAGGGTAAGCTGAGGGACATAGTGGTTACAGTCAATAACAAGGGTAAGCTGAGGACATAGGGGTTACAGTCAATAACAAGGGTAAGCTGAGGGACATAGAGGTTACAGTCAATTACAAGGGTAAGCTGAGGGACATAGAGGTTACAGTCAATTACAAGGGTAAGCTGAGGGACATAGGGGTTACAGTCAATAACAAGGATAAGCTGAGGGACATAGGGGTTACAGTCAATAACAAGGGTAAGCTGAGGGACATAGGGGTTACAGTCAATTACAAGGGTAAGCTGAGGGACATAGGGGTTACAGTCAATTACAAGGATAAGCTGAGAGACATAGAGGTTACAGTCAATAACAAGGGTAAGCTGAGGGACATAGGGGTTACAGTCAATTACAAGGGTAAGCTGAGGGACATAGAGGTTACAGTCAATTACAAGGGTAAGCTGAGGGACATAGAGGTTACAGTCAATAACAAGGTTAAGCTGAGGAACAAAGGGGTTACAGTCAATAACAAGGGTAAGCTGAGGACATAGGGGTTACAGTCAATTACAAGGGTAAGCTGAGGGACATAGAGGTTACAGTCAATAACAAGGGTAAGCTGAGGGACATAGGGGTTACAGTCAATAACAAGGATAAGCTGAGGGACATAGGGGTTACAGTCAATAACAAGGGTAAGCTGAGGACATAGGGGTTACAGTCAATAACAAGGGTAAGCTGAGGGACATAGAGGTTACAGTCAATAACAAGGGTAAGCTGAGGGACAAAGGGGTTACAGTCAATTACAAGGATAAGCTGAGGGACATAGGGGTTACAGTCAATAACAAGGATAAGCTGAGGGACAAAGGGGTTACAGTCAATTACAAGGGTAAGCTGAGGGACAAAGGGGTTACAGTCAATAACAAGGATAAGCTGAGGGACAAAGGGGTTACAGTCAATTACAAGGGTAAGCTGAGGGACATAGGGGTTACAGTCAATAACAAGGTTAAGCTGAGGAACAAAGGGGTTACAGTCAATAACAAGGGTAAGCTGAGGACATAGGGGTTACAGTCAATTACAAGGGTAAGCTGAGGGACATAGAGGTTACAGTCAATAGAGGTTACAGTCAATTACAAGGGTAAGCTGAGGGACATAGAGGTTACAGTCAATAACAAGGGTAAGCTAAGGGCAAAGGGGTTACAGTCAATTACAAGGATAAGCTGAGGGACATAGGGGTTACAGTCAATAACAAGGATAAGCTGAGGGACAAAGGGGTTACAGTCAATTACAAGGGTAAGCTGAGGGACAAAGGGGTTACAGTCAATAACAAGGATAAGCTGAGGGACAAAGGGGTTACAGTCAATTACAAGGGTAAGCTGAGGACATAGAGGTTACAGTCAATAACAAGGTTAAGCTGAGGAACAAAGGGGTTACAGTCAATTACAAGGGTAAGCTGAGGACATAGAGGTTACAGTCAATAACAAGGGTAAGCTGAGGGACATAGTGGTTACAGTCAATAACAAGGATAAGCTGAGGACATAGGGGTTACAGTAAATAACAAGGGTAAGCTGAGGGACATAGGGGTTACAGTCAATAACAAGGATAAGCTGAGGGACATAGTGGTTACAGTCAATAATACCCGGTTATGGTCAACTTCGGACAGTTACAGCCAAAAACAGGTGTCATCTGGGGGACAAAACAGTTCTAGTCAATAACAAGGGTTACCTGGGGGACAAGACAGTTACAGTAAATAACAAGGGTTATCTGGGGACAAAACAGTTATAGTCAATAACAAGGATTATCTGGGGGACAAGACAGTTACAGTCAATAACAAGGGTTACCTAGGGGACAAAACAGTTACAGTCAATAACAAGGGTTACCTGGGGGACAAAACAGTTATAGTCAATAACAAGGGTTATCTGGGGGACAAGACAGTTACAGTCAATAACAAGGGTTACCTAGGGGACAAAACAGTTACAGTCAATAACAAGGGTTACCTGGGGGACAAAACAGTTACAGTCAATAACAAGGGTATCTTGGGAAGGAGACAGTTACAGTAAATTACTGTCAAATTTGAAGCTGACATTTATACAGCCATGAATCAACAAGTTAATCAGTTGTTGACTTGGGATATAGAACCTATATGTAAAATACATATTTACTGTTTTATGCACACTTACCAATTGATGGTCGTTTCTGTAGGTCCTGTATGAAAGGCAGAACTAGGTTATACTGGTTCTTCTCGAGTACTACCAGTAACACCAAACCAATTGGCAGGGCTCGGCTACCATCACCATCCTCTTCCACAAGAGCATGCATCAGTTGAACAGATGGACAGATCCGAAGAACAGACATGAACTGATCACGTGTGAATGGCATCTTGTGTCGAGCATAGTCCATGCCAGCATGAATGCGTCCCTGTTTCAGCAGACACACCACAGTCTGGCGATGGAGCTGCAACTTGCTGAACACATTCTGGGCAAGAGCTTGACTCCCGCACCGACAAGGCACCTTACACTTACAGTGAGCACTGATTCGCTCCCCTAGATCCTCTGACAGAGTCAGTCTGCAACATGTACAAAATGCTCCAAGTTAGAACAAGAAATAACATACATGTCTATATTCCAAAAATTTTCAAGATTATATTAAACGACTATTGCAGAACTTTTCTTGCGGTTTGTAGTATCAATAGAATTGAAGTTTTTATAACATCACCAGAAGAAGGTTTTTCGATGACTACAATGTCACTTTCATCTAACAAATGGCCAGTGTGAAGTGTACTAGCAGTGATGTATGTAATGTACGAGATGGTCAAAATATTGGCACAGGACAACTTTGCAAACAAGATCTAAATGTATGTCGTGTTTTACATAAATAATAAAAACAGGTAAAACAAAAACCCAAACTGACCTTTCCTGTGAGATCCAGTGAGACAAGAGGTCAAGTCTGTTCTCACCCAGGGCACACTCGACACATTCCAATGACAGTGTATCATTAGGCTTCATGCCAATAGCCCCCACAGATGACATCACTGCCTCGCTGAAAGCCAGGAGTGGTGACCGACCGTTTACCTGGACCTTTACATCTGAAACCCGGTGTATAAAATGTCATATTAGTGTGAATTTTTACTGTAATGAAACCTGACCAATCTGACCCTTGTCACATATGTCCTAAACCAGTTGGTATGAATCTACAAGATGTAGGATCAGACAGGTTTCACTTTTCATCCTTAAAATCAATTAATGTAGAATGACATAAATCTAAGTTACACTTTGAACCAATCTTACAAATTTTTGACGTTACCTCTGAACTTGGCGAGTGTGGCAGATGTCCTTAGGATTCCCTTAGGACTGTTAGCAGCGTGTATGGCTGCCTCCTCATATTTTCCATCCTCAAAAAGCTCATTAAATTTCTCTATGTACTCCAGCATCATCTCCGCTTCCTTCTCCCTATTTGGATCATCATCATCGAAGGACGATTTGGATGCTGCAGCTGCTGATCCTTCCCTTCCCTCTGCCTGGTTCTGGTCTGGGGCGAGCTCTGTATATTGTCAACAGATTGGTATATTTGCATTGCATATCCCCCACTACAGTACCAAAAACTTGGAAAACATGTTATTCCATACATAATGTAACAATTCATTTTTTAATAATTCATGGTGTAGGTATGATTTATATTGATGACTATTTAACAAGGATCCACAAATCTGGCACATAATGATTTAAGATATACTTTTAACATAAATGTATGAAATGACCTGAATAATACTTTCTTTATGATGAAATATGTGTACAAAGTTTTGACTTTACCATAAAGATTGAGAATTACCACAAAGGTTTCTTACATAGTGAATGGCATAAAATATATAACACTGATAGTTAAAAAAAATCACTTTAGAATTGCATTCCAAACAAGAATTTAAAAAACCTTGATCATCAGAATATTCTGTCACTAAATCAACAATAAAACAAACAGGTAAAATCTTCTTTTAGAATTTGTTTCAGAACTTAAGACAAATAAATCTTCGTCAATTGCCTATATTTACAAGCTATTGTCTACGATTGCCAATAGTGCACTGATTATTGTCTGTCATAGCCAATTGCACTAACTATTGTGCCTGACAAAGCCAAGACTGTACTAACTATTGTAATTATTGCCAATGTTTTACTAGACATTACCACTATAAACTACAGCTATCTGAAAGCTTTATTATGATTTTGTCCTCTCTAGTCTTTACTGACTTTATCATGCTCCCTATCCTAAAGACTTTCTGTGGGAAGGTCCCTTATAACATCTGTAATCATAACCCACCACAGACTCATCCCTATCCTAAAGACTTTCTGCAGGAAGGTTCCTTATAACATCTGTAATCACAACCCACCACAGACTCATCCCCGCCCTAAAGACTTTCTGCGAGAAGGTCCCTTATAACATCTGTAATCACAACCCACCACAGACTCATCCCTGTCCTAAAGACTTTCTGTGGGAAGGTCCCTTATATCATCTGTAATCACAACCCACCACAGACTCATCCCTGTCTTAAAGACTTTCTCCGGGAAGGTCCCTTATAACATCTGCAATCACAACCCACCACAGACTCATGTAGATATTAGTGACAACAATTTTCATTTACAAAACATTTATAAAACTATTGGATTTTATGTTGCTTTTCATATTCTGGTCTGAACCTCAGTGTATGGTTTAATGTAAACCCATGTTAGTTGATTTTCACAAGTGACAACATCCAGAGATAAACAAGTGGACACAAACAAATGGGTTTCTGATACGGACTTACACATGTACAACTTCATATGGTGAATATATAGTGTGTAAATCTCATGGATACAAACTGTAAAGGAAGTTACTGATGATTTGTACCATCAGTATGGCTCCATCATTACACTGTAATGCACGATTATCTCAGCCAGTAAAACATGGTATGATGAGTTGTCTCCCATTAACTTATTCAAGATTGAACACTGTGAACCCCAATAATGTTAAAAGTTCACACGTACAGAAACTTATGAAAGGTACCATGTAACAGGTGACAAAATAACATCAGATAATAAATTGGCTGACCAGTGGCCTATAATAAACTGGCTGACCAGTGGCCTATAATGAATTGGCTGACCAGTGGCCTATAATAAATTGGATGACCAGTGGCCTATTGTTGTAGAAGTATACATTGTGCTGTACTAAATCTAGTATTACATAATACTGAGACACTGAAATTGATTGCCTAAGCAGCTCGCTGTTTGTAACATTTCTGAGTCATATCAACATGCTCTCCAAGACGTTTTACAGGCTGTGTGTTAATTTCAGTGATGGGAAATTACTTCAGTGAAACATAAACAACAGTGAATGTTGAACTCAGAACATCAACTTTCCAACAAAAAACTACATATTACACAAATGGCTATAGGGTACCTGTTAAATCAACACCAGCATTATATCTGTAATTCAGACGGTTACCTGCAAGCAAAACCAGGCCAAGCAGTGTTACAGGCAATAACTGGATATCAACAAAAACGAGTCAGTTGAAACTAAAAATTAACCTGTAATCCTGATATACAAGCACTCCATACAGATACCAGTAAACTACACCCCATATAAATCACTCAATGTACAGTTATTATATCCTCTTCACCAAGTATACATCATATCTCCCCCATTTCTCCTTACACCATCGCAATCACGTTCTTACCATTTGCTGATCGTTTGACAGTCAAGCGTTTCACTTTACGTTTGACTTAATAAAAAAAAGATAATTATTTTTTCATGTTTAACAAAACAAAGACATAGAACAATGTATAGTACAGTAAAACTATTGCTCAGAAATATAGTTTTCTCCATTTCTACAGAAATAAAACACATAACCTACTCTAACTACTCCAATGCACTCAGATCTAACAAGTTTGGATAGGAAGTGATGTTGTGGTGATCAACAGTTCATTACAGTCTAAATCCAGACAATTATTTGTAGCTTTCATCAGACATTTGAGTGACCACAACATGAAAACTTGATATCCAGAACACTAGCTCCTCCATTTTGCAGAGAGATAATTGATTTTGTAAACTTCTGATTTCATATCATGTTTGATATTTGAAACATATATGCACCTAATACAAATAGAATGTTCTTCCATGTGAAAATACTAACATGCTGTCTGAATTTTCACATATCTTTCACTAATTGTTTTTGCAAATCTTTTCAGATTTTGAAACCCTTTCAATTCAATTCAATTTCAATTGAAAATCTGACATATCTTAAGATTTTTTTTCATTTAATTTTCATTCAGAAACTGATTACTTTTCAAGAGAAAAGATGACTTTATTGAGCAGAAAAATATTGTTTCAAATGAGTTTGAAAAAAAAAAGTGTATAAACTTATTAGAGCAAGACTCCACTGAATGCCTCGAAGAAGACCATGACAAGTTTCTCACCTACATCTAACCATTCTCTACTTGTGGGTTTCTTTATTTATCATTGACCTATATTTTTTACTTCTGTTATGAAATCAGGAATTTAATCCTCCATAGATAACAACTGCATAGCTGTACTGAAACAATATGAAAATCACCGATTTCTTTTTGAAAGATGCACATCCTTCCATAATTCTTTTGTGATTCCATAATGCTCCATTCTGTTTGATAGACAAAACCTTAAGTTATTTTCAAATGTCATCAGCAAGTACTGTGTAACTACACTGACTAAGAAGCAATGGACATGTTGTAGGAATGATTATCTAACCAGTAACACATAGAATGCAGCATGAGACATACGTTACATGAAAACTCTATAATACGAAATTCAACGAGTCATTAGTCACTTCAATTCCACATCAAAATCAATGGTGAATATTCTACAAAAAAATGAGTTTTTGCATAAAGTTTTATTGTCATTTATGTATTACATTAAATGTTATAGCTGAACACTTAGCACCAAAATAAACACGAGTATCATCAGAACTGAAAAATGCTCCCCAAAATCACTTTGTTGGAAATCAAACTTTAACAAAGGGCAAAAATTCTGTAAATAAGGGGTTTCAGACACTGAATTTGGTACACTGCACGTCCTCTTAGCATAGTCATTGTATACACCAAGTGTCATTACACTAGTTTAAATGAAAGCAAAGTTAGTGTACGCTCTGGACACAAAATTTTAGCAATGTACAATAACTTTAAAGGTTGCTGGGCCTTAATTTGGTACACTGCATATTGTCTATGTATGATGAATGTACATACCCAGTTTCACTATTGTAGTGTAAATGTAAACAATTTAAACTTGTGCTCAGAATACAAAATTTAAAACAAAGGGCAATAACCCTGTAATAAAGGGGTTGTGGGACCTCAATTTGTTACGCTGCACATCGTCTTAGAATAACCAATGTATACACCAAGTTTCATTATCCTTGTTCAAATGCAAAGACACAAAATTTTAACAAAGTGCCATAACTCAGGGTGGGGCTGCAAGCTCCTACTTTGGTACAATGCATAATGCCTTAGTATGACAAATGTATACATCAAGTTACATGATCCTTGCTTTGCTGTGGGCAAAGGTATGCTCTAGACACAAAAGAATGGATGGATGGGTGGACAAACTGGCAATTATATACTGCCCCCCCCCCACCCCCACATCCCCCCGAAAATTTTCGTGGAGCATACAAATGGTGACTAGTGGTCTTACCAAATTGATCCCAATTTCATCATATTTGTGTGGGAAATTCTTGACAAAAATATGTGGAGACTTTTTTTTTTAATCTAAGCTATATAACACTGAAAAAGAGAGCTGAAGACACTAAGAGTGATCCCTGTATGTCATTTTGTGATACTAACATTAGTTGATTAATACATCTAGAACACCAGAATTGCAAACATTTACACAGATCTAATTAAAACAACAAACATTTTTGTTTACACATACAAATGGTCAGTAGTTCTAACAGAAGTTATGGTAATTGAATTCTGTGTTACAAGAATTAGTTGTCCTGTTTAGCAGGATGTAATATTGAGAGATCAAGAATCACTTAAGGGTACCAAATTGCATATAAATATTGCAATACAAACACTCTAAATTTAAAAATGGATTGATTACTATCAACTCTATTAATGGATCTTTGTACAACAAAGATTGAAGAATATTTTTTGAAGCTATAAAGATGATAATATTTTACCTTTTTCCTGAATCTGCAGACCAGCTGCATGTGAGAGTGCAAAGAAAACAGCATCACCCACAGTTTGATGTGGGGGTTTCACTCGATTGTAAGCCTGGGCAGCCTCTACTGCTATTTTTAGACGATGCTGCTTTGCTCGGTACAGTTGACCTTGGAGGGCAAGTTGATCTCTATAAAGAACCTTTTCATCCAGCTTCTCTTTAAGCTCAACCTTGTAGGATTTCTCTACATATCTTGTTCTTAAACTGATATCTAGTTCCTTCAGCTGACGGTCAAGCTTCTCTAAGTCTCGATACAACAACGACACATTTGTAGACTCCTCTAGTGTTAACCCTGTCACAAGACATCAGAAATATGAAATCAGCATCATCAATCACATGTACATATGTATGTACATGCATCTATATATAAACATACATGTAATAAATTGAAACACATTTATAAATAAAGACTATCTTTTTACTGGCACCCACTTCAGGCCATAAAACTCGTTAACTTTAGCACTATGTTGTCAAACCAAAGATTGATCTGCAACTCTTAATAACAAGAGTTTTGATGTAAAAAAAAATCAATAACATGAATTGATCTCTTGATTATATATCAATTATGGGATCATATTGAATAGACAATGGATAGCACAACCAACATGCACTGAAAGTTCAACTTTTATTGCATTAAGTAAATTATACAGTATGTTGAACTACCCGGTAAAAGTTGCTGGTAAAGAAACTAACCAGGTATCAAACGATGATCCTTCCTGAATTCTCGTTTCGGTGGCTCAGTTACCTGCCTTTCAAATTCTTCATGTTCCTTACGTTTGGCTTTTAAATTCAGCAGCTGTTTTTGGAGTCTGTCATTATCTTTTTCAATGATACCAATCCTATTTATAGCAATGAAAAATGATTAATTTACAATCATAATTTCAATTTGACATTCTTTTTACATCTATAATCAGAGATACAATGATGGTGACTGTTCATGATTACAAGGTAATGTATTTGATTATTTATCTATATATAGTAATGTAAATAGGACAGGGTACTGTTTATGAGAAGTATATATGTTAAGTTAGTAATCCATCAGATCCTACCATACTATGGTATCAAAACAGGAATAAAGGGTGATTACTCTGTATATATAGGAACATACATCCTAATGACAGAATGCAGAATGCTGCAATCTCAACAAAAATGACAATTTAGGCAATATTAGATATATGATGGAACAAATTGCTGCACAGTGAAGAAACGGCCATAATTCTTCAAAAGTTCACTTTTTTTCTGGTGATATATTTTAAAAAGTTAGATAACCGATAGTATTTTTAAAGAAAATAAATATGTTGCGGCACTTCTTTTACCACTACAGGTGTCAGAATACATGTCATAGGAAATATGCATTTTAGCTTAACTTTTGCTGATATTTCTTTGTGAATAACAACAATTCTTAGTTATTTTCAAGACAATCTTTGTTTTCAGCAAATTTCTTTTCTCATCAAAATGCAATAATATGATAACTTCCGTAGTCCTCTTAAGCATAGCATTGGAGCTGGGAGATATATACATAAGTAACCTCATTCATTCATTGAATCATCACTTACATTAATGTTTTCCCAAACAGACACAGTTATACATTTTTAGTATATACTGCACTTAGTTAAAAATAATATTGTAGATTATATAATTATAGAACAATCCTTCCATTATCCCACATTTAAACTGGGATACACTGGATATATACCTTTCCTCTAATTCATCTCCTCTTTTTTTGTAATTCCTGATGGTTGAAGGTTCTGAGGCCATAGCCTTGAGTTTGCCATGAAGAAAGACAGCCTCTCTCTGTCCTGATTTGATCACCTCAATGGTGTCCTCATACTCCTTCTTCACTGCTGTCAGCAGAGGTTTATAAGCCTTCACATGTTCAATAATCTTCAAAAAATAAAAGTAAGGAAAGGCATACATTAACTTTTTTTTATCCCAGGCATTCATTACAGTGGTTTTACTACAGACAGATGTACAAACTTTACCTTTGTTTGACATTCAATTGTTATTTATAATTCAATATTGTCCAATAGAATTGTTAAACAAATCTGTGATAATGCATAAAAAATAATCCCTTCACATAAATGTCCTACAGGGATTGAGATGGTCTGATAAATAGATCTTTCTTACCCTATTGAAAACAGTCTTAAAGATGATATAGCGCTGTTCATCTTCTTCAGTATTGATCCTGGCCATCTCATAGTCAATGTACTCACTGAGATCCTGAAGGAAACGCCTGTCAACCTCATTTGTAATGATAGGTGGTATCTTGGGGTACTTTGTGGTGGGAGTGGAGGATCTTGACGACATTCTATAATATAAATAAATCTGATATATACATATACAAGTAAACAAGACATTAAGAAGACAATAATGTTATTCTTTATTTACTTCAACCTGTAATCTTGTCATTGGGTCTACTTTATCAAAGTCACTCAAAAGTACCAGGTAAGTTATCAGTATAATAAGTCACCAGAAATAGCCTCTTAAACATTATAAGAAACAGAGTTGTTTTTTTTATTACTAATTTCAGTGTCTCCACTAGTGATTGAGTCTGGGATCTCTCCTACTCTGGTTTACTAGCCTCATAGTCAATTGATCAATCTAACAAGAAGCCCTCCCCAGCCCAGAATTTACATCAACCGCTATTCTTTTCTTGGAAAGAATCTGTCCTGGTGTTTTGCGATGGTAACAGCAACCCCCAGCTTGAAACAACAAATGTAGTCTTATGTATCCTCAACATATCTAAGTGAAGATGTCTCTATCTGACAGGTGTATTACAGTTAGTATTTATCTGTGTTATATTCATTACAATGAATAGTAAATTAAAGGTCCCCATTCCCTGTGTTATCAATGTGCATGTATATGGTGCCTCTGTATAACTGTAATTGTCAGTGTGCTGAACATATGACTGTCAATGTGCTGAACATATGACTGTCAATGTGCTGAACATATGACTGTTGCAATGTGTACAATCAAGTGTGAGCTTTATAACCTTTTCCTCCATCATAACATGCGTTTGAGATGCACTGGTGGCAGGAGATAATGTTGATTGGGTAAGTTATTTCCCAACCATGGCAGGTTTATTTTTCTACATGGGTTTCCCTCCAACGTTCAAATAATATTTGCTCTGTACAGTAGAGTACTGTACAACTTTTGCTTATCTCTGAACATGATATAAAATGGTATAATTTTCAGTTAACTACTGAACTAGAATATGAAAGAAAAACAAAATACTAATAGATGATTTGTCATGATCTGAAGTCAAGAGCTTTTACAAAGTGCAAGTTACCATTGATGATATATAAACTCTTGAGTATATGAGTAAACTTCTCTCATTAAGCCTACTGTACAGTGCTAGACTATCAATTTTTCAGTCCTAGTCTTCCGTTTGGATATTTTCAGAACGTAGCAGAGTAATGCAAATTGATAAAATCGGAACTGCTTTTATTTACCTTTATGTGTTTGAAAATATCTGCCAAAGATGACCTGAATAAAAATGCACAGCGAAATCCCTACGCATATATATCAATACATCAAGGGCACCGACTCGCTGACGGTAGTCGCCATTTTCAAACAACTCGTAGATAGGAAGTGACGTCACAAATACGGGCATTTTCAAGATGGAAGAGATCGGCTTAACACAAGAAAAGGTATTCATAACAATAGATATGCATATGTGTCTTTGTGAGACTTTCTGTGTTAAAACTCAAGTAAGAAATAACAATAATCATGTCATATTCTATAAGATACGTTTACATGTTTGATACGTTGTTCAATTCATCAGTTTCAAATAGAGCTGCGATACTGCAGTGTCATAGCACCCCCCCTTTCTTGCCGGTCAGGCTATAGAGGTAAATTTGGCTGTAAATTAAAAATCAAATCTGACTTAATGTATAAAGGGCAAATGCAAACATACAGATGATGGGACCTGGTCACATTTCTGTCGCGCAGATCGCAGGATAGTTGACGAATCGGGTATATCATTGAGAGGAATATTTATGGCCGGTTTAACCATTTTATGTTGAATCTTTCTTAAATTTCATCGTTGAAATTTTGCAATATCAACGTACACCTCCAGTGTAGTAGGAAAATATCTATCGGGGCAATCCAACATTAGGTCATTCACTCACTGTCTCGTCTGCAGATAAGCATCCCTGTTGAAGGACTCGCGGCTATTGCTGGGAAAATTGGGAAAAGGCCCACTTATAGGTGAAACTGGGAAAAGAACATCGACATATTGGCAAAATATTTCTATGAACAAAAATACATAAGTTTTTTTTGTTTATTCAAACTGCTTTTAATGAATTATAAAGGTAGAATTATGATTTTCTTTTGTGCCTAAAATTACTGACTAGAATGTATATAGGGCCTCATCACACAAGTCTGCAGGACCCTCATAAACACAACTGAAATATGTTTTATGAAGATGGAACAATGTTCATCAACTCTACTGGCCTACTGGTTCCTATTTGTCAGTTTGAACTGAAACACTTGGTTCCAGTTTGTCCAACTTTTTAAAGAAATCAAGTATTCTGCAGTTGTTTGCATCTTTTTTCCTTAAAGATTTCACATAACCTGCATAATGCTTGGTATTATGGGAGGAGATGATGACAGACAACCACCATCACAATATGCAATGTTAATTAGATGCTTTGCAAAGGCACTTTGGCAAAAAACATATTTTCAAGTGCTTCTGTGACATGTCTTGAAAACTATATATAGGTCAAGATGACATTTTGTATTTTCATGACATGAGATTTTGTTTTCCAAGCAGATTGTCAACAAACAATGATAACATGCACTTAACATTTTCTCTTTCTAAAGATTTTATTTTGGTAATAAGCATACTTTTAGGGTTCAAATATGCATCATCATCAGGCTTGGGGGAGGGGGGGGTGTTATATTTTGAAATTGGGAAAATTGAAGCCTAAATCTCATTGGGAACGGGTACATATATCAGCCCCCAAGACACCTCAGAAAAAGCCTTGCTGAATCAACCACTATATGTTATTGCATTGTATTTAAGCTAATAGCCTTGATATTTAAAGTTCAACACAAGTTACAACTGCCAAGATTCATAGAAACATACCTGTCAAAGACTGCAAATGGCATAATTTAGCAGGTTAAATGAGATCTTGGACTGTCATCGCTTTCAGAAATCAACAGCTGGAAGTTTACAATGAAGCCCAATTTCTCACATATAAAATTAGGGGAAAACCCTGTTATTTTACACCTGTCCAAATCTGACCGAAATCCATTAAAGTGTTAAAACTGTACCTTTTCGTAAAGCCAAATAAATACAGATTTCTTTCATTTGTTACCAATTTGAAATTTCAACCCCCAGAGGACACAATCTTTTAACAAATCTCAATTGAGATAGGGAGTCTTTAAGTAGATGATGCAGAATCCCTGTTGCTTATTGGCTGATTAGGTTGTGCCAGTCCTGAAACAGATTGGGGTCACAAATATGCTTCTAGTCGAAAGGGTTCCATGTATCTATGCGTGATTCTATTTTTGTCTGGGTTGTGGTCAATATGTGACCAGATGAAAATGAATTGGCTGACATATAGTCAGACAAGTGTATGTTTATTGAGTTTGTAGTCATATATTTTCTTGGGTTTGGGTGTGATGCTAATGATGGCACATATTTTTGGGTGAAAGATCAAAAGCGTCTGCAAAGAGTCTCAGTATACTGTACTTTAAAAACATGAAAATTTATCAATATAGACTACATGTATAAATAAATGCTTTTCGTAATTTATTATTTTGAAGGAGGATTCTACAGTCACAGAGTCCAGGCCGGGGACTTCACAGACGACTAGTCATTTTGACTCACTTGATGTAGATGTGGAGGATCTATATGTCAAATACAAAGTAAGGATATGTTACAAAGCTATCGATAGATAAATTTCAACTGTGGTGATGCATAAATAAATCATTTTTAGCTGTTCACCATCTGTGAAACTGTTGATACTTGGCTCATTGCTAGTATGTATGTTGTTCAGACTTATGTAGTTTCCTTACAGGCAACAAATACTTCTATTAAGAACTGCATGTATGTAAATTGAAATTTGGATGTGTAATATAGCATTCACATCAGAGTTTTCCATCAAAGGAGGCAGAAGGCCAATCTGATTATTAATATGACTACCTTAAAGTTGTATTAGCTTGCTGAATTCATTGCTTTTCTCAATGATTTTGTATATAATTATCATGTATTTAAAAACTTTTTTTTAGTCTAATTTCAATACAAAAGATTTAAGCTACTGTGCTCTTTATACAGAAGTAATCTACCAAAATATTCAGGATTTCTTTATTTTGAATTGATGCTCTCCTGCATGTATTGTAATATCTTTGGTTTCATAGAAATTAAAACGACAACTAGAGTTTTTGGAGGTACAAGAAGAATATATTAAAGATGAACAGAAAAACTTGAAGAAGGAATATTTACATGCCCAAGAGGAAGTAAAGAGAATTCAGAGTGTGCCTCTGGTCATTGGTCAGTTCTTAGAAGCTGTTGACCAAAACACAGGAATAGTTGGATCAACTACAGGTATGCACATTGAAATGTTAAGATTGTATAATACTTTTTGGCTGAAACAATATTTCTAGGATGTTGGCCACATGAGAATTAAATGTAAAAAGTTTTAAATGGATATTTCTTATCAGCGGCTGTAATGCTTAGAAATAATGTTTAATGAAAATTGTCACAAAAGTCACAAATTATTATTTCTGTATTCAATATTGTTGGCAATTGTTCTTGTCAAGTCACAAATCGTTATTTCTGTATTAGATATTGTTCAGTTTTTCATTTGTGAACCGAGCGATTTATTTTGATTTATTAAATATTTCAAGGTTCTAACTACTATGTGAGGATATTGTCAACTATTGACCGTGAGCTGTTGAAACCCTCAGCTAGTGTAGCATTACACAAACACAGCAATGCCTTGGTGGATGTTCTGCCTCCTGAAGCTGACAGCAGCATCACCATGCTTTCAACAGGTAGTTACTATGTCTCCACTTAAAACTGAAGGAAGAAGGCCTCTTTTTATTGGTACCTGGTGAATATTTTGTTATGCTATAGTGTTAAAAGGAATTTCTACCTCAATACCTTGTGTTATTTCAGACCATTGTGCAAACATGTTGATAGGTGTTAAATATATGATATTTATATTTACCAATATTGGTATATGACCTTCCGATCTTTTGATTGGTTGAAGTTGACTTTTGATAAAACACTCAAAACCTCATGGAAATCAAAACGCACAATTAGTAGTTCACAATTGTTTTCCTAATATTTGCTTTTTATGGATTTCTATCAATTCATTGCTTTGAAGATAACAAACTTCTTTTATTTTTACTTTTGATGGATTTGTTATTGATTGTAATATTTACACATATTTCTGAAATTGTCAGTTTTACATTTATAATCAGGGTCATTTTATTACAAGACAGCATCCAAACTATGTTGTAAACAAAAACTCACTGGTATAGAACAAGTCAATATATCGTCAGAATAGCTTTTATTTTATTGTGGTAGAAACAGGTCATATATGGCAATTCTTTCAAACCCAACCCCCCCCCCTATTTTTAAAAAAAAAATTTTTTTTGCAAAAGTTACAAAAACACTCAGTTAAGCTGAATTTTTTGTGATTTTGAAAAACAACTAACTTGTAACAAAGCAGTAATGACATATACTAATTTAAACTGTGGTACTATCTATTGATGACTGTTTTTCTGTGAGTAGATGAGAAACCAGATGTGCTGTACTCAGACATAGGAGGTATGGACATACAGAAACAGGAGGTCAGGGAAGCTGTTGAACTGCCACTCACACACTTTGACCTGTATAAACAGATTGGAATAGATCCTCCGCGGGGTGTCCTCATGTATGGACCGCCTGGCTGTGGTAAAACTATGCTGGCTAAGGCTGTTGCTCATCACACTACAGGTATATACTGGAATATAAATTACTTTCAATAGGGACAGATTGTATTTGGGTGTTGGAGAGGAGGCATACAATTTCACTTTTCATGTCTTTTTCTGCTGAATGTCATCTTTCATGATTATTTCTGGTTCCGGTTTTTGAAATTTTAATCACACCATTTTAACTCTGCCACATGTTGAACATCGGGACATGATATGCTTGCTTTTCACATTACCTTTTCAAAAATTGCCTGCTAACTTGATGTTTATCAGTCTGAAATGAATCACATCATTTCTATGATTACGATATTTAGGATCTAATTGTGACTACATATCTGTTTTGTTTGCATATTACAGCGGCATTTATCCGAGTCGTTGGATCAGAGTTTGTACAGAAATACCTGGGAGAGGGACCAAGGATGGTTAGAGACGTGTTCAGACTAGCGAAGGAGAATGCACCAGCCATTATCTTTATAGACGAAATTGATGCCATTGCTACGAAACGTTTTGATGCCCAAACTGGAGGTTTGTATTTAAAATGTTTTAATGCAATGATTAGTTCAATTGTTTATTTTGATTTTTCTATGAGCTGAGCTTGTGGCTCATGGCAACCTGTTGCCATCGCTTTTTGTCCTTTGTCTCTTGACTCATTTTCAGATACTTCTCAAAGAATAACTGGACTTATTCAAATCAAACATGTCGTTAGCATCAATACGTGAAGGGACATCAAAATTTCAAAATTTGTGGTCCCCACCCTTGTGAGGCCCAAAGGAAGGGGCAAAAACTGTGAAAAAATTATAATTCAAATGGCAAATTTGTGAAGAAAGGAAGCTTTGTTGTAAAATTTGAAGGTGAGAATGAACATGTTATCAGTTCAATCAATTGCAATATGTAAGCTCTTCATTTGTTATTTTACTGTGTTGGATCTACTTTGGATTTAAGTGTTTATAGCATTATAAAAAAATAGGGTTACATATATATGATGTAGTGATTTAAAATCTGATTCATTTATCACAGCTGACAGAGAGGTACAGAGGATTTTGCTTGAGCTATTGAACCAGATGGATGGCTTTGACCAAACTGTTAATGTTAAGGTATTTTCATTTTTCTTATTGAAATTTCACTTCCATCTTTCACATGATCGTAGTTTGTAATTGAAAAATTAATCTTAACAGACGAAATACTATGTAAGTTTACTAATATTAATTTTGATCACAACTTTTGACCAATATAAAATTCTACATTATGATAATGCTGACTTCAGGTAATCATGGCTACCAATCGAGCAGATACATTAGATCCTGCCCTTCTACGTCCTGGTCGTCTGGATAGGAAAATTGAGTTCCCAATTCCAGACAGACGACAGAAACGTCTCATTTTCTCCACCATCACCAGTAAGATGAATCTTAGTGAAGAAGTTGATCTTGAAGACTACGTCGCCCGACCTGACAAAATCAGTGGTGCTGACATCAACGCAATCTGCCAGGAGGTTCGTAAATATCATACTGTGTTCATTTCATGTTTTATGTGAGATATTGTCCTATTCCTATCTTTTATATTGACTTAAAATCTGAATCGATTTGGTACCAAAATCAGTCATGTGTATCATTATGGAAAAAGTCTGTGTAGCAGTAATCAGCATGAATTCTTTTTCCAAAAATCATCCACTTTATATGTGATCTTTGTTAATGATTCATTAAAACAAGCTAGAATTGCTTCAAATATGTCAAAAGTCTGTCAAAAGTCTCAGTTTTATTACTTCTTGATTGCAGGCTGGTATGCAAGCTGTGAGAGAGAACCGATACATTGTGTTAGCTAAAGACTTTGAAAAAGGATATAAGAATAATATAAAGAAGGATGAAACCGAGCATGAATTCTACAAGTAGTGACACTGGACCAGAGATAGAGATTTCTACAACATCAGTGGAAGGGTGACCCTCAAAGTGCTGCATATTTACTTCATTAAATAATTCATTTCATAATTGTGACCTGTGTTATTTATGGTAATGAAGACAACATTCTTGTAGAATTGACATGTAAGGTTATTTATATGAAACTCAGTTACATCAGAATTATTAAACAAATTACAAGCGATTTCATTTGATATTGATCAAAGTAAAACTACCCAATAACTAAAAATAAATAAGATAGACAAAGAATCATGATAAAATGTTTAATAAAGGGCTTTGCTAACATCATGATATCACAGACAATCTCCATAGTACAGAGTCAATATAAAGTTTATTCATTGTGTAAAAGATGGAATGGTTTGATTCCTTGGGTACTGAGAAAGGATCACAACCAAAGGGACGAACAAATGCAGGACTTATTAGCAGTTTGACAATAATGTGTGTTGAAAGATCACTCCATTTGGCTCTGAAAAGGGTGATGATTCTTTGTCTTCAAACCTCTTGTCGTTCACATACAACGCTGATATTACTTCATTGTATTGTTTGTGGGGCTTTTATGTAATTGTTTTGATTGGGGAAAGCCCCTACCTGTCGTCCCTATGGTAAATTAAGGATACATCAATTTGAACATATATTCATTAAGGATATTTTGTATTTGGATATACTTGTCAAGGGGAAGTGAATCTCCTGTTGATATTGCACTATCCTACCATAAAAAAGAGGAAAATATGCCGATATAATTGTGCACAACTTAAAGGTACAAAAATGATTGTGAAAATAAAAATTTAAATTGTATACAAGAAATGTCACTGGTGCAATATTGATAGTGTACCAATATATGTGCTGAATATTAAAATTCAATGTTGAGATTTAAAAATAACAACAAAGTGCACCACATGAAAGTTAAAAAAAATTCATCCAGTACTTTTCTTAAATAACAGCGATTACAAGAATTGTTTAAAGACGGATTGACATATGTGAATTTTAGTAGCCCACCATCTGATAATGGTAGGCTAATAAAAAGCCCACACCAAGATGAAAGCTGGAAGAGGAACTGAGGTAGATTTGAGTTACAGAGTCTACAGAGTTTAATACAACATCTGCTGTCCCTGTTATTGATGATAAAATACTCATCAGTCATATTTTAATCACAAAACACTCACTTTGGCCCAGCACTGGCATCACTGATACTGTTTTTACTTCTCATTTTTTTGGGTCTATATTGATTAACTTCGTGAGCTCACATCTATAGATTCCTGGACTGAAGTTGCAGCCAATAAAAAATCAGTGTGTTGTATTGTAATGTATTTCTTTTTTAAAATTACTTAATTTTAATTTTGCACTCTTGAGAAAGTTTAAACTTTTAATTATCTAAGGCACAAAAGAGACATGGAAATGATATGAAGTTTAGACATGAGGTGTTCTATTGAGATAAATAAATCTTAACAGCTCTGAAAAATACAGCCAGACCTGGCCAATGCTGCGGCCTGCCAGTGATAGATTTCTGGTAAATCTCTTCAACAAATAAATCACATTAGATAATGGTCAACCAATGAAATACTTCATCACAAAATATCATAAATAATACAAATAATGGTTTCATATACTATAACATAAAATGTGTCCTCAAAAATGGGAAAATGTGGTACCCTGGTATAACATCCAGCGGTGGGAATTAATTGGCAGATATAACATGATCATAGTGGCCAAGAGGAACCAAAATATGAAATCCAGTACTAGTACTGTCAAAAGCCTTCTGTTGGCCATTTTGTTTTTGGATTAGTCTTAAAATGAGACTGCAGGAGTAGTGACCAAGGGGAACCAACAAATTTGCAAATTATTAAGTATTTTGCAAGAAAAGCATGAGCATTGTTGGGGACATGTAAGAGTGACAGATCCTTCGTTATGGACGAAAGCAATTTACACAGCCTACAACCATGTTGATGGTTGGCTAAAAACTGATATAAGCATGGTTTACAAAAATGACTTAAGTGTATGTACATGCATCTACTGATTTTGAGCTCACCACAAGTCAAATAAGTATGCCAAGTTGGAATGATTGGGATGTTTTCATCTCAAACATTAACTTATGTAATCTGCTATTTTATTGGTTTGGTATCTAAAATGTCATACAAAATATATTGTTAGATCGGAATGACCTGTCTCCTTGAACTTCACCTGGAATGTCCAAACAAGGCGATCACATTCAGTTATAGATATTGCTTTGAGTACTTGCATAAAGACACTGACTGGTTCAGTGATGATTTCAATATCAAAACGCCTGTAAGCAATATATACTAAAAGGTGAACAGGTCATTTGTTTGGATTAAACATATCTGATAACCTCCATAATAAAGAGTTTACCATGTAAAATGAATCGAAAATATATCTTAAAAAACTTTCTGGATATCTTAAGACCTTCTCTTATACAGGATTAAATCTTCTAATATCAATATTCAACACATAAATTGTATTTACGAAGCAGCAGTGACCTTATTTCGAACCAATAAATAAAAACAATATTACAAATAAAAAAAATATAAATAAAAGATAAATATCTTTATCAAAATATCTCCACTCCTACTCACACTAGTTTCTAAATCACAGTTATGCAGTACTCAATCAAAGTTGAGTACCTTTTACAAAATCTCACAAGATTTGGAGGTTTTGTTGTTGCTTGCGTTTTTTTCTGTCTTCGGTTTCACTGGTCCCGTTTGTGTCTCTGGTTTCACTGGTCCCGTTTGTGTCTCTGGTTTCACTGGTCCCGTTTGTGTCTCTGGTTTCACTGGTCCCGTTTGTGTCTCTGGTTTCATTGGTCCAGTTTGTGTCTCTGGTTTTCCTTGTTCTGATTGTGGTTCAGGTTTCACTTGTTCTGTTTGGATTTCAGGTTTCAATGGTGGTAAAACTGTGTTTGGTGTGGATCCTGGGTTTCCTTGGGTTTCTGTGGTGGAACCCACACTTGACTTGGATTGTTCAGTTTCACTATCCTTAGGCTTAGGATCCTCAATTAACTTGCTAGACTCATCTCCTGGTTTTGAGACTGTCTGTTGACCTGGGACAGAGTTATCCTCAGTTATTTCTGCGCCTTGCTGCTTCTGTGGTTTTGGACTAGACCGACTGCTCTCTGATGCTAATTCATTCACCTGTTATTGAAAATTACTCTAAAAAGTTAAACTTAATAAAAACCTGATAGTGCATATCTTAATAGTAATCTTGTTTTAGGGATTTTTTCTCTGAAATTTGATTTGATTTCATCTGAAACCAGGTGATACAGCAAGTATTGTGGATGCACAAATACATCAATGCATTATAATAAAAAACAAGAGGCCAATGGGCCTTAACAGTCATCAGACTATAACAATAGTGGAATCAAATATAAATGATTAAAACTGATCTGAATATATTGTAGTAGTAAAGGCAAAGATCACTCTTCATTTCTGTTTCTCAACGTTACCACAAAATTTCAGCTCATTGACAGCAACGGAACTGGGGAAAAGTTTAAAATAGCTTTTCAAAGTTAGTAGTCATGGTGGCCATATTGGATTTTGGACTGATCCAAAAAACTACAACTCTTGGTCAGGACCTTCTCAGGATCACTTCAGGAAAATTAGACAAATTGAATCCGATAGGTGAAACTTCAAGAAATTTAAAAAAGGTTTTATTTAGGGAAACCATGACTGTGTAATATCTATGGTAACAGAATGACCTCTGTGTCTGCCGCAATGAACTTTTTATCAGACAGAAAAATGACAACACTTTATCAGCTTCATTTTTAAACATCCCAATCAGATGTTTGTACTTACTTGTATGAGATGTATGTCTGTGCTATCACTTTCTTTGTATATCTCACGCTTGACCTTGAGAAGGTTAAGAAGCATTGGCTCTGCCTGATAAGATTCCTCTTCTATATCTCTGAAAAACATAAGTTATATATTTCCAGTAGAAGTTAAATGATAAGTACAGGTGTAACAGACCACATTAAGATCTTCATGTCTTTATATGGGAAACAACTGCTAAAATATAAGAATATTTACCAGTTGATATCCATGATTCTTATATAATAAGATATCCCATGATAAGGGCAATGATAATCTTAACCTGCCAAATCCAAATTGCTGTTGGAAGCTATTTTGCCCAAGGAAAAGACCAAAGCAAACATACATTGTTTGAGATATATATATTTATTTGCTTTTTGAAAACTGGATCTTTGCCATCCAGTACTTGGATGGACGAACGGACCACAGATGCAGAGAAATTTGAATAATTTGAAGTAATCCATACAAAGAATTTTTAATCATTTATCCATTTAGATCATGAATTTTGGCATTTTTGAATGAACTAATGTGGGAAACCAGTAATTCAATTCATGAATTTTATTCAGTAATCAGCTCTTTGAGAAATCAGGTCAAATATAAGTATTCAAAACTGTCTGAATGATGGCGAGAATTAAACAAAATTCAGGAGATAACTTTACTTAATCAATAAAATATAATTTTTACTTAAAAAGTAACAAGGACTGTTCTGTTTTTACAATTTTTCCCAGCTTTCCTTGATGCCAGTTTGCTTTGTGTCTCTGTCTATAGGTGTGCTCTGTTATCATAACTTAACATGAAACAATCTATGTTTAGATCCAAATTGACCAGGATCAATACCCTACATTAAGGTAAAGTTAGAGTATAATATGACTATGTATACCAGAATTGTTCCTGAACTCTGCACTACACTAAGAGTATTTTTTTTTCAGTGAAACTGCTGTCATCTGATTAGTCAAAAATATGTTATTTTCACTCAATGAAAATATCACTGGTATTTTCAACAATGAAAACCCTGTATTTTACTGTGAAGTAAAATTTATACCCTTTATTGTTACTTTGGGAGATAAAGTAATATCAGCAGAGAACTAATAGATTCCCTGAAAAAATCTGCCCACTGTCTTTAATTTTTAGATTCACTCATTACTGGTGTGTTTCAAGAAAAAGTTCAGGTTTGCAATGACACTGTGATAATTCCCCACATTTATTTCTCATCTTCTCAATATCAAGATCCTTATCAAATGTAAACTTACTTCCGTAAGAGTTCATCCATCACATCATCCCCAACCTTGACCATCGCTAGGTAGTCTGCGTAACTACAAGAAAAGGTCCCTCCAATTTCAGGGACCTTTGAAACAACATACTTTCTCATTTTTTCTGCTTTGTCACTTCCACGTTTTTTGACATAATCAAGCCAAATTCTATCTTTGAAGTTTGCATTAACTGGGAGAAGTTTCAGAAAGCTGTGTTCACTTGGTAAGTCCATGGTCTGGACAAAATGTACAACATTTCTCCCCTTCTGCACTCGCTGGCGACAAAGAGCAATGTGAAGATTTTGCATGTGTTCTTCTGAGTTGACAAATTCTTCTGAAAGAAATAGTACAATGACACGGGCTGTGTCAATGTCTTGTAGAAGTGTTTTGTTTCGTTCCCAGAGAAGTTTGACTTTCAGTCCTGGATGGAGATCATCTAATATACTATCCATTATCATAGCACAGTAGGTGGCGTCACCAGCAAAGCCGATACCCACATCACATTCCTGTTTGTCCTGGTCCTCAGGCCTCACCTCCACCTGTGGTGGTGCATCTTTCCGATAAATAGTGAAACGTTTTACATCTAATTTGTAGTTTCTTTCCACATTTCTGGTTCTGATAGTTTGCAAGATTTCTTTGTAGTTTACATCTTTCAGATCCTGTAATGAAAGAATGTCATCTAGATTATGACGTTAACTGTCAATCAAGATGTTAATTTCTTTTTTACAAAATTATGAGAACACAGCCTATTCCCGATGCCTTACACAACCTGGTTTAAACAATGTTTTTAAAGGCATCTTTTAAATACTTCTCTTCATACACTTATCAATCATTTCCAATTTATATATTATTTATACCTTTTCCAATACGTTGAAGTGCCCTTTTTCTCCTGTTTGCAGCCATTTTAAAGCCATCTTTGTGACAACATCAACAGCTCCTGCAAAGTTGTCTCCCCTGCCATCCACCATGTCAACTTTACAGAAACCTGGATGCGAGACTAAGGAAAGATCCTCTATACATACTGGTATAAACAGGATCTTATTTGGCTGTAAATATCAAGTACAGATAAAAAGTTTAGATATATCAATGCTGCATGTATTGATAGCAAGGAAATATTGTTTTCTGTTGATCTGAAAAAGGACATGAACATTGTCTCAATATCAAAAGAAGCAAAGGTCTTTAATATAAATTGTTTTACAAATCTGTCAGCCAAAGGTTACAGAGTACAACAACAGATCACAAACAATAGGCCAGAACTCTGTAAATAAAGATGATATGACCTGAACCTTTGTTAAAAATTTAAATTTTACTAGGGATACTTGAAATATTTGTTGGTAGAAGGGTATATCTATCCAGGCACACTGGTGAATCACCTAACAAATTGATGGATATAATCCAGATTAACAGCACTCTCTCTATCTGTCTCTAGTAGTGACGGTGAACATTTGACAGACTTGCTATAGGCTAGCTCACGTCAGAGAAAAGGAGTTCCCTTCCAACTTAATTATTATACCGTCCTACCTTCAATGGTACTATGTATCACTTATCTATACCTTATACCAGTATATCCAATGTGTACAGCTGACTGCCCTAGACAAGAAATTCATGTACAAAATAGTTAATTTGCTCGGTTATAGAGACCTTCACACAAAGAGTTGTCACAAACTAGTAGTAAAGTCTTTATCACTATAGCACACCTTTATTTCTCTCAGATGATAATGATTAGGAATCTATAAAACATTTCCCTTTCATGGTACTTGTGGGGAACCTATAAAACATTTCCCTTTCATGGTACTTGTGGGGAACCTATAAAACATTTCCCTTTCATGGTACTTGTGGGGAACCTATAAAACATTTCCCTTTCATGGTACTTGTGGGAAACCTATAAAACATTTCCCTTTCATGGTACTTGTGGGGAACCTATAAAACATTTCCCTTTCATGGTACTTGTGGGGAACCTATAAAACATTTCCCTTTCATGGTACTTGTGGGGAACCTATAAAACATTTCCCTTTCATGGTACTTGTGGGGAACCTATAAAACATTTCCCTTTCATGGTACTTGTGGGGAACCTATAAAACATTTCCCTTTCATGGTACTTGTGGGGAACCTATAAAACATTTCCCTTTCATGGTACTTGTTGGGAACTTATAAAACATTTCCTTCTGATAATACTGACTAAGACCCTACAGACTATTTGTCTAGTGGGAAATTTATCAAATGTTGCCCTCTGATAGTGCTAGGGGGACTTTCCTTGTGATAATTCCAGTAGGAATTCTATAAACTACTTCCCTCTGACAGTATTGGTGGGAAATCTATGAAATGTTTCCCTCTAATAGCATTAGAGGTGAAGTTATTAAACTAACCTTGGCTTTTTGAAAGGTACTTACATCTATGAGATGTCGCAGTAAGGCAATGTTATACTCCTCCTGACAAACCAGAGATGATACATAGGTCTGGGAAACAAGGGCAATAACACACCTTGCCCCATCCACTGAGTCATACAGCGTCTTCTGCCACAAACTACCTGATTAAAGACAAATACATTGGAACGTGTAGCATAAACAACTAACTTACAGAGACATAGTACAATAATATGACAAATAGAGTGTATAACATACAGATATGTCCTGTCACATAGCAACAGGTACCAAACATACAGATATGTCCTGTCACATAGCAACAGGTACCAAACATACAGATATGTCCTGTCACATAGCAACAGGCACCAAACATACAGACATGTCCTGTCACATAGCAACAGGCACCAAACATACAGACATGTCCTGTCACATAGCAACAGGCACCAAACATACAGATATGTACTGTTACATAGCAACAGGCACCAAACATACAGATATGTACTGTTACATAGCAACAGGCACCAAACATACAGATATGTACTGTTATATAGCAACAGGCACCAAACATACAGACATGTATTTTCACATAGCAACAGGCACCAAACATACAGATATGTACTGTTATATAGCAACAGGCACCAAACATACAGACATGTCCTGTCACATAGTAACAGGCACCAAACATACAGACATGTCCTGTCACATAGCAACAGGCACCATAACATACAGATATGTACTGTTACATAGCAACAGGCACCAAACATACAGACATGTCCTGTCACATAGCAACAGGCACCATAACATAGCAAGTACAATACTTAAACATTGCTAAATTGGTTTAATTATGATCTTGCTGTAATATGAAGTGGTGAGTGATGGATTAAATAAGAGAATAATATCTGTTAGACAAATTAAATTTCATATTGTACTATTCTTACCCATGGTGAGTTCACTTCTGTCGAAAAAGATCTTAGGCTCAAATTTTGACCCTGACAGCTCTTTCAGCAGATCACCAGCTTGGTCAGGGTTTTTGTGGGAGTAGGAGATAAAAATGTCATAATTTTTGGTTCTAGCAGGTCCAGGTATGTCAAGGATATTGGCCTTAACAACATCTGTCTCTTCCTCAGGGTGATCGAGCTTCTTGACCAATAAGGAACAAGCATCCTGGATCTTAACTTCTTCTCTGTCAGTTTCTTTGCGCACTCTGTAATGGAGATTAAATGTGTTGATTGATTTTTGCCAGTGTAATTTTGATATCATTACTTCATGAACGTTGAAGAGGGTTCCCCATCACTTTCTATAATATCTTTCATTTCATCAGATGAAAGCTTGTGAAGATGATCACTCACATACATTAATGTAAGACAATTCTTCTCACCTTCATTTAGTCCTTTAGCTCAGACCCAAACATACAGGATTAGCATTGTAATATTATAAACATCCTTGAAATCTATAGTTTATGGTATTTCCAAATGAATTTGTATGTTGATAATTGTTAATTATAATTGATAATTGTTAATTATGATTGATAATAATAAAGTTATTTGATAATTGGTTCCCATTATGGATTGTAGCTCAGTTTCTTATCTTTATACTTGCAGCTCTAGCATTAGTCCTTATAATTTCTTTAACCGAGAGGATAAAAATTATGTAAATTCACCTACAAATATAAGAAATTATTGCCTTTTACTATCATTATCATTAAAAGTATCATGAATCTACTAGCGTACATATCGATAATATCATTAGTGGATCCTATAATTTACTTGGTTTTGAAATCAGTAAAGCATGCTGGGTGAAAAATTGATACCAATTGAATTTGTAGAAAAAGCTATAATAATAAGGGGAGGTAACTGACCTACAATCTTGGTACTGTACAAGAGTGATGTAAACAGGCATAGATTCCACTGTGCATACATAGAAAGGCTGCAGAATGTTTCCTTTTCGTAGACGATTGCAGCACATAGCCATGTTAAACTGCTCTAAACACTCAGGGCTGTTCACAAACATCGGGGTCAGCACAACGACTATCCTACAAAACAAAACAATAAACTTGAACTCTAGGGTTCACACCTGCTGCTGTTCGATTGAGATTTTTTCTGTGATAGAGTGGGTATTCTTCATGTGTATGAATTGCATCTCAAAGTGACAGGTGGTATAAAACAATTATTTCAGTCAAACATCTCCAAAAATAAATGACAAAATTATGCACATATTAGTGAGTCAGCAGCACATGTATGTATGAATGTGATAAGCAGGAACAACAGTTAGACTAAAGTGAAGATCATGTGTAAATTGGAACTCCTATCACATACACCAACACTCCTATCACATATACAAAAACTCCTATCTCATATATCAAAACTCCTACCACATATATCAAAACTTCTATCACATATACCAACATTCCAAACACATAGACAAAAACTCCTATCACATATACCTAAACTCCCATCACATATACCAAAACTCCTATCACAGACACCAAAACTCCTATTACATACACCAAAACTCCTTTCACATATATCAAAACTCCTATCACATATACCAAAACTCCCATCACATATACCTAAACTCCTATCACATACACCAAAACTCCTATTACATACACCAAAACTCCTATTACATATATCAAAAGTCCTATCACATATATCAAAACTCCTATCACAGACACCAAAACTCCTATCACATATATCAAAACTCCTATCACATACACCAAAACTCCTATTACATATATCAAAAGTAATATCACATATATCAAAACTCCTATCACATACACCAAAACTCCTATTACATATATCAAAAGTCCTATCACATACACCAAAACTCCCATCACATATACCAAAACTCCTATCACATATACCAAAACTCCTATCACATACACCAAAACTCCTATCACATATATCAAAACTCCCATCACATACACCAAAACTCCTATCATATATATCAAAACTCCTATTACATATATCAAAACTCCTATCACATACACCAAAACTCCTACCACATATATCAAAACTCCTATCACATATACCAAAACTCCTATCACATATACCTAAACTTCCATCACATATACCAAAACTCCTATCACGTACATCAAAACTCCTATTACATATATCAAAACTCCTATCACATATACCAAAACTCCTATCACATATACCTAAACTCCCATCACATATATCAAAACTCCTATTACATATATCAAAACTCCTATCACATACACCAAAACTCCCATCACATATACCAAAACTCCTATCACATATACCAAAACTCCTATCACATATATCAAAACTCCTATTACATATATCAAAACTCCTATCACATATACCAAAACTCCTATCACATTTACCTAAACTCCCATCACATATACCAAAACTCCCATCACATATACCAAAACTCCTATCACATATACCAAAACTCCTATCACATATATCAAAACTCCTATTACATATATCAAAACTCCTATCACATATACCAAAACTCCTATCACATATACCTAAACTTCCATCACATATACCAAAACTCCTATCACGTACATCAAAACTCCTATTACATATATCAAAAGTCCTATCACATATATCAAAGCTCCTATCACAGACACCAAAACTCCTATCACATATATCAAAACTCCTATCACATACACCAAAACTCCTATTACATATATCAAAAGTCCTATCACATATACCAAAACTCTATCACATACACCAAAACTCCTATCACATATATCAAAACTCCTATCACATATATCAAAACTCCTATCACATACACCAAAACTCCTATTACATATATCAAAACTCCTATCACATACACCAAAACTCCTATCACATTTACCTAAACTCCTATCACATATATCAAAACTCCTATCACATACACCATATATCAAAACTCCTATCACATATACCAAAACTATCACTATCACATATATCAAAACTCCATATATATCACATACACCAAAACTCCATCACATATACCTAAACTCCCATCACATATATCAAAACTCCTATTACATATATACACCAAAACTCCTATCACATATACCAAAACTCCTATCCATATATCAAAATCACATATACCAAAACTCCTATCACATATACCAAAACTCCTATCACATATATCAAAACTCCTATTACATATATCAAAACTCCTATCACATACACCAAAACTCCTATTACATATATCAAAACTATCACAGACACCAAAACTCCTATCACATATACCAAAAATCCTATCACATATACCAAAACTCCTATTACATACACCAAAACTCCTATTACATATATGAAAACTCCTATACATCAAAACTCCTATTACATATATCAAAACTCCTATCACATACACCAAAACTCCTATTACATATACCAAAACTCCTATCACATATATCAAAACTCCTATCACATATACCAAAACTCCTATCACATACACCAAAACTCCTATCACATATATCAAAACTCCCATCATATACACCAAAACTCCTATCACATATACCAAAACTCCTATCACATACACCAAAACTCCTATCACATACACCAAAACTCCTATCACATATATCAAAACTGTGATTCTATAAAAGAACACTGCTATTACATACACCAAAACTCCTATTACATATATGAAAACTCCTATTACATACACCAAAACTCCTATCACATACACCAAAACTCCTACCACATATACCAAAACTCCTATCATATACACCAAAACTCCTATCACATATATCAAAACTCCTATCACATATACCAAAACTCCTATCACATATACCAAAACTCCTATCACATATACCAAAACTCCTATCACATATACCAAAACTCCTATCACATACACCAAAACTCCTATTACATATATCAAAACTCCTACCACATATATCAAAACTCCTATCACATACACCAAAACTCCTACCACATACACCAAAACTCTTACCACATATACAAAATATCACATACACCAAAACTCCTATTACATACACCAAAACTCCTATTACATATATCAAAACTTCTATCACAGACACCAAAACTCCTATCACATATATCAAAACTCCTATCACATACACCAAAACTCCCATTACATACACCAAAACTCCTATCACATATACCAAAACTCCTATCACATATACCAAAACTCTTACCACATATACCAAAACTATTACATATGATATATATCTTGATACCTTTTGTGTAGTGTATAGATATCATTACTTTTAAGTCTGATTAATTCTGACTCGTGTATTTAACTCAAACAGTAGTGCTGAATAAGAGAGTAAGTGGACTATGATATGTACTTAACAGAACACTACATTGTTAGTGTACTATGAACTTTTTGTGGTAATAAAAAAGTGGATCTTGATAATTTAACTTACTTTAAACATGAAGACATTTTCTGGAAGATTTGATCTTGCCACACTTCCTCTTCATTAAATTTTTGAACATCTGCACAGATCTTTATATCAGATTTCTTTTCTTTGAGTGCGTTCTCAATTTTCTTACACCAGTTTTTATCCTCACATTGGAACATGATAAAAATATCAAATATCTGTTGGTTCAGACTCTCTTCCTTCAAAAAATAATAAAGAAATCATACAGACTGAGAGATCATGTTATTTAAAGGCAACAAGAGGTTCAATGGGCCTGTGTTATTGTTATACAATGTATTGTCATCACTATTAAAAGTTTAATTTGAATTAATCTACAATCAAACTGTAAAATCCCTAGATAGACTTTGATTATTTTCAGATGACTTTTTTCCAAAGTCATGTTTGCTTAAGTCTCAATAACATGTAGAGTGGTTACATCAAAACTAGACCTGGATCCTTTATACTTGCTTATATTAAATCTGATTATAACTGGTCAGGTCAACAGTCTATATATCCTATGTCTATATTAAGCCCCATCTCACTGTCTCAAAAGGAGCCACAACTTCTACATATACAGATAAACAGATAAAATGTAAGCATGACTATACTTCTGATTTGATGGAAATGGAACTTAACATTGAATGTGAAATTTACCATTTTCTTTTGGCTGAGTTTTGTGTATTTTGTCTTAATTTTGGTGAAAATGTTAGTCATTTCTCTGTCTTCAGAACCATAGATGACAATCTTGAAACACTTGAGTGGCAGACCAGCCAATATCCATTGAGCAGCACAATGGACCATGACAGATAACACATATTCACGACTCTTGTTCTGAAATAAAAGGACAATGGAGCAGGTCAGTACTCCACACTCATGTTCTCATTTAAGTAGAAGGATTTTATTCAAATGCACAAAAATTCTACTTAAAACTGCTTCCATCTTGTATATCAATTACCATTGCAATTACTGTACTTCATTATTTTCATAAAAAGCAACCTACAAAATTTCAAAGCAGCAAATAAAAACAAAAAACTAAAAAACACCACTAAAGATTCAGTAATTATGATAAAATATTATAGTAATGAATGAATGAATGAACAAAAAACAAACAAACAAATGAACAAAACTAACAAATGAATGAATTGAATAATTTAAAGTTATTCTTGAAAACTCATATTCAAAAATTTTCAAGAATTTTGAACAAGGTTCCATCATGACACTGATCATTATTTGAAATATAGAATAACTCATTAGTCCATTGTGATAAGCCATGTGGAATATGTAGACACTAGTTCAGTACAGGTAAAAACACACAATACACATTTCATTCCCTAGCACAGGTACAAACACACAAAACACCTGTCGTTACCTAGTACAGGTACAAACACACAAAACACCTGCCGTTCCCTAACTAAAGATGTACCTGATGACCTGTAGCGAGGAGCGGTGTGATAACTGTAGATTCTTTGTTGTTGAGCACAGGTACAAACACACGAAACATCTGTCGTATATCTTCTACTATTGTGCAATCTCCTCTTGTTCTGTAATAATAAACATTATTACAAGATTCAATAACATTCTCTTTATTACTTACAATTCTGAAACTGTTCTGTTTTCCATAAGATATAATTTCACAATGTTGGTATGAACTTGAGGATTTTTGTTTTACCTTTCAAAGCAGAGAAGTCTTTGGTAGGGCAGGTGACCTTCTAAGGGATGTGAAAGCCAGCAGTGAAATTGTCTCCTCAAGTCTAGTTCCTTTGCCCTACTCAACTCATGCACATTGATACCCAGTTCACTCTTCAGTGCACCTATAACAGTTCCTCTCAGCGGAGAATAATCATCTGAAATTTTGGAATCCATATATCCTTTCAATATGATATCGCAAATTATCTGACTTCATCAACATCTTAAATTTCATTTTAGTGCTTAAACAATACTGGGTAGTGTACTTGAATCTCATTTTTTTCATTTACAGACTTCAAACACATCCAATATTTAATGGAGTAATTCTCATTAAATTTCTATATATTTTCAAGGTAGGAAGGTCAGTCTTTCACCATGGTGTCTCAGAATGTCAGTCTGTCACAAAAAAAAACACAGGAAGTTTAGTCTGTTAAAAAAAATCACAGGAAGTTCAGTCTGTCACAAAGGCATTGCTGAAAGATCAATGTGTCACCATGACAACACAGGGAGATCAGTCTGTCACTATGGTTTCACAGGAAGATCAGTCTGTCCCCATGGCAACACAGGGAGATCAGTCTGTCACTATGGTTTCACAGGAAGATCAGTCTGTCCCCATGGCAATACTCAAAGATCATCTGTCACTATGGTAACACAGAAAAATAACTTTTTAACCAAGGTATCAACAGGAGATCAGTACCAGGAAATGCAGACACCATTATCATGTTAACAGCATCCTTCTTTGGAAGTTTTGTGATATCTCCGAACAGCAGCTGAATCTCATATGTGCCAGATGGTGTCCATATAGGTAATTTTTCAGTAATGTTTAGGTCCATCGCTGGAGGATGACTGTCAGCTCATCTTAAATAAACAATAATTCAATAAGTGACATGTCCTGCCAATACCAGGAATGGCGTACTCTAGCTACGTAGTATATCCTATCTTTAATGAAACACACAAAGCTCCAAAATTAGAACCAAAGGCAAACAGGCTCTTTACATCTTATAAAGAAATCTGCATTTGTACATTTTAATTTCCAGTGTTTGAAAACAGAAACATAACATAAAGCAATGCTTCCTACAAACAAATACTTTTTTGAATGAACTATTCCTGAATCTGATATTGTTCTGCACAACTCTCTTAAAAAAGACAGTATCAAGTATAGAACACATAATTCAACATTACATTAAGTTAATTAATACGCAATATTGTATATGTTACATGCATACTGGTTTAAAACCCATTATTATAATACTTATGGCATCATAAAACATGTATGATTTTTGTGATAATTTTATAAGATAAAAATCATTACCATGGTATGCTTATATTTATGATCTTTGGTGTAAAATACTTTGTAACATTCAACCAATTCAAATTTTATCTTAAAACTGTAACAGCATTTGGGATCGGGATGTTTTGTGGGGGTTACATAGCTCTTTAATTCATTGTATTTATAGAGACTTAAAAAGTTGCAATGGTATCGTAATTGAGCCCAATATTGTCCTAGAACTTGACCGTGCACTGTCTGATACTGTCAGTGATAATTGACTGAAAGACACAAAATATCAGTATGACTTATTTTATCATAAAAATTGTAATAGTCTCCTTTTGATAGATAATCATTTTGTTCAAAAATACTGTCCACATTTTTTTTCTTTGTGTGATAAGGGATACATTGCAGTACTCCAAGAAGATTAACTAGTTTTCACGGCAAATTCTTAAATGACTGCATTTACTACTCATGACTTATTAGTGAGGAAAAACTTTTACCTGAATATTTGTAAAGATTCACGTGAGATACAAAAATATGAATTAAATTCTTCACGAGAATGTGTTCTAAATCCGTGTAACTTCTTATGTAAATTGACTCAAAGATACACCGATAATTAATGTATGACGGAAACCGAATGCATCATTAATTAAACACACAAAAAACACACTTGTAAGTGAATGTATTTTGACGTAGTGGTGTCAGAAATCTTGAAACTCTCGCCAGCAGCCTCCTTGTTTGTTGTTGTTGTTGATGATAACAACCTGTAGCTTCCGGTTCCGCTAATTTAAGGTGCGTTCGAATACGCATAAAGGCGGAACGTAACTGATCATTACTAAACAAATTGATGACATTTACTTTGTTGCAGGCTATTCTATGATAATCAAAATCGTTATTTAAAAATATAGATACTACAAGCGATGGTGGAAAGAGAAAAACTCAGTATCGCCTGGATATATTTTCACATGTGAAATAAAGAAAAGTTACAATAATACAGACTGTCTGTTAATGATAAGGATACGGACCTCTCACATTTATATTGACTTCCTCAACTTCATATTACTCCATATAAAAGACGTTTTATTGCTGACTAGTCTAGCTGTTCAACCAACCCTTTGTCAACACTTCTTCCACCATCCGTAGTACATTCAAATCTGGGTAACAGTTTCACTGTGGTACGTTTTACTCAAGAAGTAGAATAAACAGTATGTGGATTTTAAAGAAGCAAGATCTTTGGAATAATTCGAGCTACCTCTTCTAAGACGCAGGAATATTTTCCCATTCTGCACACCACGTACCATACGTCTTTAGAAATATATGTTTGTGAACTAAGCTGAAGCGTTGAGTACTTTGTGACAAAAATGCCTCCAAATCAAAGAAGAAAGAAATGGAGGCTGGATTTATCGAAGAACTAAATAAGGTCATAACGACCTTGTAAAGTCGTTTAATTTCAGTTTCAGGTATATTGATGATGTTTTTTCTTTAAAAAACAAGATATGTATTGACCAAGTAAATTTTATATTCCATCAGAATTTGAAATCAAGGACACGACAGACTCTTCTTCACCAATAGCTTATCTTGATCTTTTCTTGCAACGAAACCAACATGAGTAGCCTTCCTGAAAGCCTGTATGATAAGCGTGAGTGATTTCAATTTTCCTTTTGTGAATTTTCCATTTCTAGATAGCAACATGCAAATGTACGAGCATCCTCAACTTATGGTGTTGACATGTCGCAGCTGATTCGATATTCAATCGGCATGTTCCCAATATTACGATTTTAATAAAAGAAGTAATCAACTGACGGACAAACCGATAAAATCTATGTGAAAGTTTTACGGTCGTCATAGTGATCTCATTGAGAAATTTTCTATTTCTTGGTGCGATATGAACGCGGACATGTTTGATGCCCACACTTGGAAAAGGTGTAAGGATGTTAAGACCATAGATCCTCGTATGCTCCAGAAGGATAAACGTCTCCTATTTCATCGACGATACTCGTCAGGTAAATATAGATGATCCAAGTAATTTCACACCTTCTAACGAGGACGGCAGTTTTGTTTAACAACATCGAAACCACCAGGCAAACTGACGAGAATCGAACACAGAATTTCATCTTGATGGCGACAATTAAACAATGAGACCAAACGTTAATCTAAATTCAAAAGCTTGTTTTCTACCATATGCCGTTTACTTTTAAAAGCATTTAACAGACCGTTGTGGATTGGAGAGCGATTGTTAGGGTCGGACTGCTTCTATATGTGTAACTAGAAAGGGATTATAAAAAGTTGTTATCGTATGTCCTCATGAATACGTTGATAGTAATTAAAATCTTTTGAAATCTGTTGTGTTAATGATATTCTTTTTGTCTAAGGTTTCAGTAAAACTGATTAAAGATTTACGTCATATAAATGTTTGAACTGAATCATACGGTTTCCTTTGAGAAATGATATCTTCACACACACGAAATTTACATACACATTGAACGCTGAGTAACTTTTACAAAAAATGATGTTATGATACCGTAACTGTTTGGTTTTATCCTAACTACCTACGAAAAACATATCGGCCTATTAAGAAAGTGTCAGAGATGTCATGTATCACACGTGATATCACATATGACATTACTTGTGTTGGAGTCGTGAGAAGATCGAACAATCACATGTGATATATTTATACACAGAATGTCTCTGTTGTGAAAACACGGTATATAAGAAAAATTCAGTCTAATGATAGGTATAATAAACTAACTGAACTTAATTCTCTCTGTGCCAGGAGGCACACAAGGCTTGGACATCCCCTCTCCACTGTTATCGATCTTCGGTGGCACGGCGTGCAGAGTTCTAGGTACTCCAGCCAGCACCATTCCGCTCCACCTCCACCATTCTTCGCCAAGTTGATTTGGGACGGCCTCTTTTCCTTTTAGCCTCTGGTGTCCACCCTAGGGCCACAGCTCAGTCATCTCGTTGATCCTTCCTCAGGACGTGTCCAATCCATTTCTTTCTTCTCGCCTCCTGGCTTATCTTCTTGTTCCTGTCATCTCCAGAACTGTCTTATTCGAGATGTGCTGCTCCCATCGAATCCTGAAGCTCCTTCTCAGACACTTATTTTGAAAGATATATAATTTTCCTTCATCTCCCTTGGTCAATTTCGAAGTCTCACACCCACAGAGCAACACCGATAGTATGAGGCTCTTAAAAAGGGAGACTTTGACCTTTCTGTTGATGTCTCCAGCTTGCCAGATGTTCGACAGCCGTTTGAACTGTCCACTTGCCAAAGCTATTCGCTTTTTAATGTCTACTGTTCCTCCTCCGTCCTTTGTCACATTGGTTCCCAGATATGTGAAGCTTTCTACCTCTTCTACTCCATTCCCTCGCACCTTCAACTTCTCTTCAATCCTGCTGTTAACTTTCATCACCTTACTTACTCGATCGAGAGTGATGAGAATGCTGATGATGACGTGTGTTTTTCTCAAATAGGTGATGATGAGTGATAATCAAATCCATCTGATATATTGTTATGTTTGTTCTTTGATTGTGTTGTCCTCTTGAAAAATAAAACAATTACAAAAAAAAAAAAAAAAAAACTTTCATCACCTTGCGTTTCTTGTCGTTGAGTTTCAGTCCTACTTTGGCAGCATTTTCTTCAAGCCTTGTTGTCTTCTGTTGTAGATGGTTCATGGCAGATGAAAGAAGGACAAGATCATCTGCAAAATCAAGGTCTTCTATCATTGTTGTGAAGTTCCATCTGATTCCAGTTCTCTTCCATCTGTTGTTCACCGCATTACCCAGTCGATTACAAGGAAGAAAAGGAAACCTGACATGCAGCAGCCCTGTTTCCCTCCGGTCATCACTGGAAACCACTCAGTTGTTTCACCCTCATCAATGACTGAGCACTGGAAGTCCTCATAAAGGGTCTGGACCAGTTTCATAGGGATTCCATACTGACGCATGATGATCCAAAGACTGTCTTTGTGCATGGAATCGAAGGCCTTTTCAAAGTCGACGAAGTGAATGTACAATGTAGCATTCCATTCGTTGACTTGTTCCAAGATATTCCTGAGAATGAAGATCTAATCCACAGTTTCTCTGCCTGTCCGAAAGCCGGCTTGTTCCTTTCTGAGTGATGAATCCACTCCTGTCTGTATCCTGATGATCAGGATCCTGCTGAGCACCTTGCTGGCCAGTGGCAGCAACGTAACTCCTCTCCAATGTCCACATTCCTGTAGGCTGCTTTTCTTTGGAATTTTGCGAATGAGTCTGCTTCTTTCTGCCAAATGAGGTCAAAAATCCTTTTTAGCTCAATACTTGTCAGCTCAAGGTGTGCCTTGAGCATCTCAGCAGTAATTTGGTGTGCTCCATGGACCTTTCCATTATTGAGGGTGTTCAGGTATTATAAACCTCCAGAAAAGGACGGAAAATCGTCTTGTTTTTTTTTGTCGGATAGATCCTCTGAGGTGGGTTGTAGGACCACGGTCCTAGACAAGACCTATTTAAGCAGCATAGATAAATCTATGTGTTATGGGCAAAAACAATAAGAAAATATCAATATAATAAGATAATCATAATCCAATTATTACGACCATAAATAAAAAAAAATGTACTTACACAAAACAAATGACCACATTAAGAAATTAAAACATATATCACAGATGACTTTACAAACACTACTAGCTAATAAAACTAACGCCACAAAAAAGGCCGATGTTGAATAGTCAAATAACCCATGTAACCAAGTAATTCACGGAAAATGTCACAATCAAACTTGTTCTGTCATGTTGTTCAAAGGCCAAAATGTAGGTCACAATGACCTACTTTTTATACATAACACATGTGCGTCGTCTCATCCAGAATACCTCATACGTTGCAGATATACAAACACTATGCGTACTAGCTTATATCTAAATCCGTGCTCCAACACAACTGTTTTGGCATATAGGTTAGGAATTTTAGTTTTAAAAACCCCAAAATTAAAACATTTATAAAAATACAATGCATAACTCAAGACAGTGTTGAGATAAAAAAAAAAAGACCTGTTTTCTATTGAGTTATCCCCCTTCTTATACTTTTTCGTTAGTGGAGGTTGACTAGTGATGGGAAAACTTCAAAACAAACTATGGCCTTTCCAGATTTCACGTTTGACGAATTCAAGCACCGCGTTTCTGAGCGCGTGTCTAATCCAGATGTCACAATGGTATGGTTAACGATTTTGCAAGAAACAAATAATTTCTCATTTAATTGAATATCCAATGCAAACGCCTTAGTATTCGTTTTAATATCGGATGTCCTCTACAGGCTCCAGACATGTCCACAGGCGCTTATATAGTATGGTGTTGACATTATCAACTCTAAAATCAAGCCACTGGCAATAGTATGAAATAGTCCTACTATAGTTGTAAGGCCATATATGTTTACATCATTGAATTCCGATATTCATTCATAATACCTTGTAATAATGTGTAACTACAGGTGTTTATACTGATCACTGTAATCAGCTTGTCAGTCAGATTCACTGGTAGTTGAAGATGCAAGTTGATTGGTCATGCATGTTTAGTTATATGCAATCATCTGCTAGAAGTGAAGATTTTGGTATCTGTCTGATTATCCGAAAATCAACTTAAAAAGTGAAAATACATACTTCAGCTCTGCTTGAGGAATGGATTGTGGTTGGAGTTTGTTGCAGGTTTGAACTGTTTGATATGATTATTTATAATTGATAAAACATCTTATTCTGTCTTAGTCTGAGGAGAAAAAAAACTATTTCATTTCTTCATTTAACATCTTCAAAAATTTAGTTGATAATGTTGTCAGATTTTTATGTCACTAACCAGACCAGACAAAGGGAGATTATGTTGCACTGTCAGGTATACAATGTACATGTATAGAAAGTTTCAGATGAACAATATCAACTGGAAATATCATTATTAATCCCTTGCTTTATTTATACATATGGACATGTAGCCCATGGTATGTTAACAATGAGGTAAAAGCTGAAGAAAATAACATAAAAGAAAAATCAAACAGATTGTGTTTGAGAAAATAATCAAACAAATTGATTATTCACAACCTATATACGTTGTAATTGTGTAACTTCATGTTTGAGTTGAAAGTAAATTTAAGTCTTTAGCATCCCTTTTTTTGTATGTGGATAAATTAGAGATTTTTTCTATCAAATTTGGTCTGCGGCTTCATTAACACATTGTATGTTAAGGAACAAGCAGCATGTTTATATGGAGAATCAGAAGTAGAATGGTGGTTTATTGAGTCCAGTGTGAGAAGTAAAGCATAATCTCTCCCTTCTTTCATTTGATTTGATTTGTTGACACTCTGTAATGTTAAAAGTGGAAAACGGGCCCTTGTATGAGTGATACAGCTACATAACAGTATTTTGAACTGAATTTGCTATGAATTTTCTTAGCACTATTTGGATATGATTCGAAGATGTAAAATCAGGAAATGTTTAGTAATATTGTTGTGAACAAAAAAAGATGTTTTGCATCTTTTCAAATGATTGTTCTATTATGTAGGAAAATGCCCTGTGGGCTAGTAAGTGTGCTATAAATTTACTCACACTTGTAATATTTGATCTCTTTCGCCAGAGTCAGAAAAAAATGTTATAAATTCAATAGATCTTTCAACTTTTGTTTATAATTATACTGGAATTGAATAACATTGATTTTAAATTAGATGAATTTTCATATTTGACTGAAATTCATATCTTCTTCGGGTTTGACAAATGTTTTCTAGGATATTTCAGAAAAAAATTGCTACCACTGGTTATATGATATTCATTGATATAATCACCAGCTTCCTCAAATAGAGATGGCAGTGAAAATCTCAGATCTTAAAAAAAGTGAATCATAAAATGTGTTGTCAGTGAAACACAAAAGGAGTACGAAGGGAGGTAGACCTACTGCTTGTTTATTGATAACAGATCAGTGAAAAAATACAAATTACTGTATAGGACAGTATCAAGATTTTTTATGATGGTAGAAATTCAAAGGGTTACATGTATTTATATTTACTTGACTGTATTGTTGAGAAGACTACACCAACAATACAATATCTTTATCTAAATTAATATCAGTAGATCTTCTATATACGGAAACAGTTCTACATTTAATTAGCTCGTATCTTTAAATCTGTAATGTTATTTTGGTAATAGTTACTTGTGATTAATTAAGATGTACTCTGTATATTAATGCTTATTTTTGTGTATGTTTTACCATTTATATATGAAATATGTTAATAGTATGTGTACTTATAACCTGAATATTTGTAGTGATTCATGCTAAGAAATACAATAAGTGAAAATAAGTAGGGAAGTGTACTAATATGATATCGCTAATTATGTGTGAGAGTAAAGGAATGAGAAAATGAGTTAATCAAGATCACAATTACTAATAATATACATTAATTAAATTTAAATAAAAAATAGCAAAGTCATACTGTTCCATATTAATGAAAGCAAGCTATTTGTATGATTATGCAGATGTTAATTTGTAATGTTTTTGTTTTGTTTCTTTGTGTGCTCAATGATCTTTAAAATGTTTTTGAAATGGGATACTAAAGTTTACAAGACAGGTACCTATTATACATTGGTTGGCTATGTGAATGTAAACCCTAGTGAAAATCTCATTAAAAGTATGTGCACATTGACAGCAAGCCCTAGTGAATATCTCATTAAAAATGTGTGTGTGCACTGTATACACTATTCTATTGAAAATCTCATTAAAACTGTGTGTATATGGACAGTAAACACCAGTGAAAATCTCATTAAAAGTGTGTGTATTTGGACTTTAAACTCATTAATTGGTGAAATTCATTGTTCTCTTTATATCATGCATCTGCAGCTAGTAGAAAGCTTGATAAGATAATTTCAGAAAATAGAATTACACCATGCAAGTCAAGTAAAATACTGTAGTTACCAATAATACCCTAGTGGAAACACATAATTGGTGCTCAGCTGTTTTTGTAATTACCAATACCTAATATCACAACTAGTTACTTTGATAATTAATTGGCCTCTGTTCGGTTTTAAAGTGAAACTGAGCTTATACTTTATGTTGTTGCCAGGTGATATCTGTTTTTAGAAAACAATATCTTGACTTAAATACTTTTTTTTTCTGATCAGAGATTGACCAAGTTTTGGTTTATATAAGACTGTTAGCATCCTTGGAACCAAGGAATCTGCATATGTATGCATAAGAATAGGCAACTTTTATAAATGATTTAACATTAATTTAACTACAGTTTAAACTGTTATATCAAGTATTCTAGTTCCGGATGTAGCTAGTAACATAGAACATAGTAACTAGTTTCCTTAAGGAAGTTAATACTGTATCTATTGATCAGTATCATTGTAAGTGACAGAGTCTATTGTTGTATATTTGTGAGTTTAAACCCACAGATGTTTGATTTTGACTGTATAAAACCAGTCTGTATATGAAGATGTAGTGTTGTTAACAGGCTACAGATGGTAAGTTGTTTGACAGAGTGAATTCATATGTATTGATGTCTGTGGATGAGAACCCTCCATATACACCGTAGCTTTGCATTGTCATATCTGTACTGATATCCATGGTTAAAGGTTAGGGTTTATCTCTCAGATAGGTCTATCACCCACTGACCTTTTTTATTTCTTATGAACTTTGTTAGTAAAGCATGTTTACTAGATATGAAGTGCTGTTTATCAGCTGATATCAGATGTATATGGATAACTTGAAAGTAAGCAAAGTTAGACTCTATATATTATTACTGGGTACATAGTTTGATAGAGCATGCACTTTATACAGTACTTATATCATCTGATCCCGGCCATATACAGATCACAGTGGTGTATCACTTGTACACTGTGTATATACTGTGATAAGTACAACACAAGTTCTCTGTGGCAGAGTTAGGGTGTACATATGTTTAACAAGGTGAAATGGTTTATCTATATATAATATGAATAATGATTGTCACAAAATAAACTTTAAGGCAGTATTTTAGAGATAGCCTAGGTTACTGATAAAGGTCACTAAAGCCAAATCAAATGTACATTTTTTTTCTGACAGTAAATCATCCGTAATGTATCTTAATATTATAGTACTTTTGGGAGTGATGCCAGTAACTTGTTGGTGACTGGTGAAGATGCCATTGTTGAATTTATTGTTGGTGAATTTCGTAAAGGTCACATACAATGCCAAAAATAATAAAATGTCTGAAAGTACAATATATGCTCTGTTGTGGTTTGGTTTTGTGAGCTGAGGTAATGCAGATAATTGATATGACATTTAGGTATTAGATAAATCATCTTTTGCAAAGATCAATGATAGCCCAACTTACACCAGTAGAGCAGTGTGCAGCTACTGTTTGTAAACAGACTAAAAATGTGTAGCCGGACAGAGAAGGTCAACATTTCGATGTGAATTTTTTTGCATAGATTATTGACATAGACTTTAATGAAGGAGGGTAGAAAAACCTCAAATTCTTAAAATTTTCCCTTAAACATGTCATCACAATTAAATGTATTAATTGTTATTATTATCATAACTTGTTGAAATGATCGTCATACCACTGTCTTACATCTACAGAGCATCATGATAGCACTGTGTGTGGCAGTCTTTACAATACTCGTTGTCCTCTTCTTCGGAGTATGGAAGCTGCGTACCAAAGGTAGGCTTCTATATGTTGTAAACAACATTCATTATAATATGTATGATGAAAGGTGAACCCTGAATATACCCAGAGCTTTTCCTACTCCAGTCCAGTATATGTGTTTAAAAGACAATTAAAAATCATATACACATGTTAATTAGTTATAGCTCTAGAGTTAAACAATATTGTGTCATGATATCACATTACCTTGCAGATCCAATCTGTCTTGTGAAAAATTCTCCATGTCAGAAAAGCATGTATTTAACTTGTATATACTTTGTAGGTATACCTTATTTCAGATCATGTTAACTTAGCAATTCTCATTTTATTTCAACTCTCCACTTTCATACAGTGCTGCCAAGCCGGAGTGGAGTGCCTCGGAAACCTCGCTTCAGAAAGAGAGACAAAGTTTTGTTCTATGGACGCAAAATGCTACGAAAGGTTTTAAGCTTTCTCTGATTACATATAGCATTGATTCCAGAATTGGCAATCTTAAACCTCTTTATCATGAAATTTTTTAGTTGGTCAACTTGTCTACTTGTTCAACAATTGGGAAAAGAAAAAAAATCCCACCCCCCTCCTCTTCAAACCATGTCACACTTAAATTCTAATATGTGTGCTATAATAGCTTTGGATACAAGTTTATTTCATGGTAGATTCTCTATTTATTTAGGTAAGGAGTTTTACTAAAAATACTGTTGGAGCAGCCTACTCTGGTCCTGGCCGAGGGAAATTGAAAAATAAACAGTTAGTGATGAAATTAGCTAAAAGGTAGGTTGTTCTGATATAATGGAAATGTACACTTATTGTACAGAATATTTTTGTAAATGTATGCTTTCTGTTTTCTCTGATTTTAGAAATAAATTAGCATTTGTAATAAAACAATCAATTTATACTTTATTCCAGATCCAAGGTAATTGTCAGATTAGTAAATTTTTGTATTGGATAATAAAATGTTTAAATCATACAAGGAATAGCACAGATTTTGAAAGTTGCATAAAAGATATGTTTTATTCAGCCATCCTGCAATATTTCAGATTATTATTAGTGTATATTGTAAGACATAATACTAGTTGTCAAATCAATCATTTTACACTGTTGTAAGATCTATGGATACAGAATAAAATTTCCTCAATTGTTTCTTATTTGTCTAACTGCACAAAATTATGATGAGTCCTATTACATAGAAAGACAATGGTTTCTCAAAATAGAAAGACAATGGTTTCTCAAAATTTGTTTGCTTCCCACTTGGAATGCAATGAGTCCAAGACTCAAATATCAGAGTAAAAAAGAGTCACCATTGTAATACATGTGTAACAAAAGTCTGTATAATTTTCCTTGTAAGGTTACTGCAGCTGCGAAACAGGAATGCCCTACCACAGAGGAAACACACAGAGCCTCCACAATCCTTCCTGGAGACAGACTCGTCGGAGATTGAGGAGTCCGATCATCGTCTTCCACCAGAGGTGCTTTACATGCTCCGTAGTACTAGGTAAACAAAATCTATTCACACTATATTTACTGCTTAAATAATTCCTTAATATTGGATGGAGACTTTCCTTTGTATAAGCCTTCATGCTAGAATACCTGCTATATGCTTTCTCTCATACAGGATTCATAACGGTCAAATATCATTTTCTGACGTATGATATTTTTATCTGTAAATTGAACAATGATTTGAAAGTCAATTTTCTGGAAAACAAATTTGATTACTCTTTTTGGAAGTTTGGTTTTATGTCATTATGTTTCTGTAAATTATCCAAAACAATTAGTGGTATGGTTCCTCATAGCTTATCTTGTGTCCTTTTCTGTTTAGAAGACTAGAAAAATATCTTGACTTTATTTAAAAAAAAAAAAACCACTTTTATTACGGCTACTGACTGAAAGTATGTGTACATCATCAGGGTAAAATCATATCAAACTTTTGTAAAGATGGTAGAAACTAGTCACATTGTACCATTTAGCTAGAGAGATTTTCTCGTTAGTTCGATTAGTTAAGTGTAAGACTAATCGACCAGCGGTCCCAGATTTATTCTCTAGTGTGGGCATTAATGACCTTCTGTAAAGTTATTTCATTCTTGGGTAAATTTCTATAAAACAGATATTAGTTCTTGCATAATTAGCATATTCTGTACATATATGATAATAGATGAATATGGAAATTGATTAAATATTTTTCGTTTTGTTATTAAATGTTGGGTACAATGTATATGTTAAATAAAATTTTACTATTATAGCATTATATTGAATTTACCAAAAATTCATATTTTGATATGATACAAACCTTTATGTAAAATTATAATATAGATTGTTCTGTCATTTTTTGTAATATGAGAATTTTGAGTGACATGATGCTTGAAGCTGTGTATAAGATTTCTTTTTTTTAAGATAACTTATCACAATGAATTGAATTAAGATTGCAGACTTTCATTTTCTGTGCTTGGTTTTCAGAGTTTTTGGACATTTTGAGAAACCATTATTTTTAGAGCTAGTCAAGCATATGGAGTCCAAATTTATAGCTCCTGGTGGCTACCTGTTTAAAATTGGCGATGTGGATGACAGTATATATGTGGTACAAAGTGGCAAACTACATGTATATATAGCAGAGGCGGTAAGTCACCTACTCCAAGACATGTCTACATAGCATAGGTCGTAGGTCACCTACTACTCACAGACATGTCTATATAGTAGAGGCGGTAAGTCACCTACTCACAGACATGTCTACATAGCAGAGGTCGTAGGTCACCTACTACTTCACAAACATGTCTATATAGTAGAGGTGGTAAGTCACCTACTCACAGAATTGTCTATATAGCAGAGGTTGTAAGTCACCTACTACTAACAGACATGTCTATATAGTAGAGGTGGTAAGTCCTATAATTCAAATAGACATGTCCTTATAGCAGAGGTAGTGTGTTGGTACAAGAAATATTACCAGCTATATTTTGTTCTGTCTGCACAAACACTGTTCTTCATTTTTGCTACAGACATACATGTGAACATATTTTGATATATCTTTAACATGTGTTTTTAACTTAGACATGTCTGTGTGAACATGGATTTTAATGGTAAGGTGAAGACTTGAAAATGAAGAAATCATTTTATGATTTAGTTCTGATCAGATTGTACCCTATAGAAGATTGTAGATATCAGTGATATTGATGTGTTTATTCCAGGAGTCTGAATATTTTGTAAAAGAAGTGAATACAGGCGACAGTATCCACAGTCTGCTTAGTATACTGGATGTCCTTACAGTAAGTAGCTTCTCATCTTCTGATTCTGTGTTTGATTTGTAAGGGTTTTACATATGAACTTGTGTGTTGTCTATGAAGCAGACTCACACAATACACTTTATATTGAACTAGTGTTTATTTGTCATTTTCATGACAATTAAGTTTTATAAAGCTTACATATCTGGACAGCAACGAAGTTCATCTCAAAGCACTGTAGGAGAACATCTGGAGATTATCTAGAAGAACAAGTATGGTTTACATAAGAATGTGTCAGATATTATACAATTTTTAGTAAATTATGTATGTAATGTCTAGAGTTTCAAACAGTTGTTCCTTTATAGAAAAAGATTTTTTTTTCGTAGAACGACATTTCTGATTCTTCCTTAGAATATACATTGAGGGGATAGGCTTGCCAGCTTATTTTACAATAAGAAATTTACTTATATATCACTAAATCACTATAATTCAATTATTCTGACATGTCTCCATTTCTGTTGGTTTTATGTAGGGCGTTGTAAGTACACAGCACGCTATCAGTACATCTTACCACAGAATAAATAACCATTACATTCACCAGCTCTCTCTGCTCCTTCATTCTGCAATAATCATATCTTATTGAAATATAAACATAGAATGAATTTCTAAATCCACTAAATATTAATCTCTTTAATAGGTAACAACCGTGTTATTACAGATTTATTAGCCAGTTTTTATTTATAAGTTACTAAACAACCCAGCTCATCACAATTGTTTTACCTGCTTGTGTGTTGTTGAGAGTGGAACCACCATGTCTTCTGCTATCAATGTATTTTAATGGATTCACATAAGACAAACATTTTTAAAATGTTTCTTTAAGATATCGCATACTTTGTTTTATGAAATGATGGAAAGACATGATGGATTTCCCTTATCCTGCATTGTAAAATATTCTAAAAGATTGAAATATTTTATAATTCATTCTGCATTGTTTTTTGTTATGTTATTAAGAAGTGTATTATTATTAAATTGATGTTGAGGTATATGTGTAGATTGACTACAAAATGACATTACCATTTCTATGCAGCAATAAGCACAAGTTTGATAATAAGCCCAACAACAGCTATTAAGTTTCACTGGAAACAGAACAGCTGTTATATCAGTGTCTGGTAATAAGCCTGACAACAGCTATGAATTTTCACTGGAAACCGAACAGCTGTTTATATCTGTGTCTGGTAATAAGCCCAACAGCAGTTAAGTTTTAGTGGAAACAGAACAGCTGTAATATCGTTTTCTAGTAATAAGCCCAACAGAATCTATAAAGTTTTAGTGGAAACAGAACAGCTGTAATATCGTTTTCTAGTAATAAGCCCAACAGAAGCTATGAAGTTTCACTGGAAACAGAACAGCTGTTTTTATCTGTGTCTGGTAATAAGCCCAACAATAGCTATGTATTTTCACTGGAAACAGAACAGCTGTTATAGCAGTGTCTCAGAATAAGTTAGCCTCCCTTCTTTGAATCAGAGAATGTGTAATTGCTCCTTGGACATTTTGCATGTATTGTTAGGTAGTTTACCTGATCACCATGTGACAATTATTGTACTTTGGACAATTTCAAAGAAAAATCCTTTTGTTGTAGAACAAGTATTCAATTGTAATCAGAGTGTGCATGTGCTTTCTGCCCATTCACCTTTAATCCTTTATATCCTTCTGTCTGTTCACCTGTAAACCTTTATTATGCTTCCCAAAGGGAGGGCATATAGTCGTTGCTTTGTCTGTTTGTCTGTCTCTCCCTCCATCCGTCCGTCCGTCTGTCATAATTTTGTCCGGAGCAGAACACAAAAACTATAAGAGGTATTAACACAAAACTTCATAGGTAGATAGATCTCAAAAAGGAGAAGTTCAGTGCCTAAGAACCATCACTCTCTTTCGCATAATTTAGTAGTTATTGCCTTTTGTTATTTTTCATATTTAAATGTTATCTGGGGCATTACACTAAAACTATAGACGGTATCAACATGAAACTGCATAGGTAGATAAATCTCAACAAGGAGAAATGCAGTGAGTAAGAACAATCACTCATTTTAAGCATGATGTAGGAGTTATTGCCCTTTGCTATTTTTCATACTAAAATTTTGTCCAATTCAGAGGGCAAAAACCATCTCTGACAGCCCTTATTACACTCTGTCTATTCACATGTAATCCATTCTTTCACTCTATCTGTTCTCCTGTAATCCATTATTTCATTATGTCTTTTGACCTGTAATCCAACCTTTTGTTCTGTCTGTTCACCAGTAATCTAACCCTTTGTTCTGTCTGTTCACCTGTAATCCAAACTTTTGTTCTGTCTGTTCACCTGTAATCTAACCCTTTGTTCTGTCTGTTCACCTGTAATCCAAACTTTTGTTCTGTCTGTTCACCTGTAATCCAAACTTTTGTTCTGTCTGTTCACCTGTAATCCAACCCTTTGTTCTGTCTGTTCACCTGTAATCCAAACTTTTGTTCTGTCTGTTCACCTGTAATCCAAACTTTTGTTCTGTCTGTTCACCTGTAATCCAAACTTTTGTTCTGTCTGTTCACCTGTAATCCAAACTTTTGTTCTGTCTGTTCACCTGTAATCCAAACTTTTGTTCTGTCTGTTCACCAGTAATCTAACCCTTTGTTCTGTCTGTTCACCTGTAATCCAAACTTTTGTTCTGTCTGTTCACCTGTAATCTAACCCTTTGTTCTGTCTGTTCACCTGTAATCCAACCCTTTGTTCTGTCTGTTCACCTGTAATCCAAACTTTTGTTCTGTCTGTTCACCTGTAATCCAAACTTTTGCTCTGTCTGTTCACCTGTAATCCAAACTTTTGCTCTGTCTGTTCACCTGTAATCCAAACTTTTGTTCTGTCTGTTCACCTGTAATCTAACCCTTTGTTCTGTCTGTTCACCTGTAATCCAAACTTTTGTTCTGTCTGTTCACCTGTAATCCAAACTTTTGCTCTGTCTGTTCACCTGTAATCAAACCTTTCATTTTCTCTGTTCACCTGCACATCCAGTCTCTCATTTTAGGTGGTTTTCTCATAATCGAGATACTGATGTCCACATGGCTGTAAAGTTGTGTGTATCACTGAAAACATAAATGACCTACATTTGTAGCTTCAGATTCACCATGACATACTGTTATATGGTTTTATATGTACCTTTTTGAACATATATGGTGCTGAGTGGTGTATAGTGGTGGTCTCCATAAGAATGGTCCACTGTATGGTTGGTAATTTTCATAGTGGATTTAATTTGGCTTTATTTGCTGACAATAAGGATAGCTCCAAGTTAAACACTCAGCACAGAGTTTTACAGTGAGTGAAAATATCTGTTTTGTTTAAGCATGAACACCAGTTCATAGACATGCACTAAAATTAATTCCCATTAACTAGCCAAAACATGGCAACTGCGAAAATGTTGGTCCCACCAAAATAAACAATTATGCAGCACTATCTGGAATCACATCATAGAAGATGGATACCAAGGCTTTTGTTTGGCTGAAATCTTTTGAGCTATAATGCGCTATATACTTTCTACTAATGTGATCATATTTCCTGAGTAGTGATGTTTAGAAGATGACCCACCTAGATAACACCATAATGCCAACAAAATCCAAAATACTTCATCATAGCTTATGCATGTGATTAAGTGGTATAGGAGGCTAGGCATGTGAGTCTGAAAATATGCTTTAATTGTGCTATCATTTCTTACATACATACATACATTCTGATATATTGGTAACTAGCGTATTTACGTTGACATACACGGGATACATGCAAATTATTATTATATAACAATGACAGTGCTTAAGGAGTAATCCAATAATTTCTGACCTTGTATCAGCTTGATATAAAAAATAATATAGATATTCTGTTTTGTATCAATTACAAACATTTGGCATGATGCTGTATAATGACTAAAAGTATAAACATTGTAACCAGTGGTTCTAGATTGCTCTGTCAATGCACTGGCACAGACAAGGCTGGTACAGGTGTTCTAATCATATAACACCGAAGACCAACAAACAACAAATATACTGGAGTGGCTCCCCATAGTTATAACAGTATATACATGGAAGATTCCTTGTTACATATCCAGTTACTTTAAGATGGCTTCTCATCACTTTATCAAGTTACTTTCAGATCTAGTTACTTTTAGATGGCTCCTCAATGCTATATCCAGTTACTTTTAGATAGCCCCTCAATGCTATATCCAGTTACTTTTAGATGGCCCCTCAATGCTATATTCAGTTACTTTTAGATGGCCCCTCAATGCTTTATCTAGTTACTTTAAGATGACCCCTCAATGATACATATAGTTACTTTTAGATGGCCCCTCAATGCTTTATCTAGTTATTTTAAGATGACCCCTCAATGCTATATCCAGTTACTTTTAGATGGCCCCCTCAATGCTTTATCCAGTTACTTTTAGATAGCCCCTCAATTCTATATCCAGTTACTTTTAGATGGCCCCTCAATGCTGTATCCAGTTACTTTTAGATAGCCCCTCAATGCTCTATCTAGTTACTTTTAGATAGCCCCTCAATTCTATATCCAGTTACTTTTAGATGGCCCCTCAATGCTGTATCCAGTTACTTTTAGATGGCCCCTCAATGCTGTATCCAGTTACTTTTAGATGGCCCCTCAATGCTTTATCTAGTTACTTTAAGAAGACCCCTCAGTGCTATATCCAGTTACTTTTAGATGGCCCCTCAATGCTGTATCCAGTTACTTTTAGATGGCCCCTCAATGCTGTATCCAGTTACTTTTAGATGGCCCCTCAATGCTTTATCTAGTTACTTTAAGAAGACCCCTCAGTGCTATATCCAGTTACTTTTAGATAGCCCCTCAATGCTGTATCTAGTTACTTTAAGATGGCTCCTTATCACTAGATATACTATAGATTAACTCATCTCTCTATATTTACACACTGGACGCATTTGATGTTGCCTTTTTACAACATTTTATTTTTGGGGATTCCTTGTATGTTTTGTAGTTTTGGGTTTATGTTACAGAAAAGCACTGGTATTTAGCATAATCCACTTCTTTGTAATACCAGCTGAGCTTTTAATTAAGTGGCCAGTGCTAGATGAAATGTATATTTTTATAGTGTTTAAGGATATTACATGCTACTAACAGAATATAATTCTCAGTGTTTTCTCTCCTGTTAATTGTGCGATCATTGAGGTAGGGATTTTATTTTTGTTTTAATAACAAGAAATGATTCATGTATGTGATAAAAAATGATATTATTTTCAGTGTCATGCCCAACCTTTTAAAACTGTTTCTGCAAAAGCAGTTGAAGAAACAACAGTATTGAGGTAAATATTTATGATACAGACACTACGTAAAATTAATTGTTCAGTTTGAATAAATAAATTTGATTTTATTATGAGATTGAATCCAATTATAAATGTTGACACTCATGATCAACATGACTACTAGACATAAGCAAATCAAATATGTCATACCTAAAGCAGTGATTGTATTTATGAATGTCACATACAACAATGTGTCTTTATGTCTGTTGTTCCTAATGTCTTATAACTTATTGCTCTGTTAGGTTGCCTGCTCTTGCCTTCCAATCTCTGTTTGAGCGATTCCCAGAGTCCTTGGTTAGAGTTGTTCAGGTAAGACATTAATATAAATAATTACACAATGTATGCAATTACACAGTGTAAATAATTTTATGATGTTTATAACTACACAATGTATATAATTCTATAATGTCTGTAATTTCACATTGTATGTAATTACAATGTTTTTAATTACCTAATATATGTAATATAAATGTATATAATTACACAATATTTATACTTACACAAAGTATACATTATGACCTAATGTCTGTAATTACATATGTATGTAATTGTTCAATGAATTGAAATGTTTACCTGTAAAATGATTGCTGCTGGTGTTCTTTTGACTACCAAACTGTTTGCGAGAGTGTCACAAACTTAAGTAGGTTACCAGGTAAGTTGTTTTCTTCCCTTTCCTACAAGGGGTGAGAAATGTCTCGCAATAAGAAATTAAATTTTAGAAACTTGAATGTAATGGGAATTAAGTCATCATTGTGTGTAATTAAAAGTAATTTAAAACCAACAGTGAGATGATTTAGGCTGATACATCTTCTAACTTTTGCTTTGTATGATTTTACAGATCATAATGATACGACTACAGCGTGTGACGTTTACTGCTTTACATAACTACTTAGGCCTCAGTAATGAACTCATCAGTCCCGTAAGTTTCTTCTTACTGACTAGGTATCATTGGTAATAAATGATTGGTATATCTTATAACAATGGCAACTTGTAAATTCTTTATTATTAGATGTTGCACAAATATATTCTGTAGCTCCATATGTTGTCATGATACATCATGTAACTCAAAATGTCACCCTAATATATCCTGTTATTAAAAATGTCGCCTAAATATATACTGTTATTAAAAATGTTGCCCAAATATATACTGTTATTAAAAATGTTGCCCAAATATATACTGTTATTAAAATGTTGCCCAAATATATGCTGTGATTGAAAATGTCACCCAAATATATGCTGTGATTGAAAATATTGCTAAATTGTATCCTGTAACTCCAGATGTTTCCAAAATATATCTTGTTATTCCAAATGTCATATACATCTTTTAAATCTAAATGGCACCCATGAACGTCCCGAAACTCACAATAACACCTCCATACAGCATCCTTATGGCACTTGTACACATCTATTAACTTCTTTAAAATTTCCTTTTAATATGAAATGTACTTTATGTCAAATTTCAATCCCATATTTCCACTCATTTAACCAAACACCCTATGATAAATCTCAAAAATACCAATTTTAATTTTCATTAAGTGATGCAACATTGAGCTTAAATTTTCCTCACCTTGATATGACTAAGGTATTTACATAACTATCTTACAACAAAGGTTATCATAGAAAGACTTTAAATTATAAATCATGGGGCCACCCTGATACTTTACTCCAGAGAAATCATTTCAAGTTGATAGGATTAACACAAAACTTTGATGATTCAAGACTGATTATGTTCTGTTCCCAGGCAAGCAATACTGAGATGCGAACTCTGTCTATCCACACCATTACTCCACAGTCGAGTCCGTATAAACGCCAAACTAGTTTTACACCCTCTTCATCATCAGACATGGAGACTCTGAAAGCTTCCTTCACAGATGGTAATCATTTCTTACTGATTGGTTATACAACTGTTTATAATTATAAATGATGATATTTATATAGTAACCAGATAACCAGTTATAATGTATTAACTCTATCTATATATAGTAACCAGATAACCAGTTATAATGTATTAACTCTATCTATATGTAGTAACAAGATAACCAGTTATGCATTAACCCTATCTATATATAGTAACAAGATAACCAGTTATAATGTATTAACTCTATCTATATATAGTAACAAGATAACCAGTTATAATGCATTAACCCTATCTATATATAGTAACAAGATAACCAGTTATAATGTATTAACTCTATATATATACAGTAACAAGATAACCAGTTATAATGCATTAACCCTATCTATATATAGTAACAAGATAACCAGTTATAATGTATTAACTCTATATATATATACAGTAATAAGATAACCAGTTATAATGCATTAACCCTATCTATATATAGTAACAAGATAACCAGTTATAATGTATTAACTCTATCTATATATAGTAACAAGATAACCAGTTATAATGTATTAACTCTATCTATATATAGTAACAAGATAACCAGTTATAATGTATAAACTCTATATATATACAGTAACAAGATAACCAGTTATAATGTATTAACTCTATCTATATATAGTAACAAGATAACCAGTTATAATGTATTAACTCTATCTATATTTAGTAACAAGATAACCAGTTATAATGTATTAACTCTATCTATATATAGTAACAAGATAACCAGTTATAATGTATTAACTCTATATGTAGTAACAGGATAACCAGTTATAATGTATTAACTCTATATATATATAACAAGATAACCAGTTATAATGTATTAACTCTATATATAGTAACAAGATAACCAGTTATAATGCATTAACCCTATCTATATATAGTAACAAGATAACCAGTTATAATGTATTAACTCTATATATAGTAACAAGATAACCAGTTATAATGTATTAACTCTATATATAGTAACAAGATAACCAGTTATAATGTATTAACTCTATATATAGTAACAAGATAACCAGTTATAATGTATTAACTCTATCTATATATAGTAACAAGATAACCAGTTATAATGTATTAACTCTATCTATATATAGTAACAAGATAACCAGTTATAATGTATTAACTCTATCTAAATATAGTAACAAGATAACCAGTTATAATGTATAAACTCTATATATATACAGTAACAAGATAACCAGTTATAATGTATTAACTCTATCTATATATAGTAACAAGATAACCAGTTATAATGTATTAACTCTATATGTAGTAACAAGATAACCAGTTATAATGTATTAACTCTATCTATATATAGTAACAAGATAACCAGTTATAATGTATTAACTCTATATGTAGTAACAAGATAACCAGTTATAATGTATTAACTCTATATATAGTAACAAGATAACCAGTTATAATGCATTAACTCTATCTATATATAGTAACAAGATAACCAGTTATAATGTATTAACTCTATATATAGTAACAAGATAACCAGTTATAATGTATAAACTCTATACATATACAGTAACCAGATAACCAGTTATGATGTATTAACTCTATATATATATAGTAACAAGATAACCAGTTATAATGTATTAACTTTATCTATATATAGTAACAAGATAACCAGTTATAATGTATTAATCTATATGTAGTAACAAGATAACCAGTTATAATGTATTAACTCTATATATATACAGTAACAAGATAACCAGTTATAATGTATTAACTCTATATATAGTAACAAGATAACCAGTTATAATGTATTAACTCTATCTATATATAGTAACAAGATAACCAGTTATAATGTATTAACTCTATCTATATATAGTAACAAGATAACCAGTTATAATGTATTAACTCTATCTATATATAGTAACAAGATAACCAGTTATAATGTATAAACTCTATATATATACAGTAACAAGATAACCAGTTATAATGTATTAACTCTATCTATATATAGTAACAAGATAACCAGTTATAATGTATTAACTCTATATGTAGTAACAAGATAACCAGTTATAATGTATTAACTCTATCTATATATAGTAACAAGATAACCAGTTATAATGTATTAACTCTATATGTAGTAACAAGATAACCAGTTATAATGTATTAACTCTATATATAGTAACGAGATAACCAGTTATAATGCATTAACTCTATCTATATATAGTAACAAGATAACCAGTTATAATGTATTAACTCTATATATAGTAACAAGATAACCAGTTATAATGCATTAACTCTATCTATATATAGTAACAAGATAACCAGTTATAATGTATTAACTCTATATATAGTAACAAGATAACCAGTTATAATGTATAAACTCTATACATATACATAACCAGATAACCAGTTATAATGTATTAACTCTATATGTAGTAACAAGATAACCAGTTATAATGTATTAACTCTATCTATATATAGTAACAAGATAACCAGTTATAATGTATTAACTCTATATATAGTAACAAGATAACCAGTTATAATGTATAAACTCTATACATATACAGTAACCAGATAACCAGTTATAATGTATTAACTCTATATATATATAGTAACAAGATAACCAGTTATAATGTATTAACTCTATCTATATATAGTAACAAGATAACCAGTTATAATGTATAACTCTATATGTAGTAACAAGATAACCAGTTATAATGTATTAACTCTATATATATACGAGATAACCAGTTATAATGCATTAACTCTATCTATATATAGTAACAAGATAACCAGTTATAATGTATTAACTCTATCTATATATAGTAACAAGATAACCAGTTATAATGTATTAACTCTATCTATATATAGTAACAAGATAACCAGTTATAATGTATAAACTCTATATATATACAGTAACAAGATAACCAGTTATAATGTATTAACTCTATCTATATATAGTAACAAGATAACCAGTTATAATGTATTAACTCTATATGTAGTAACAAGATAACCAGTTATAATGTATTAACTCTATATATATATATAACAAGATAACCAGTTATAATGTATTAACTCTATATGTAGTAACAAGATAACCAGTTATAATGTATTAACTCTATATATAGTAACAAGATAACCAGTTATAATGCATTAACTCTATCTATATATAGTAACAAGATAATCAGTTATAATGTATTAACTCTATATATAGTAACAAGATAACCAGTTATAATGTATAAACTCTATACATATACAGTAACCAGATAACCAGTTATAATGTATTAACTCTATATATATATAGTAACAAGATAACCAGTTATAATGTATTAACTCTATCTATATATAGTAACAAGATAACCAGTTATAATGTATTAACTCTATATATAAACAGAAACAAGATAACCAGTTATAATGTATTAACTCTATATATAGTAACAAGATAACCAGTTATAATGTATTAACTCTATCTATATATAGTAACAAGATAACCAGTTATAATGTATTAACTCTATCTATATATAGTAACAAGATAACCAGTTATAATGTATTAACTCTATCTATATATATAACAAGATAACCAGTTATAATGTATAAACTCTATATATATACAGTAACAAGATAACCAGTTATAATGTATTAACTCTATCTATATATAGTAACAAGATAACCAGTTATAATGTATTAACTCTATATGTAGTAACAAGATAACCAGTTATAATGTATTAACTCTATCTATATATAGTAACAAGATAACCAGTTATAATGTATTAACTCTATATATAGTAACAAGATAACCAGTTATAATGTATTAACTCTATCTATATATAGTAACAAGATAACCAGTTATAATGTATTAACTCTATATATAGTAACAAGATAACCAGTTATAATGTATAAACTCTATACATATACAGTAACCAGATAACCAGTTATAATGTATTAACTCTATATATATATAGTAACAAGATAACCAGTTATAATGTATTAACTCTATCTATATATAGTAACAAGATAACCAGTTATAATGTATTAACTCTATATGTAGTAACAAGATAACCAGTTATAATGTATTAACTCTATCTATATACAGTAACAAGATAACCAGTTATAATGTATTAACTCTATATGTAGTAACAAGATAACCAGTTATAATGTATAAACTCTATATGTAGTTACAAGATAACCAGTTATAATGTATTAACTCTATATAGTATCAGGATAACAAAACAAAAATAACTGAGTGGAAAATGAATGTTTGCAAAAAAGTTAATATAATGTTTATAAAATTGATATTGATATTGAATCGAATATTAAATGTTATTGTATCTGATCTTTAATGTAAAACTAGTTTCTCCCAATGTGATCTACATATGAAGAGAGAAGACAAATGTAAAACAGACTGTTATGTATAATTTACTTTGACAACTTTGTAAACTTTCTGTAATATAAATTTGATATGATTTATTAGTAAAAAGACAATACTCAGAAGGCAGTGATGTGGATCACCTTAAGTCTGACTTTGACACAGCACGTATGCGTGCACGTGCACTCAGTGCTTCCAAGATTGAGGTTGAAGGAGCACCATCAAGTACTTCATCTGCACAGAGACACAAAGTGAAGAAAACAGAAATGACTTTATCAACATCATCTCAAAATACTAATGAAGAGATGGTTCTCAACCTTGCAAAGAAAGACCTCATCACCCTACTCAAACTTAAGGTAAGTACCTTAAAATCATTTCCTTTCCTGTCAAGTTGAACAATAATGTTCCTGTTCTTGGCCATTTAAATAATGTATAGAGGGTAATGTATAGAGGGTAACCTATGTCTGTGTTCCAGGAATATGTTACTGTTCCTCTGTCCCTGTATCTTACTTTGTACTGAAAATAAAAAAAATTGTCTCACATGTACTGTTAGTAAAACCTGTTTCTTACTGTATACAGCTGGTAGAGTCTGTTTCTCACTGTATATAATTGAAACTTTTTTCTTACTGTATATAATTAGAACTTGTTTCTTACTGTATATAATTAGAACTTGTTTCTCAATGTATACTGTTAGCAGAACCTGTTTCTCACAGCAAAGTAAATAGAACATGTATGATTGAATATATGTAAGCCAATTACCCCCTTACAGTTTGATCATTTTGTGACAATGAATACCCCTTCTATCAAAACTGCTAATGAACTCTTTACGTTATTTTTTTTATGTCACTTTCAAATTTTTTATTTTTAAAATAACAAATCCTTATTGAATATTCAAATGAATTTGTATTGATTGATATGCCACAGGATTCCACCATTTTGGATGACAAGGTGTCCTTTCAGTACATCAAAGCTGGAACCACACTCATCAAACAAGGTGATCAGGTAAATCTACTTTATAGACTTTGAACACAAGAAGTTATTTATGAGGTATAGAGATGTATTTGTGGACACCACCACTATGAAACCAACTTCTGTGTGAATTTTAGTAAATTGTAGAGAAGGTTACAGTGCAGAAGGAATCTGATGGTATAGTAGAATTTCAAACTATATTTGTGAAAAAAATACAGCCGAGGAGTATCTTCTTAAGAAATTGAAGGGTATCAGAAGGTGTTGTATCCATTAAGGATTTCATAAATGTCTGCCCATAGATACACACCATAATTAATAGGTTTATACTGTAGTGGCTATCAGTGTACCATTTAGCGCCTCACTGGTGTCCACATTAAATAAGTAGTATTAAAAAAAACTGAATTTGTGATTCTTCAGGAGTGAAAGTTTGTAATACAAATTTACTGATGAAACATCTCCTTAAGAAATATACTTTTGATGAAAACATTTCAGGATGCAAGTCTCATTTTCCTCATCACTGGAAACCTGCTGATTCTCCAACAGGTTGTTGGAGCCAAAGAAAAAGAGGTTTGTATAAATATCCGGAAATCTAGATTATAAAAAACACGTTTGGAAAATGGAAAAAGTCCTTTCATTAATATGGAATATGTGTCTCCAGTTTTTCAATCAGTGAATATTTAAATTGATTGGATAATTATTTTGGCTAGCTATTAAAACATTATCAGAAATTGCATTATCTTTAGGTATCAGGTGATGATGTTTTGCTTATTTCTCCTCAGTTGATATTTCATTGTCTTCCTTGCAGCAAGCCCTCTTGTTTTGTTCCCAACCGGGAGAAATGGTGGGAGCACTGGCTGTATTGACTGGGGAGCCATCATTCTTTACCATCAGATCCAAAACTGATGTTCGCATTGTTGTCATTTCAAAAAATGACTTCTATGAGTATGTAAACAAAAAAGACACTACAGAAAGCATATGAAATTTTAGAAAAATTATAAAAATTTTAATTGACAAAATATAACAATAATTCTTTCTTTGAAGTGTTATAATCATGTGTTGAAGGTATTTATATATGGAGTATTACAATAAGTTCAATATTTTGACAAGAATGTAACTTTGTTGTTGCAGAATGATGCGTGTTCAGCCAGATGTTGTCCTTAATGTTGCCAAGACCACACTGGTGAGGATGACACCATTTGTACGACAAATCGACTTTGCCCTTGACTGGATGTTGACAGAGGCAGGAAAAGCACTATTCAGGTACTGTATCTGAAGTGGACTCACCATACTCAAGATGTCTGCAGTACAAAAAACTCCCAATCTGGATGGAACAGACTTCCACCAACCAGTCAGAAAATCAAAATTCAGGAAATGCTTTTAGGAAACAAAAAATAGACTTTCCTTGACAATTTTTTTCGATTGGCATACAGATTTTACTTGTGTAATGAAAGTAAGCAGGTTTGTAGCCATAGCGTCTTCTCTCATGTAATACTCCAGAGCGCCTGTTTTGTCACAGGTGTATCAAATAAAGCAATGATAAAGAAAAGAGTGTTGTCAAGTAGGTTCGATGGTGGTACTAATTGATAAACAGTTGTGCCTTAATTAGAAGTTAAGATGTTGACTTGTACATGCATGCAAGTCATTGGATGTTAAAATTTGACACATGAACAAGTGTGAGTCTTTGACTTGCACACAGAAAATGATGATTACTTTGTTACAGACAAGGAGACTACTCTGATAGTATCTATATCGTCCTCACTGGACGGTTTCGATCTGTGATCACCCAGAAGGATGGTAAGAAGGAGTTAGTGGCTGAGTATGGCCGTGGGGAGCTGGTTGGTATCGTGGAGGTCCTCACTGACACAGAACGCACCACTACAATGATGGCCATTCGGTAATTCTCTCGTTAAATTCCTCACCATTAATTGACATTATGAATTCTTTATTTGGTTCTCTTAGGTATTCATTGTTGTACTGTATTTGTTACCACAACTCATCTGTAACAGACTTAATCATTCCAATGTGGCTTCCTTTCTTTTTCAAGACTTATAGGGCTCTTTAAACTAATATCTCCTAATGGAAGGATTAGGTGATGCCTTTGTGTCATGCCCATTGTCACTCATTCTTCAGTCATTGATCTCTCAACTGTCTGTTTTAAATAATTGCTTTTTGTCTCTTACCACTGAGATAGGATCTTCTCTGGGCATCTTGTTTCATTCAGTGTTTTGGAGCTTGTTCTTTAAAGAGTTTTACTCCTACCTAAAATCTGCAAGTTCATTCAAGTTAAATCAAATCAAAATCATTTTGAAAAAAGCCAAGAACGCAAACAAATGATAATATACAGAAGAATATTTAGGAATGTCTAACTGATGTTACAGAGACACAGAGTGTGCTAAACTACCAGCAGAATTACTCAACTTAATAAAGAGAAAATACCCACACATTGTCACTCGGCTGATCCATCTCCTGGGACAGAGGATTCTGGGACATTTACAGACCTCACGTCAGCAGGTTCCTCTTGGAGGTAGGCATTGGATCACACTGTTTTTGTCACAACTGAGAACAAACAGGTGACAGTTATATTTATTGTAACAACCATAACAGTAACAACCAGGTGACACTTTTGGTTACCATAACAACCAGCTGACAGTCTTAGTTACCATAACAACCAGGTGACAGTTATGATAACTGTTACTCTTACCACATTTACCCTGTAGAATTAAGACATAAGTCATGTGACACTTAATTATATCTATATAGAAGTGTGACAATTCATGGTGTCATATCTTTAAGTGCTGTAACCATGCATGATCTGCCAGTCATTAGTGTTGTGATACCTAAAATATACTTCCAGTTTTTTTAACCAAAGTATTAAATGCCAATCCACTGATCAGTCACTAAAGATACCAATAAATCAGTGATTGAAATTATAAAAAGGAAAGCCAAACAGCAGCTGATAATTGTTGATATGGTGTGTGTAACACCATGTGAATAAGTGTTGAATAGGCATAAAACTAAAGCATAGTTGACTTTTTGTGCCACCAACTGTTTAGAGCAAAAATTATTCCAACTTTATGTGGAAAAGAAAAGAATCTACTTGTTGCTATAACAAGTTTTACATTCACCTGAGATTGCATATGATTTTTGTTACATAATCTCTTTCTGATATCTTCAGTTGTTGTTTTCACCTCTCACTAAATCACGTCTCAGTTTGACGCCTAATGCTGGTTTTGCCTCCACAATATAACAGTCATTTTCACTCTAATACTTGTCAATAATCAATTTTCCATTATTTGTTACAATTTAAAAAAAAAATGGTTTGAAAAAGAAATGTAGTTTGAATGTACATTAAATAATTCAACTACAAAACAGATATAGACTGCTTTGTTGTCGGTTTTATTTGACACTTATTGAAAAGTATTTTAAATTATATCAGAGGTTTTGATATTGGTCAATAAAGCACAGACTATCATCTCGAATGATAACAAAATGTTTTGACAAGACAACACAGCATCAGTAAAGCGATGATGGTTATTTTTGGCATCTTTACCTGTACCTGTCAATTGATTGACAAAATCAAAAATAGATTTCACTAATGTTAATAATGCATAGTCAAGTTACACTTAATTACCATTGCATGTTTCTGACGGATACTCATCAGATTTTATATTGTATCATGTGGTTTTGCTATGCTTTCTTTTTCTGTGTGATTGTGCATACAAATATAGAAAATTCCCATAGATTTCTGATATGTATTATGTATATGAATTGTACAACCTATTCAAGGAGGCAAAGAAATTGTTTTGTTTTGTTTTTTTTTTCACTGAAATCCTAGAAAGCAAAACACCTTTACAATACATGTTTTACACAGAAAGAAAAGAAAAAATGAGCAATGGGAAATTATTTGCTGTGTGTGACTGTTGAAGATTTAATATGTCACAGAAGATAATGCATTAGTTTTAATGTACTAACAACATAATTGTTCCAACTAATACTGACATCAATTGACATGAAATGTTTGTAACATAGCTGTAGAATTTATGCTGCTCATTGTTGTTTTGTTTATTTGCATGCTGATATTTTTATTTCTGTGGTTACAAACTTGCAGCTAGCATATTTCTAGATTCGCCCAAGCACCTGCTCCCTCAAGACAGCGACACGCCCTCTCACAGTGCGGGTATGTCCTTGGCTGCATTAATAAGCCATGATGTTGGTTTCAGTTTCTCTTTATCTGTGTGTAATCAGAATAACACTAACACTGTACTTATGCTAGACAGTAAAATTTCCATTTCAGCTGTCGGGTATTTTCTACCTTAAATATTTGTATTCAGACATAACACTCTGCGTATATGCTAAGTAGAGTTAATCAGTCGCAACAAGACTGTCCACAAAATCTTTAGTTTGTTTATTATCTGTTTGCATTAGGATAGTTTTCGTGTGTAGTTTTACATTGAATTCTTGGTACTTCCACCAAACACACTAACAATGACATTATATATCACAATGACATAATATCATATTTCATAACATCAGCCAATAAGTTACTGAGAAATCAGACGATTTATATTGGTGCAATTCATATTAATTTATAATAGTTCTACAATTTGTTGTAACTTGTCACAAATGGGCTTCAGTGGAATTGAGTTTTTTCCACAGGTGTGTCCACACTTTATCTGGTATAACATTTACCCTGGACAGAGGTGTCCACACTTTATCTGGTAAAACATTTACCCTGGACAGGTGTGTCCACACTTTATCTGGTGTAACATTTACCCTTGACAGGTGTGTCCACACTTTATCTAGTATAACATTTACCCTGGACAGGTGTGTCCACACTTTACTTTTGAAGTCAGCAAACACTAGGCTGGCTAAGTGCTTGGTAATTTAATGTTCTTTCCCCTCAGTGTTGAGATCACTCTAAAGAAGAAGGTGAATGATTATTTTCCTTACTATATATATAATTTTGTCACAATCTCAATTGTTTGCATTGTTATCATGACACCACACCATTGTTAGGACAGGAATATCTCCCTGTATAAACCCTAGGCTAAAACAAAAACAAATATCCTACCTGTAAAAGTTTGGGTTGAAAGTTACTCTACCCAGAATAGGTGAAGCGACACTCTATCTGTTGTAAGATTTTAAACTGAACAGGTTTGCCCACACCTTTTTTAATGTAAGATTTACCTTTGACTGGTGTGTCCATATTACTAGGTGTAAGATTTACCTTTGACTGTTGTGTCCATATTACTAGGTGTAAGATTTACCTTTGACTGTTGTGTCCATATTACTAGGTGTAAGATTTACCTTTGACTGGTGTGTCCATATTACTAGGTGAAAGATTTACCTTGGACAGGTGTGTCCATATTACTAGGTGTAAGATTTACCTTTGACTGTTGTGTCCATATTACTAGGTGTAAGATTTACCTTTGACTGGTGTGTCCATATTACTAGGTGTAAGATTTACCTTTGACTGTTGTGTCCATATTACTAGGTGTAAGATTTACCTTTGACTGTTGTGTCCATATTACTAGGTGTAAGATTTACCTTTGACTGGTGTATACATGTTTTATTTGGTATAAGATATCCTTACCTTTTGCGTTGAGAAGAGATTCCCAGTAAAGTCTGTAAACAATATTAGGGGGGATCTCATTCAGAGGAGATCTCATTCAGAAGGGATCTCATTCAGAAGGGATCTCATTCAGAAGGGATCTCATTCAGAGGGGATCTCATTCAGAAGGGATCTCAATCAGAGGGGATCTCATTCAGAGGGGATCTCATTCAGAGGGGATCTCAATCAGAGGGGATCTCATTCAGAGGGGATCTCATTCAGAGGGGATCTCATTCAGAGGGGATCTCATTCAGAGGGGATCTCATTCAGAGAGGATCTCATTCAGAGGGGATCTCATTCAGAGGGGATCTCATTCAGAGGAGATCTCATTCAGAGGGGATCTCATTCAGAGGGGATCTCATTCAGAGGGGATCTCAATCAGAGGGGATCTCATTCAGAGGAGATCTCATTCAGAGGGGATCTCATTCAGAAGGGATCTCATTCAGAGGGGATCTCATTCAGAGGGGATCTCATTCAGAGGGGATCTCATTCAGAGGGGATCTCATTCAGAAGGGATCTCATTCAGAGGAAATCTCATTCAGAGGGGATCTCATTCAGAGGGGATCTCATTCAGAGGGGATCTCATTCAGAGGGGATCTCATTCAGAGGGATCTCATTCAGAGGGGATCTCATTCAGAGGGGATCTCAATCAGAGATCTCATTCAGAGGGGATCTCAATCAGAGGGGATCTCATTCAGAGGGGATCTCAATCAGAGGGGATCTCATTCAGAGGAGATCTCAATCAGAGATCTCATTCAGAGAGGATCTCATTCAGAGGGGATCTCAATCAGAGGAGAGATCTCAATCAGAGGAGATCTCAATCAGAGGGGATCTCATTCAGAGGGGATCTCATTCAGAGGGGATCTCATTCAGAGGGGATCTCAATCAGAGATCTCATTCAGAGAGGATCTCAATCAGAGATCTCATTCAGAGGGGATCTCAATCAGAGGGGATCTCATTCAGAGGGGATCTCAATCAGAGATCTCATTCAGAGAGGATCTCAGTCAGAGATCTCATTCAGAGAGGATCTCAATCAGATGGGATCTCATTCAGAGGAGATCTCAATCAGAGGGGATCTCATTCAGAGGAGATCTCATTCAGAAGGGATCTCATTCAGAAGGGATCTCATTCAGAGGGGATCTCATTCAGAAGGGATCTCATTCAGAAGGGATCTCATTCAGAGGGGATCTCATTCAGAGGGGATCTCATTCAGAGGAGATCTCATTCAGAGGGGATCTCATTCAGAGAGGATCTCAATCAGAGGAGAGATCTCAATCAGAGGAGATCTCAATCAGATGGGATCTCATTCAGAGAGGATCTCATTCAGATGGGATCTCATTCAGAGGGGATCTCATTCAGAGGGGATCTCATTCAGAAGGGATCTCATTCAGAAGGGATGTCAATCAGAGGGGATCTCAATCAGATGGGATCTCATTCAGAGGGGATCTCATTCAGAGGAGATCTCATTCAGAGGAAATCTCATTCAGAGGGGATCTCATTCAGAGGGGATCTCATTCAGAGGAGAGATCTCATTCAGAGGGGATCTCATTCAGAAGGGATGTCAATCAGAGGGGATCTCAATCAGATGGGATCTCATTCAGAGGGGATCTCATTCAGAGGGGATCTCATTCAGAAGGGATCTCATTCAGAGGGGATCTCAATCAGAGGGGATCTCATTCAGAGGAGAGATCTCATTCAGAGGAGAGATCTCATTCAGAGGGGATGTCAATCAGAGGGGATGTCAATCAGAGGGGATCTCATTCAGAGGGGATCTCATTCAGAGGGGATCTCATTCAGAGGGGATCTCAATCAGAGGGGATCTCATTCAGCGGAGAGATCTCATTCAGAAGGGATCGCATTCAGAGGGGATCTCAATCAGAGGGGATCTCATTCAGAGGGGATCTCAATCAGAGGGGATCTCATTCAGAGAAGAGATCTCATTCAGAGGGGATCTCAATCAGAGGGGATCTCATTCAGAGGGGATCTCATTCAGAGGGGATCTCAATCGGAGGGGATCTCATTCAGAGGGGATCTCATTCAGAGGAGATCTCAATCAGAGATCTCATTCAGAGGGGATCTCAATCAGAGGGGATCTCATTCAGAGGGGATCTCATTCAGAGGAGATCTCATTCAGAGGGGATCTCATTCAGAGGAGAGATTTCATTCAGAAGGGATCTCATTCAGAGGAGAGATCTCATTCAGAGAGGATCTCAATCAGAGGATATCTCAGTCAGAGAGAATCTCAATCAGATGGGATCTCATTCAGAGGGGATCTCAATCAGAGGAGATCTCAATCAGAGGAGATCTCAATCAGAGGAAAAAGTTGGCAACTCAGGAATCTTCACCATCAAGTGTAGTTCTGCTGTTTTGCCCACTAGTCACAGAAGTTATAGACATTGTGCTCCAGCTCATTGATAAACCATCACTATAGTACTAACCAGAATTCTGTTTTACTCCAGACTTACTCTTTGTTTTTGTTGAAGTGTTATGCCAATCACAAGATTGTATTTATTCCAGACTTAACACCTTTACAGTTTTTACTTGGTTAAAGTTAGAAAATCTGTTTTGAAATTATATCCAAATTTGGCCTGCATACTTTAAAAAAATTCAGAATCTAAATAACTATACATAGTTATGTGAAGAGGAGAGATCTGAAAGGATAAAAAAGTATAAAAATGGTGATAAGAGTAAGTATAGATATATTTCTGTTTAGTTTTTAATTGCTTCAGCAGGATTCTGTTTATAAACACAGATCATTGTTCAAGGAAAATCTGGAATCTTTGCATATTATGTTTTCTTTTTTTCCCAAGGAGTCCCATTATCAATTACTTAGTAATACATGAATACATGAATGTAATAAGTTTTACAGAAATTTTGGAGGTTTTTATCTGACTTGATTTAGTTGGTGATGTGACATTTTGTAGGCTCTTATAAATTTGGAACAGAATATATGTGTGAGATTTCTGCTCAATGATTCATAGACATTATAGGCATAATTACATTATGTTGTGATCATTATGAAAAGGAGTAAGAGATTTTTCTAGTAAATTCTTCTTTTCCTTCTTAATTTGTGTACTTATCTGAAGTCATTAAGTAAGAGAAAATATTTTATGATTAAAATTCTGATTTTATCAGTCCTGCCAATACTACAACCCTTCTGAAAAGTCCTACAACTACCATACGTTTGTACAGAAGGGTTGACCACATTCCACTTTACTTTTATTTTACAGACCTCTTGCACTTAATGTTTGGTTTTATGTGTGTGACAGATATTTTTAGTGCATTTCTTGGCTTTGCTAGCTATCTTTTGAACGCTTATATGATGTTTTATTCTGATGTTTGTTGTTCATTCTGACTTGATAACAACTAGTTTAATTTTTACTCGGAAATTCCATCGTAACATTGATTACAGAATCAAAAAACACCTGTCTACAATGAAGAGATTTAGATAGAAAATTTCTTATTACATGGTGACCATGTGATTACATATCAGCTGACGTCAAATGTTAACTTAAATAATTGTAATTTTACATATTCTTTATTAAATAAAGTAATTCATCTTGTGAGTAAATTTTCAATGGTCTATGATTAAAAAATGTAGCTTCACCTGACAACAAATACAAATTGATCATGAAACCTCAAAGGTTTCAGTATTTGTTTTTAAAACATTGGGATGACCATAAGACATCTATCTTGTTTCCCTAGACAACCTGCAGATTGTAGAGAACAGGTCAGTGAGCAACCTAGCAACAGTGGCTGTCCTGCCTATATCTAAGGATGTGCCTATCTCCACCTTCACCTTGGAACTCCAGAATGCCCTTAAAGCCATAGGTATGTAGTTCTGTGTACTCATTGGAAATTGTTCAGGTAAAAACTCAAGAACCGTTAAGACATAAATTGACAAAAGCTTTCCTGGTTGATGATTATAATACCACTCCTTGTATACTGCATCCATCAGTTGTAGATGGATGGATCATAGAAATAGCCTGTTCCACCATATGATATACTGGTGTTTTCATAAATAAGATCTTAAATTAGTTTTCATTTCTTATGAAATTTTATGAAGTGAGCCATGGAAGATTTTATTTTTTTGAGCCTTGGCAACCAAATATTACATGTATACTTCAAGACAAGTGTCATAAACTCTCATATTGAATGAAATCACATCTAAAATAACTTTCACATTTTTTTCCAGTTTCAATGTAAAATATAAAGGTCAAAATCAAACATGCAGCCATTTTGAAGCTCCATTTTCAATTCTTGACATAATGTCATTGTCCATATTATGGCACCACAATGGATTTTTGACTAGCAAAGCCAGTGGAAAACATTTCACAGGATATTACACAAGTGACGTGTAGTGGACAAAAAATAAATAATTAGAATACTTTGAGGATACCTACATGATGACAAACCATAAAGAATGTTACTGGAGTTAGTAGGTGGGAAACTTTTCCTCTCCATTTAAACTTAATGTGAACATTGTGTTTCCAGTGAATGTTGAACAAACACTAACTATTGTCTTCTGTTTTACGTTGACCATACCAGGATCTACAACAAGGCTGACCAGTAGTATTGTCAAATCTAGATTGGGAGGAGCTGCTCTGGACAGGTGAGTCAACTCTTCCATATGGATACATTTGAATTTGAATATGTTTGAATGAATCCATCAGATTGCTGCATATTATATAAAGATAGCTGATAGTTTTACTTCGATTAACTTGAATACATTCAAAATCAAGAAGTTAGCTCTGAGGTAACAAAGTTTTTCTGCAATGTAAAACTCTATACAGTGCCTGAAACTATGAAATTATGTCCATAATTCACTTCTTTTCTGACACAAAATGTATTTATCAAATTTACTATTTACAGTATCCATGAATTCTACCAGTTTTTGATATGAACCGTGTTAAGTAGAATTCTACTTTATGCATTTACAGTATCCATGAATTCCGCTTGTTTAATTGGCTGGGCCACCAGGAGGACATGCATCGAATGACCCTGTATGAGTGTGACTATACAATGACTAAGTGGACAAAGAACTGTATCAGACAGGCAGACTGTATCCTTATTGTCGGTCTAGCTGACAATGATCCTGCTGTAGGGGAGGTAACTGCTGCTGAGTACTAAAGGGTCAACTTCACTTCATACTGTTTTGTAGAGAAAATGTTAGGTGCAGATTTAAATGTGGTTTGTCACTTTGTAAAATAAAATGATGTCTGTTTGAGAACTATTTTTAAGAAAGAAGTATTCTAGAAATCCTTGTAATGTCATTAAGATGTATTGTTTGTTAATTCTGACAGTTTCCATATAGTACATGTTAACATGATTTAACAGATTGTAACTTGATATTTTTGGAGGTCAGTGTTGTTTTGGGACATTACTATCTTGTGTTATTTGAGATGTCAGTATCTTGTGTAATTTGAGACGTCAGTATCTTGAGTTGGATGTCAGTATCATGTGTTGTTTTCATTGTCTTGTGACATTCATGGAGATAAGTATCTTGTTATAATTTGTAGGTGGAGAAACAAATGGGGAATATCTCTGTACGAGCTCAAAAGGAACTTGTCCTACTGCACAAAGAAGATGCAGAGAAACCAAAGGGTACAGTGGAGTGGCTGAATGCTCGTGGCTGGTGCTCCTCTCATCACCATATTCGCTGTCCTAAACGTGTCTTCTCAAAACGACCCGAGGACAAAATAGTATGTTCACCTGTAACACAAAGTACCATTCCTTGTCTTAAGAATTGTTATTTTCTGATGAAATATCTGAGAATTTTAAGCCTCAGTTTGTTTTCTATAAAACATGTCAGTCGTAAAGGCATCATTCCTTACTATGATAAATTTTGTAGTTTTCACTTAAACATTGTAATGTTTTAATCATTGTTATGAATGAGAGACTGTTATTTATAAGTAAGGAAACCCAATACATTGTCATACATGTTTGCTACTTCTAGCTGGAGTTGTACAACAAATTGTTTGAAACTGAACCAGACAGACAAAGCGACTTCGGCAGACTGTCCAGATTTCTAACAGGCACTTCTATTGGTCTGGTTTTAGGAGGGGGAGGAGCCAGGTATGTACATTCACTCTGTTGTTAGGAAAGTGGAAGGATGTGTTTGTTTGTTTGGTTTGGGTTTTGGTTCTGTTTTAATTCTTCTGGGGGATTTTTTTTGGCAATGTTTTATTTTCCTGAAATGTTAACTAGTGTTACACTTTTTTGTATAGTGACCTTTGATCTTAATTCATGACTAACAAACATAATGAAGTCCTACAGTTTACATATGAAAAAAGCAAGAACAAACACCATTTACTTCATTTAAATATAAGTGTAAACTATTTATTTTACAACAATCAGGAAGCACAATATCAGCTTATATTAATCACTCTTGTTGGCCTCAATGGAAGTGCAAGGGGGTCTTACTATGGGAGGAAACCTGAGTACCCCAGGAAAACCCACAATATCAGCTTATATTAATCACTCTTGTTGGCCTCAATGGAAGTGCAAGGGGGTCTTACTATGGGAGGAAACCTGAGTACCCCAGGAAAACCCATATGATTGTGAAGGTGACCTCTTACCTTTTATGTCCGTTCCAGGAATTGAATTTCAAGTTTCTAATGCTTTCTGATGCTGAACTCAGGAGTGATTTTTTCCCATTTTTTGTGATAATTCTTCAGTTAAATGGTTCTTGGTACAATTTAGTATAACTTTGTGTGGAAGCCTTGTATCTTATTCAACTTACTGAACATAAAAACCTGTACCGTTAATGTTACAGAGGACTAGCCCACATTGGTATGATCAAAGCAATGGTGGAAGCTGGTATCCCAATAGACATGGTCGGTGGCACCAGTATGGGATCCTTTATAGGGGCTGTGTGGTGTGATGAGGTCAATGTGGCTCGGCTCACACAGAAGAGCAGGGAATGGTGCAAGGTGAGTTATCTCTTTCTAATGTCACCAACTTACACAGAACAGCAGGGAATGGTGCAAGGTGAGTTATCTCTTTCTAATGTCACCAACTCACACAGAACAGCAGGGAATGGTGCAAGGTGAGTTATCTCTTTCTAATGTCACCAACTCACACAGAACAGCGGGGAATGGTGCAAAGTGTGTAACCCTCTCATAGATACTTCTTAAAATTTACGCCATACTGAAATTGGAAATGTTTTGTGAGTTTCATTAATGGGTTAAAGTGGTACTATAAATTGTTGTGTTATTTCCTGTTTTATATATAAAGTAGAAAGATTTCAGTCTCTGTATAATAATTGAGATACAGATAGAGTTAAACTGACTAACTTGTTATGTATCGTCTACTTATTCTTTTCCCAGGAAATGACATCTTTGTGGAAGAAGATCGTAGATCTGACTTACCCAATAGCGTCAATGTTCTCGGGTAATTATCAGAATCTAATGAAATTCAAGTTCGCTGTAAAGGTTTTATATAGGTGAAATATTTGACCAATTCACTTGTGCAATGGACAAGTGAGTTTATGCCATACTGGTGTTCATTATATTTGTCAGTGTGTCATTATTTTTTTCCTTTAAGTGACCTCTTCAGAAGGCTATCTGCCTACAGTTTTATACACCACTGTTTTATACAGGTAGGATATCTGACCACTGTTTTATACAGGTAGGATATCTGATCACTGTTTTATACAGGTAGGATATCTGATCACTGTTTTATACAGGTAGGACATTTGACCACTGTTTTATACAAGTAGGATATCTGACCACTGTTTTATATAGGTAGGATATCTGACCACTGTGTTATACAGGTAGGACATTTGACCACTGTTTTATACAAGTAGGATATCTGACTACTGTTTTATATAGGTAGGATATCTGACTACTGTTTTATACAGGTAGGATATCTGACCACTGTTTTATATAGGTAGGATAACTGACCACTGTTTTATACAGGTAGGATATCTGACTACTGTTTTATACAGGTAGAATATCTGACCACTGTTTTATACAGGTAGGATATCTGACCACTGTGTTATACAGGTAGGATATCTGACCACTGTTTTATACAGGTAGGATATCTGACTACTGTGTTATACAGGTAGGACATTTGACCACTGTTTTATACAGGTAGGATATCTGACTACTGTTTTATACAGGTAGAATATCTAACCACTGTTTTATACAGGTAGGATATCTGACCACTGTGTTATACAGGTAGGACATTTGACCACTGTTTTATACAAGTAGGATATCTGACCACTGTTTTATACAGGTAGGATATTTGACCACTGTTTTATACAGGTAGGATATCTGACCACTGTTTTATACAGGTAGGATATTTGACCACTCTTTTATACAGGTAGGATATTTGACCACTGTTTTATAAAGCTGACCACTGTTTTATACAGGTAAGAAACATATAAACCTTCCTATTAACAATTTGTTTGACAGGCAGAGCCTTTAACAGATCTATAGAGATGGTGTTTACAGACAGACAAGTGGAAGACTTGTGGACTCCCTACTTTTGTATCAGTACAGATATCTCTACGTCGAAGATGAAGGTTCATACCACAGGTAAACACCAGTCTTGTAACTCCAGATACTGCTAGCTACTCTAGTCAGTATAACTCTACAGTTTGTTAAACGCAATAACAGTGAAATCTTTGTTTATAAACAAACGTATTACTCACACATTTATTTACGTCTACCATTGTTTGTGTTACAGGAAGTCTTTGGAGATATGTACGGGCCAGTATGTCATTGTCAGGGTACATGCCTCCTCTTTGTGACCCAGTTGATGGACATCTTCTGTTGGATGGTGGTTATGTCAATAACTTGCCTGGTATGTTAACAATTATATATAGCAAAATGTACAAACCAGCATTATGGATTTTTTTCTTTCCCCACTTTATGCTATATACAATACCAAAGTACTCCAAGAACATTTCTTTATTAATTAAGAGTTTTTGTAAAGTTCTATAATGTTTAATATCCTTTGAACACGGATGGTCATATCCGAATGGCCTCCCTATGTATGTGAGGTGAATGTTTGTGACTACTTGTTATATCATGATTTGACCTTACCCATATAGTCACTATTGAGTTCTAAGTTCAAAAAGATCCTGATTTTTGTGAAAATTTGCTTTTCAGGTTGAATCAATGTTGATTTGTCTTTTTTCACTGATAACACACGTTAAATTAGTACAGTGAGTTAGAATTATATCTGACAGCTGATGTGATGAAGTCTATGGAAGCCCAGTCTATCTTTGTTTGATGCTGTTACCTGTCTATTGATACAATAATTTAACATTAAATTTCACAGCTGATGTGATGAAGTCTATGGTTTAAGCTGTCAATTGATACAATAATTTAACATTAAATTTCTGATGTTGTTTAATGCTGTTACCTGTCTATTGATACAATAATTTAACATTAAATTTCACAGCTGATGTGATGAAGTCTATGGAAGCCCAGTCTATCTTTGTTTAATGCTGTTACCTGTCTATTGATACAATAATTTAACATTAAATTTCACAGCTGATGTGATGAAGTCTATGGAAGCCCAGTCTATCTTTGTTTAATGCTGTTACCTGTCTATTGATACAATAATTTAACATTAAATTTCACAGCTGATGTGATGAAGTCTATGGAAGCCCAGTCTATCTTTGTTTAATGCTGTTACCTGTCTATTGATACAATAATTTAATATTAAATTTCACAGCTGATGTGATGAAGTCTATGAAAGCCCAGTCTATCGTAGTTTAATACTGATACCAGTCTATTTGTACAATGATTTAACACTACATTCTATGTAAGCCAAGTCTATCGTAGTTTAATACTGTTACCAGTCTATTGGTACAATAATTTAACATTACATTTCACAGCTGATGTAATGAAGTCCATGGGAGCCCAGTCTATCTTTGCTGTAGATGTTGGCAGTCAGGATGAGACGTCCCTTACAAATTATGGAGATGATCTGTCTGGCTGGTGGTTGCTATGGAAACGCTGGAATCCATGGGCAGAACCTGTTAAGGTATCCATGCTTATAATCCTTAGATAATGCTGGGGATATTAGATTAGGCTCTTACTGATGTCAGTAAGATAACTGGACCTGGGAGATAATTATATGATGTCCTGGTTTCAGTTGTGTTGTCAGTCTCTTTCTAATTCTGTAGAGTATCAATTGTAATGTGTCCAGTAGTTACAGTTATATTACTAGGAGGTATTTGTGATGAGATGTCCACTTTGATTGCTGTGATGTGTGCTGAAATGGCTTGGAGGTAGAATACTGTAGTGATATCAGGTAAGAGCTGGGAGATGGAACACTATATATAGTTATAGCTGGGAGATGTAATACTGTAATGATGTTATAGCTGGGAGATGTAATACTGTAATGATGTTATAGCTGGGAGATGTAATACTGTAATGATGTTATAGCTGGGAGATGTAATACTGTAATGATGTGATGTTATAGCTGGGAGATGTAATACTGTAATGATGTGATGTTATAGCTGGGAGATGTAATACTGTAATGATGTGATGTTATAGCTGGGAGATGTAATACTGTAATGATGTGATGTTATAGCTGGGAGATGTAATACTGTAATGATGTGATGTTATAGCTGGGAGATGGAACACTATAATGATGTGATGTTATAGCTGGGAGATAGAATACTGTAATGATGTGATGTTATAGCTGGGAGATGTAATACTGTAATGATGTGATGTTATAGCTGGGAGATGTAATACTGTAATGATGTGATGTTATAGCTGGGAGATGTAATACTATAATGATGTGATGTTATAGCTGGGAGATATAATACTGTAATGATGTGATGTTATAGCTGGGAGATGTAATACTGTAATGATGTGATGTTATAGCTGGGAGATGTAATATTGTAATGATGTGTTGTTATAGCTTGGAGATGTAATACTGTAATGATGTTATAGCTGGGAGATAGAATACTGAAGTGATGTGATGTTATAGCTGGGAGATGTAATACTGTAATGATGTTATAGCTGGGAGATGTAATACTGTAATGATGTGATGTTATAGCTGGGAGATGTAATACTGTAATGATGTGATGTTATAGCTGGGAGATGTAATACTGTAATGATGTGATGTTATAGCTGGGAGATGTAATACTGTAATGATGTGATGTTATAGCTGGGAGATGTAATACTGTAATGATGTGATGTTACAGCTGAGAGATGTAATACTGTAATGATGTGATGTTACAGCTGGGAGATGTAATACTGTAATGATGTGATGTTATAGCTGTGAGATGTAATACTGTAATGATGTGATGTTATAGCTGGGAGATGTAATACTGTAATGATGTGATGTTATAGCTGGGAGATGTAATACTGTAATGATGTGATGTTATAGCTGGGAGATGTAATACTGTAATGATGTGATGTTATAGCTGGGAGATGTAATACTGTAATGATGTGATGTTATAGCTTGGAGATGTAATACTGTAATGATGTGATGTTATAGCTGGGAGATGTAATACTGTAATGATGTGATGTTATAGCTGGGAGATGTAATACTGTAATGATGTGATGTTATAGCTGAGAGATGTAATACTGTAATGATGTTATAGCTGGGAGATGTAATACTGTAATGATGTGATGTTATAGCTGGGAGATGTAATACTGTAATGATGTGATGTTATAGCTGGGAGATGTAATACTATAATGATGTGTTGTTATAGCTGGGAGATGTAATACTGTAATGATGTGATGTTATAGCTGGGAGATGTAATACTGTAATGATGTGATGTTATAGCTGGGAGATGTAATACTGTAATGATGTGATGTTATAGCTGGGAGATGTAATACTGTAATGATGTGATGTTATAGCTGGGAGATGTAATACTGTAATGATGTTATAGCTGGAAGATGGAATACTGTAATGATGTGATGTTATAGCTGGGAGATGTAATACTGTAATGATGTGATGTTATAGCTGGGAGATGTAATACTGTAATGATGTGATGTTATAGCTGGGAGATGTAATACTGTAATGATGTGATGTTATAGCTGGGAGATGCAATACTGTAATGATGTGATGTTATAGCTGGGAGATGTAATACTGTAATGATGTGATGTTATAGCTTGGAGATGTAAAACTATAATGATGTGATGTTATAGCTGGGAGATGTAATACTGTAATGATGTTATAGCTGGGAGATGTAATACTGTAATGATGTGATGTTATAGCTGGGAGATGTAATACTGTAATGATGTTATAGCTGGTAGATGGAACACTATAATGATGTGTTGTTATAGCTGGGAGATGTAATACTGTAATGATGTGATGTTATAGCTGGGAGATGTAATACTGTAATGATGTGATGTTATAGCTGGGAGATGTAATACTGTAATGATGTGATGTTATAGCTGGGAGATGTAATACTGTAATGATGTGATGTTATAGCTGGGAGATGTAATACTGTAATGATGTGATGTTATAGCTGGGAGATGTAATACTGTAATGATGTTATAGCTGGGAGATGGAATACTGTAATGATGTGATGTTATAGCTGGGAGATGTAATACTGTAATGATGTGATGTTATAGCTGGGAGATGTAATACTGTAATGATGTGATGTTATAGCTGGGAGATGTAATACTGTAATGATGTGATGTTATAGCTGGGAGATGTAATACTGTAATGATGTGATGTTATAGCTGGGAGATAGAATACTGTAATGATGTGATGTTATAGCTGGGAGATGTAATACTGTAATGATGTGATGTTATAGCTGGGAGATGTAATACTGTAATGATGTGATGTTATAGCTGGGAGATGTAATACTATAATGATGTGATGTTATAGCTGGGAGATGTAATACTGTAATGATGTGATGTTATAGCTTGGAGATGTAAAACTATAATGATGTGATGTTATAGCTGGGAGATGTAATACTGTAATGATGTTATAGCTGGGAGATGTAATACTGTAATGATGTGATGTTATAGCTGGGAGATGTAATACTGTAATGATGTGATGTTATAGCTGGGAGATGTAATACTGTAATGATGTGATGTTATAGCTGGGAGATGTAATACTGTAATGATGTGATGTTATAGCTGGGAGATGTAATACTGTAATGATGTGATGTTATAGCTGGGAGATGTAATACTGTAATGATGTTATAGCTGGGAGATGGAATACTGTAATGATGTGATGTTATAGCTGGGAGATGTAATACTGTAATGATGTGATGTTATAGCTGGGAGATGTAATACTGTAATGATGTGATGTTATAGCTGGGAGATGTAATACTGTAATGATGTTATAGCTGGGAGATGTAATACTGTAATGATATGATGTTATAGCTGTGAGATGTAATAATATAATGATGTGATGTTATAGCTGGGAGATGTAATACTGTGATGATGTGATGTTATAGCTGGGAGATGTAATACTGTAATGATGTGATGTTATAGCTGGGAGATGTAATACTGTAATGATGTGATGTTATAGCTGGGAGATGTAATACTGTAATGATGTGATGTTATAGCTGGGAGATGTAATACTGTAATGATGTGATGTTATAGCTGGGAGATGCAATACTGTAATGATGTGATGTTATAGCTGGGAGATGTAATACTGTAATGATGTGATGTTATAGCTTGGAGATGTAAAACTATAATGATGTGATGTTATAGCTGGGAGATGTAATACTGTAATGATGTTATAGCTGGGAGATGTAATACTGTAATGATGTGATGTTATAGCTGGGAGATGTAATACTATAATGATGTGATGTTATAGCTGGGAGATGTAATACTGTAATGATGTGATGTTATAGCTGGGAGATGTAATACTGTAATGATGTTATAGCTGGGAGATGTAATACTGTAATGATGTGATGTTATAGCTTGGAGATGTAAAACTGTAATGATGTGATGTTATAGCTGGGAGATGTAATACTGTAATGATGTGATGTTATAGCTGGGAGATGTAATACTGTAATGATGTGATGTTATAGCTGGGAGATGTAATACTGTAATGATGTTATAGCTGGGAGATGGAATACTGTAATGATGTGATGTTATAGCTGGGAGATGTAATACTGTAATGATGTGATGTTATAGCTGGGAGATGTAATACTGTAATGATGTGATGTTATAGCTGGGAGATGTAATACTGTAATGATGTGATGTTATAGCTGGGAGATGTAATACTGTAATGATGTGATGTTATAGCTGGGAGATGTAATACTGTAATGATGTGATGTTATAGCTGGGAGATGTAATACTGTAATGATGTGATGTTATAGCTGGGAGATAGAATACTGTAATGATGTGATGTTATAGCTGGGAGATGTAATACTGTAATGATGTGATGTTATAGCTGGGAGATGTAATACTGTACTATTGTGATGCTATGTTTGGTAGGTACCAGATATGAACGAGATACAGTCCCGTCTAGCCTATGTATCAGGAGTCCGTCAGCTGGAGATGATGAAGACCAGTGACTATTGTGAATATATTCGTCCTCCAATAGACAAGTTTGCCACCCTCCAGTTTGGCAGTTGTGATGAAATCAGTGTAAGTGAAGTTGTTTGTTAAAATTTCCATTATAGACAATACCATTTACTAAGTAATTTCCATTATAGACAATACCATTTACTAAGTAATTTCCATTATAGACAATACCATTTACTGAGTAATTTCCATTATAGACAATACCATTTACTAAGTAATTTCCATTATAGACAATACCATTTACTGAGTAATTTCCATTATAGACAACACCATTTATTGAGTAATTTCCATTATAGACAATACCATTTACTAAGTAATTTCCATTATAGACAATACCATTTACTAAGTAATTTCCATTATAGACAATACCATTTACTGAGTAATTTCCATTATAGACAATACCATTTACTAAGTAATTTCCATTATAGACAATACCATTTACTAAGTAATTTCCATTATAGACAATACCATTTACTAAGTAATTTCCATTATAGACAATACCATTTACTGAGTAATTTCCATTATAGACAATACCATTTACTAAGTAATTTCCATTATAGACAATACCATTTACTAAGTAATTTCCATTATAGACAATACCATTTACTAAGTAATTTCCATTATAGACAATACCATTTACTGAGTAATTTCCATTATAGACAATACCATTTACTAAGTAATTTCCATTATAGACAATACCATTTACTAAGTAATTTCCATTATAGACAATACCATTTATTGAGTAATTTCAATAAGAATATTTTTTCATTATTTACAGAAGTCATGTTACAGAAATAATGATTTTACATAAAGCTATGGTATAATGTATGTTGAACAGGATGTAGGGTATCATCATGGGCGGACACTGTTCTCTGGCTGGGTGAAAGGAGGACTTGTCAAGGAGCTGTTTGAGGAGAAAAGCAAGGACAAGTCATATGGCAGTAACTCAATGCTAAGACCTGAGGTACCTCTCTATAAATCACTCGACACCATGTAACCTGTAACACCTCACTAACCTTTGTTTTAGTCTATCGACTGGGTGACCATGTTTTACCTGTCTATTCCTCAGTTGGATTATCAGATGGGGGAGGGGATAGTAGGGATGCAATCTGTAGGTAGTCTGCTGTAAGACTGACAGATAGAGTAAATACTATCCAGAGAAAATGACAGATATCAGTCTTTTTCTTAAAACTCTACATTAGGATTCTAGTCAATAGGTTCAATGACTGCATTACTTTACATGTACAGTTTATAATACAGCAATGTTTGAACAAACTATCACATAATACATGTACAGTTTATAATACAGCAATGTTTGAACAGCTATCACATAAAACATGTACAGTTTATAATACAGCAATGTTTGAACAAACTATCACATAATACATGTACAGTTTATAATACAGCAATGTTTGAACAGACTATCACATAATACATGTACAGTTTATAATACAGCAATGTTTGAACAGACTATCACATAATACATGTACAGTTTATAATACAGCAATGTTTGAACAGACTATCACATAATACATGTACAGTTTATAATACAGCATTGTTTGAACAGACTATCACATAATACATGTACAGTTTATAATACAGCAATGTTTGAACAGGCTATCACATAATACATGTACAGTTTATAATACAGCAATGTTTGAACAGACTATCACATAATACATGTACAGTTTATAATACAGCAATGTTTGAACAGACTATCACATAATACATGTACAGTTTATAATACAGCAATGTTTGAACAGGCTATCACATAATACATGTACAGTTTATAATACAGCATTGTTTGACTATCACATAATACATGTACAGTTTATAATACAGCATTGTTTGACTATCACATAATACATGTACAGTTTATAATACAGCATTGTTTGACTATCACATAATACATGTACAGTTTATAATACAGCATTGTTTGACTATCACATAATACATGTACAGTTTATAATACAGCATTGTTTGACTATCACATGATACATGTACAGTTTATAATACAGCATTGTTTGACTATCACATGATACATGTACAGTTTATAATACAGCATTGTTTGACTATCACATGATCACATTTGATGTGACTGACAATAAATCACTGAGAAGAAAGAACAAGATAAAACAATATGACAGATGAATATTACATACAAGGAAGTAGATGGAACTTTTGTAGAATTAATGAAACTCTTGAAATGCTGGATGTCTGTGGAATGTTTTGGTTGATTTGTAAAAGTTATAGATCTCACTGGCTATAGTGCTGTGGACTGTTTTAGTTAAACATCCCAGTGATGGCTAACTTCCCATAGATCTCATTTAACACTGGTAATCGTGTTTTGAACTGTTTAGGTAAACATCCCAAGGATGGCTAACTTCCCATAGATCTCATTTAACACTGGTGATCGTGTTTTGAACTGTTTAGGTAAACATTCCAAGGATGGCTAACTTCCCATAGATCTCATTTAACACTGGTAATCGTGTTTTGAACTGTTTAGATAAACATCCCAAGGATGGCTAACTTCCCATAGATCTCATTTAACACTGGTAATCGTGTTTTGAACTGTTTAGGTAAACATCCCAAGGATGGCTAACTTCCCATAGATCTCATTTAACACTGGTAATCGTGTTTTGAACTGTTTAGGTAAACATCCCAAGGATGGCTAACTTCCCATAGATCTCATTTAACACTGGTAATCGTGTTTTGAACTGTTTAGGTAAACATCCCAAGGATGGCTAACTTCCCATAGATCTCATTTAACACTGGTAATCGTGTTTTGAACTGTTTAGGTAAACATTCCAAGGATGGCTAACTTCCCATAGATCTCATTTAACACTGGTAATCGTGTTTTGAACTGTTTAGGTAAACATCCCAAGGATGGCTAACTTCCCATAGATCTCATTTAACACTGGTAATCGTGTTTTGAACTGTTTAGGTAAACATCCCAAGGATGGCTAACTTCCCATAGATCTCATTTAACACTGGTAATCGTGTTTTGAACTGTTTAGGTAAACATCCCAAGGATGGCTAACTTCCCATAGATCTCATTTAACACTGGTAATCGTGTTTTGAACTGTTTAGGTAAACATCCCAAGGATGGCTAACTTCTCATGTGTCTCATTCCACCCTGGCTATACTCTTGTGAACTTTTGCAGGCAAACATTCCAGTGATGGCTAACTTCACAGACTTGGCTGAGCTTGTGTCCAAGATTGACGAGCCACAGCACCATTTAATGGCAGACTTTTATGAGCCAGATGATGAGTATGAGGATGAAGATAGTGATGGTGAGCTAATCTATTGTTGAAATTTTGTATTAATCAGAATGTCATGTTGAGCTATGTAACACTGTATTGTAATAATACTTTAATAATAACTTTAAAGTCTATACTTTGTCAAATATGTTTTTGAATTTAGTATAAATAGAAGTTTTAACATATGCTCAGAAAAGATCCAAGATCTTGAAAAAGCAGAGAAGGGGGCCCCAAAAGCATATTTAGGAAAGGGGTGGGGAGGGCAGGGGGAGGCAACAATGTTTTCCACTGTGCCAGTACAAAATCCTAACAAGAAACAATCAAGGGAGTGGGTGGTCAGGGAACCCCTAGGTCTGCCTCTGGTTCACCTATTCTGGCAGTTAATGTTTTTAAAAGCTGCGTTTAATACTGACTGTACTTAGCTGGTTAGGAGAAGTACTGAATGGATCTTTCTCAAATTTCAAAGGTAGGTTTCCCCTGGTCCCTAATTGTACCTATTTGATTTTGGACGTGATCAGAAAAAGAAACTTACTGATAGGCAACTGTCTGTGATTTGGCAGTTAAAGATTATTATCGCAATTTCTTCAGAGGAATGTTCAAATTTTATGTAATTAAGAGAAGAGACAGAAGAAAGAAAAGAAAGGAAAAGATTCAATTTTTAAAGAAGAAATAAAGATAAGATAATTGTGGGTGCCAAGATCCTTCTGGTATCTTTTTACCTAGATCATCTATAGACCAGCATTATTCACTAGTATTTTGTTTAACAGAGGCCATTGATATATTTCATGAAAATGCCAATGTTTGTTCCCATTGGCCTTACCCCATATAAAAATGAAATGCATTAAAAGTTCATAAGTACCATTTTTCTCATGTATTTTCTTATTTTCTAAATTTTTTCCATTTTCAGGGGTTTGATACAGTTAATTTTTTTTTATTCATTGTACTGAAATAAAAATAAAAGATTTGTACTGGTGTTACAGATGCCAACAGCTATGAGATAGAGGAGGGAGAAGAGGAGTCCTTGGAAGATGTGATTGATGATGAAGTAATAGAGGAAATCGTCCGTTCTCCCTCTATGATTCTTTCTCAGCCAGCAGCAGAATCAAAAAAGGTAGGGAAATGTTTGCAATGTGTATCAAGTCAGTGTAACATCTTCAGTCATGACCTGCAGTATCATCTTTAAATTAGACAACTTAAATGACAGTCATATTTCAAAGGGAAGAGAATTACCTTCATTTGATTGTTCTAAGTAGGTATAGCGATTGGGTTTACAACCAGTTGGATTTTTAGGTCATCTGAAAGAAGGGTCTGATGACCTATTGCGATCGCCTGTTGTCTGGCGGCGTCCGGCGTAAACATTTTCAACTTCTTCTCAAGTTCTTCATGTCTCATTGAGCTGAAACTTACCTGAAATGATTGTGACATGATCCTGACCAAAGTTGTTAATTTCAGGTTGGTCTGAAATCCAACATGGCTGCCATGGCCACCATCTTGAAAACATATTTTCGACTTCTTCTCAAGTTCAAAATTTGAAATCTTGTATTTTATGACAGATGACCATTAAGGCCCATGGGCCTCTTGTCTACCTTACCATTGGAGAATTACATGGTTTGCTGTATTTTTATATTTTAGGGCTCTCAATCTATCAGTGTAATCGAATAAGTATGTCACAATTTGCTCTTTTGATAGATGTGCACATTTAATATTTTAACATCATATTGAAACTTTTGCATGAAAAATAACTAAAAATGAAACTAGAAATGGTTGTAAGGTAATATAACAAGGAAGCCATTTTCTTTCTTCAGAATGCCACTAATTTGAAGCGGAGATCTAGTCAAGGAAAATCAAACAAGTGAGCCAAACTTATCCAGTCATTCCATCAGGGTCAACCTTACCTTACACATCTCCCTGTTATCAGTGAGAATGAGGACATCAGCTTATGTGAAGCGTGAATTTCTGTGATGTGTGTGTATATCAACTTGTGTGAAGTTATAATACATTTCTGTGGGAGCAGTCTCCACATGGATGTCACTTTTCATGTGTGTTGTTGGTGTGTATAAGTCTTGTATTCTGCGTACATGGAATAATACACAGGTGATTTTTTTTTATGTTTTTAAATGACATGCCTTATGATGATTCAACAATTTCATGTGAGCATGTCTTCTCCAGTCTGATGTCTTTTAGGCATTACAATCTTTTTCAATTCACCTGCCCGAAGTCAGCTTTTTCCTTTAAATGATTTCTGCTCAATACCTGAAAGACCTAGAGTACTGATATTAGGCCTGTTGCATGCTGGAATGAAGAGCTACCAAGTTTGTTCAAATAAATGACCTTGATTTGGTTTCAGGGTTACAGGGATGAAACACATTTCAATTCTTCATGCAACCTTTTCCCAATTAAATTCAAGCCCAGGTCATGCTTGGATGAAGGGCCATCAATTTGTCAATTTTTCAGGGTCACAGTGTTCATCTATGTTAAGAAATTCATATTGGGTCTGTAACAACTTCATGAGGTGAAGAGTGCTGATATTAGACCTGTAATCTGCTGGGATAAAGGCCTACCAAGTTTATTTCAAATCAATTTCCTTGATCTAATTTAAATAATATCAGATGTGTTGAAAATTTATAATTTCTTCTTTTTATCAAGCAATTGGTCATAGTGTTAGTGTAGTAACATACATAGGAAATAAGCTTTCAAGTTTGCAGAAATTTACCCAATAAACCAATAAAACCATTATAAGCTATAGAAAAAGTTATCGATTCAGGCACATTGGGTCTCTTAATTTTAATATTTACTATTTTATAGCCTCAGAGCTTTAATCTTCAGTATTGTCTCAATCCCAGTAGTCATGAAAATAAAAAATGATCACCATTTTGTGAAAGTAAAGTATAATATTAAGCACTGATCTCAAGTCTGGGCTGGCCAGGTTTACTGTGTGTTGTTTTTGTGTATTTTGTCTTGTATTTTACATATATGGAATAATCCAGTTGTTTTTTTTTTTCTGATGTTTGTTTATGTTATTGTGCACGATTCATTTAATTATATTCATATGTATTAGTAATTCTGGAGGAATACAATGATATACAAGTGCCTCAACTATAGTTCTAGGGGACATATTTTCTAATACTGACAATTTCAGCCGAGTCAAAGGAGCCATTTGTGGACGGGGTAGTTAGGGAGTAACTAAATCATGGGAGTATTATAGGGGCAGGAACTGGAAGGTGGGAGTAGTTTTAGCTAGACAGGGGGAGTCACTCATGCATGGGGATAGTGAGGGGGCAGGAGATGGAAGTGAGGGGTAGTCATACCCAGTCATGGAATTGCTCATGCATGGTGATAGAAAGGGGGCAGGAACTTGAAGAGCGGGGGGGAGTTATTGTCAGAGAAATATCTTGTATGTGGGGGCAGCAAGGACAGAAATAAGAGGTCAGTGCTACATATTTTTTAAGTGCTTCCTTCATGTTCAGTGTAAGCTTTGATGTCACTGAAGATTAGCTTGTCATATATAGTCAGTGTTGTCAGGTGATATTATACAAACATGCATTTTATACATTGTAATAAAGTAATACTTGTCTTTCTTGTTAAGTTAAATATTTTTTGTTATCTGTGATTATGTTAAAATGATTAAATAAGCACAATTACAATGCATTTCTCTCTTGCTTTCTATAAAATCAAATGTTGATACTCATGTGATTTCATTGTTGCTTTCTACATTACTTGTAATTGTTACAACACATGCATTTATGTGATTTAGTGTTCAGCTGTATTACGTATCAAACATCCTTCAGTATGGTATTACAGTGCTACTTTTTCACTACAAACATGTGCTGTATATGGTTGTTATATTTTGTTTTATTATAAGTATGTGAGGGTCAGTGTTTTTACACTTGTAATTTCAGAATGAAAATTTGGTGAAAGTTTTACTACCAGTGTTACTAGAATAAACCTGATCATTATGATGTTTATACAGAGATGTAAAAATGTTATGTTGTGTTATATGATTTAGTGATTGTTAATGAAACCACAGAATAGGTACCTACCACTATACATACACATACATCCACAGCTCATTATCATCTAGTTCTTGGGCTGTACTGCATTTTAGAATATATTGCTGCTGGCTGTGTCCTGTCTGAAGCTACAATCATTGTCCACACACAATATACACATATTAAGGGGAGTTTTTCACTACATAAACTTAGACTATATATAAAGATTGATCTGCACAGGATTTCATTTATATACACTGTTAATTGATGTCATTAATGTATCTTAATTCAGAATGAGAACAGCTGTGAATAAGAAGACATACCTGGATATCTATATAGGAACAGAACAGCTGTGAATAAGTAGGGATACCTGGATATCTATATAGGAACAGAACAGCTGTGAATAAGTAGACATACCTGGATATCTATATAGGAACAGAACAGCTGTGAATAAGTAGGGATACCTGGATATCTATATAGGAACAGAACAGCTGTGAATAAGTAGACATACCTGGATATCTTTATATGAACAGAAAGACTAGGATATACCTGGATATATATGAACAGAACAGCTGTGAATAAGTAGACATACCTGGATATCTATATATATATATATGGATATCTATATAGGAACAGAACAGCTGTGAATAAGTAGACATACCTGGATATCTATATAGGAACAGAACAGCTGTGAATAAGTAGACATACCTGGATATCTATATATGAACAGAACAGCTGTGAATAAGTAGACATACCTGGATATCTATATATGAACAGAACAGCTGTGAATAAGTAGACATACCTGGATATCTATATAGGAACAGAACAGCTGTGAATAAGTAGACATACCTGGATATCTATATAGGAACAGAACAGCTGTGAATAAGTAGACATACCTGGATATCTATATAGGAACAGAACAGCTGTGAATAAGTAGACATACCTGGATATCTATATAGGAACAGAACAGCTGTGAATAAGTAGACATACCTGGATATCTTTATAGGAACAGAACAGCTGTGAATAAGTAGACATACCTGGATATCTATATAGGAACAGAAAGATTTGGAATAAGTAGACATACCTGGATATCATTATAGGAAGAGAGAGGCTATAAATAAGTAGATATACCTGGGTATTAATATAGGTACAGAAGTGTCTTTAATAACTAGAGATGGCTGGATATATAAAGGAATGGAAAGGCAATAAATAAGGACAGATATGTGGACCTGGGAATCAATATAGGAATGGAACAACAGGCAAACCTATATAAAGTCTTTCCACTGATGATTTTTAGATTTTACAGATATTTTGAAATTGAATTTGAAAAAAATTAAACCACTGAAGGGAGGTAACCCACCACTGATTACAGATCTATATTACACACAAAAAACCCAAAAACACACACACACACACACACTCACACAAAACATACACATTTAACTGTTTATAATCAAGATATTGTATAATCAATATATATATCAATATAGGAATGGAGATGTTTATTGGATGAGATAAGTCAGTTTAGGATCAGAAATATCTTTACAAAAAGTAGATCATAACAGAAGTGTGTGAATAGAAATGCAAATGTAGGTTATAGGTACAGATTTTAGGACTGATCAGAAAAATATCTGTTAGGGATTGCTTTTGGGGTCAAAAGGTCCTTGTTACTATGAATAGAAATTGGTCTAGATAACCATTTCAAGACACTAGTGCAAACTCAAATGGACCTGTCAAACTTTACTCACTGCTTTCTTTTTCACCTGTTCTTGTTATTTTAGGATTGCTTTTCAAGTTAAAAATGTCAATGTAGGTCAAGGTCATTGTTCCTATAAATAGAAAATTCAGTTCAATGACCGACAAGGTTTGAAGAATAAGAACATTGTACATTTTTTAGACATATATGATAAAGTTTGTAAATTTCAAAATAATACACATTCAGATAAATTTAACATAGTGTAATGAATCTGTGATTTAGTGACTTAACTTTTCAGTGGTTACATGGGAAGATGTTTATTGTATTTTGGGCATTATCATGCCATTCTCTGTGTATTGTTTACATTTAATTTGAATGTTCTGATGTCAAACCTAAGTTATTTGAAAACTCATTTGTGTGTTGATTTGAAGTTGTTGCTGTTTTTTGGTGCCAAAATTTCATTTCTGTGTAATACTAGTTCAACTGATTAAGTTATGACAATGTGTGGACTTCAAAGAATTTTGATATTGAGTAATCAGAACAGGCCCTCTGTATGCATTATATTGAGACAAGATAAAAAGACAATAGTTTTTCTTTCTTTCTTTTTATTTTTTTAACATTTTATATATAGGTTGTGTATAGTTTAAAACTTCAAATTTAATTGAACTGAATACAGTTGTCCCCCTAAACATGCTAAAAGAAGTCTGTTAACATGTGCTAGGCTTGTATATCAGTAAGGGTGGTCATACTGTGTGGTGCTTACCATGTAGGACTCCCAAATCCATTAGAATCCAATTTTAAAACTTCATGTTGACTAGACTATTTTAACACTTTGTTTTACTACTAGTTAATGTAATCTGTAATCAGTGACTGATTTATTTAGAGTCTGTGTTCAATCTGTTTCACAAATCCATGTTTAATTTCTTCTGAGTCCAGATTTTATTTTTTTGAAACTGGAATTTATTGTGTGCTTAAGAATCCTTACATACCAGTTATCCTTCCTGGCAGAAAGGGAGCTTGTGTGTCTGCCAGAATATAGTGTAGATATTTTGTACATAATGAAAATAACATACCTGTGAATATATTTATGCAAGAGTTCTCAAAAATAAAGAAAAAAATATCTCTCATTTTTGTTGTTTTATCCGTCTAAGATAAGAACCCATGTATGATTTGTGAGCACACTTTCAGAGTTTTCCCTTGGACAACTTTGTACTGTTGCCATAAGAAAGAGGTACAAACCCTGCATCACCATACAGACCTAACAATGTGTTAAATGTTAATCCCAAAACCTATATGACAATGCAGATGTTGAACCCGACTCTGGGGCAAGAAGGGTGGAACACAAAAGAGGAAACTTCTTCATAATTCAGAAGTCTTCTTCTCCAGACTCTGCTGCTGTAAAAACATTTCATTGACAAAAAGGGTCCTTGATGGTTTAGTAAAATTATACATTGGTAAAACCAGGGTATCCTATTTCCCATGAAGGAAGTAATAAACAGAGGAAAACAAACATTTTGGGTATATTTAATTTTCTTTCGATACAAAAAATTCTACCTTCACAGATATTGTCATCAGGTAGCAGTTTGCTAAGATAACGATTATAACAACTTTGACTATATCTGGACTTGGGTGATTGTTAATGTAACAGTCCAACATGGCAGAAATGGGAGGGTCAGATAAAGTCACTGAAACATATTGTAATTCACTACGGTACAGATCTTGATAAAATGGAGAGGCCAACATCGATTTCATGAGTCCTATCACAAATTAGTGAAGGTTAACTTAAAAGTACCTCCGTAACAATTGATTAAAGAAAAAACTCATTTATATGTTGTGATTAATAATATAAATTTTCTAGTGTTTCTGTATGTAATATACATAAACAAAGATTGCTTGTTCTTAACAATTAATTTATTTTCACAAAATTCAATTATACAGCAACATCACAAAATCAATGTACATCAAATATATCAAGTTGTATATACTCCCTGTGGAGTATTTGTTCATTTAATACAAACTCATTATCACATTTCCTCGAGTTCATCTTCCCTGCTAATGTCTGTCTCTGATACTTTCATGTTTATAAAGCACCAACTTGTCATTGTATTGAGGAAAATGTTCCTGGCACTTTCTTGATATACCCCACTCACACCAACACTTGTCCTAGCATCAATATTATACAATGGTAAATCTTTATAGGATCAAATTCCTACAGAAAAAAAAAATATTCTAGGCATTCACTGGAATGAACAATCAAAATTCATACACAGATTCTGTCCCAAGTGATCAAGGATGTTGGAATTCTTCCTGACAAATTAAAGGTAAAACGCTGAGGTCAGCTGTTGTATTTTAAAGTATCAGGAAGCTAAAAATTCACACAAAAAACTTTGGCTGAATGTTAAATATACCTGTAGAAGAAATGGTCACAAGTGAAAAATATCAGATGGGAGCAATTCCCTTTTCATTTTATTATTGCTGATGTTTAAAGGTACTCAAGTAGTAACTAGGAAGAAAACAACATGCAAGTGACAATTTGAGAGTTCATTGGTTCTGCAATTTTACATTATTAAACATATTGTACCATCATAAGCTTCACTTTATAAAACATTCACATATCACAATGCATTGATTTAAATCTCTATACATTTATAAGTCACAAAATTTCTCATTTTGACAGAATCAATCATAAATTATGATAAATTAGATTTTAATACTTTTTCTGTACATGTCTAGGTCACAATATATCTCACTTTAACAGTCTTTCCATACATTTATAAATGACAATATTTCCATTTAACAGGTTATTTTTTGCCACTGTCTTATTTTGACTAAAAGATTGTATGCCAATACTATGTAGGCAAAGTTTTATTGAGAAAGAGAAAATGATATTTTTCGATGAAAGAATTACAGCATGACTAAAATAAAAAAAATGTTTTTATTTTGACACCAAATGATGAAATATGTGTGTGTTGAAATAAACCTGTTACACTGTCTTTCCATTCATATAGCTTTAACAGTTTTTCAACCTATAAAGTTACCATCCTTTCCATCCATACATTTAAATATCACAATACATCTAATTTTACCAGCTTTTTCAACCATACATTAACATTTAAAAACATATCTAATTTTACTAGCCTTCCAACCATACATTTACATACCACAATATATCTAATTTTACCTGCATTTTCAACCATACATTAACATATTAGAACATATCTAATTTTACTAGCCTTCCAACCATACATTTACATACCACAATATATCTAATTTTACCTGCATTTTCAACCATACATTAACATATTAGAACATATCTAATTTTACTAGCCTTCCAACCATACATTTAAATATCACAATATATTTAATTTTACCAGCTTTTTCAACCATACATTTACATATCACAATATATATAATTTTACTAGCCTTCCAACCATACATTTACATTTCACAATATATCTAATTTTACTAGCCTTCCATCCATACATTTACATATCACAATATATTTAGTTTTACCAGCCTTCCATCCTTACATTTACATACCACCATATATCTAATTATACCAACCTTTCCAACCATACATTAACATATCAAAACATATTTAATTTTACTAACCTTCCAACCATACATTTACATATCACAATACATCTAATTTTACCTGCATTTTCAACCATACATTTACATATCGCATTATATCTAATTTTACTAGCCTTCCATCCATACATTTACATATCACAATATATTTAATTTTACTAGCCTTCCATCCATACATTTACATACCACCATATATCTAATTATACCAACCTTTCCAACAATACATTTACATATCACAATATATTTAATTTTACTAGCCTTCCATCCTTACATTTACATATCACAATATATTTAATTTTACCAGCTTTCCATCCATACATTTACATACCACCATATATCTAATTATACCAACCTTTCCAACAATACATTAAAATATCACAATATATTTAATTTTACTAGCCTTTCATCCATACATTTACATACCACCATATATCTAATTATACCAACCTTTCCAACAATACATTAAAATATTAGAACATATTTAATTTTACTAGCCTTCCATCCTTACATTTACATATCACAATACATCTAATTTTACCAGCTTTCCATCCATACATTTACATACCACCATGTATCTAATTATACCAACCTTTCCAACAATACATTTAAATATCACAATATATTTAATTTTACTAGCCTTCCATCCATACATTTACATACCACCATATATCTAATTATACCAACCTTTCCAACAATACATTAAAATATTAGAACATATTTAATTTTACTAGCCTTCCATCCTTACATTTACATATCACAATACATCTAATTTTGCCACCTTTTTAAACCATACATTTCCATATCACAATATAATTAGTTTCAACTGCCATTCAATAGCTACCTTTTTATATATTTATAAATCTGTATAAGAAGCCTTTCCATACATTTACAAATCACTATATATTTGATTTTAACAGTCTTTCCATGCATACACATCATAATATCTTCAATTCTTAAAGATGTAGATGATTTACATGTCAGACTTTCTAATAAACAAGAGGCACATATGACCTGTATCACTCACTTGGTTTGTTTAACTGAAATGCATTATCCAAACTCAGGAATATGGATTCCAAAGAGTGATATCTATTTTCTCCTTGGGCCCTATCCCACTGCCTTCAGGTCAACCATTTATACAAAGCCCCTTTGCTTCAAACCAAATTTGGATAAAATCATGTTATTTCTACAAACAAAGAAGGATTTCATAGAATTTGCTATATCCCCTATTGGGCCTCATCCCTCAGGCCCTATGACTCTCTATCCTCTATCATAAAAATTGATTCTCCTTCCCCAAAGGATGCTTCTGACCAAAAGCTGAACAGCTCCTGTCATTCATATAGAAGAAGAAGGTTTCAAACAATTTGCTATATCTGATATATCCTTTATTGGACCCTGTCCCTCAGGTCCCTATAGGGTCAGGGTCACCATGTATACAAAATTGGTTCCCCTTCTAAAGAAGATGTTTCTGACTGAATTTAATCAAAATAACTTTAACCCAACTGATGTATTTTATCTCTATTACTCTATATCCAAATATGTCCCAGACAATTTAAAATAAAGATCATATCACATTATATTACTTGTGGACCATCAGTAATGGCACCATTCATCTGATGGTGTATCACAGCAAAGTACCGTGGGATTTTCTTTACATTGAGCTTTGTCATGAACAACATGGACTGGGTGGCAAAATTATACTCCAAACACAAAAACTTAACAAAGGGCAATAACTCTGTAATTAAGGAGTTGTAGGCCCTGAATAACTGAGCAAAGTTGTGCTTCAGATGGAATGACAGATGGATGAAGCTGCAACTAAATGCTCTCCATATCTTCGTTGAGCATGAAAATAATATCATCCCTGAATAAATAATAGACATAAATGGAATATGTCAGGAATATCGTAGTGAAAAAAGTAAAATGATGTAAGCAGTACATTATCAATTACAAACAACAGCAACTTAATATTGTCAGCACTTGTGAAAGTAAAGCTCTCGGAGAAGGACAAAGAAGTAGACGGTAATTACTGATGAGCAGTCCATATAAACACTTCAGGAGGCTACAACGGTATGAAAGAATGTTCTAGACCAAATTTCATCAAAACTGCCAACAGACATTGTGCTAGGACATAAGCTTACCAGTCCTTTGGAGCAGGTGAGTTAATTATGGAACAGTGAAAAATTTCAAAAACATTACAGGGCAAGATCTGTTCTACAGCTGCTCTGTCTATAAATAGCCCTGCTGAACACATCATGTAGTACTGGTGTGATGGAGATATTCCATTTTGTAGTTTTAGTTAAAAACTGTCCTAGGGATCTGTCACACTAATTAATTTACATCTAGAATTGAAGCAACAACTGATTCTGTGTTCAGTTTCCAGACTCCAGAATCCAGTTTCCAGAGTCAAGTTAAGACCCCACTTATGACTCCTTTCTCCAGACTCCAGAATCAAGTTGGAGCACCACTCAAGACTCTTGTTTCAAGACTCCAGGAATCGAGTCTCCAGAATCAAGTAAGGACCCCACTCAAGACTCTTATTTCCAAACAACAGAATCCAGACTCCAGAATTTAGGTAGCCAGAATCAAGTTTGGACTCCTGTTTCCAAACAACAGAATCCAATCTCCAGAATCAAGTTAGAACCCCACTCAAGATTCCTGTTCCAAGAATCCAGAATCCAGCCTCCAGAATCAAGTTAGAACCCAACTCAAGACTCCTGTTCCAAGAATCCAGAATCCAGTCTCAAGAATCAAGTTAGAACCCCACTCAAAGACTCCTGTTTCCAAATAACAGAATCCAGTCTCAAGAATCAAGTTAGAACCCAACTCAAGACTCCTGTTCCAAGAATCCAGAATCCAGTCTCAAGAATCAAGTTATGGCTCAATTCACCATTAAGAATACAGTCTTAGGACTCCAGTCCCTAGACTCTAGTCTCCAGACACCAGTTAAGACTCCAGTCCCTAGACTCTAGTATCTAGACACCAGTTAAGACTCCAGTCCCTAGACTCTAGTCTCCAGACACCAGTTAAGACTCCAGTCCCTAGACTCTAGTCTCCAGACACCAGTTAAGACTCCAGTCCCTAGACTCTAGTCTCCAGACACCAGTTAAGACTCCAGTCCCTAGACTCTAGTCTCCAGACACCAGTTAAGACTCCAGTCCCTAAACTGCAGTTCTACCTATGTTCCCTCGACTCCAGTTATAATTAAAACTCCAGTTAAGTCTCCAGCACCTTCTCACCTGTAAAACAATGGAGAGACATATTTACACAATGATATATCTTACTTGGAATTTGAGCTTACCAGTAACTATTTGTATTTGACTATCAGTTATACAACTTACTAATATTCAAGCAAGAAAAGATCCATATACCTTAATCTGCTTGTGTTAAGTACTGATAGACATATTGATTATAAGGCTTACCGCTTACTACATCCTTAAACACAAATCACATATATAATTATAAAAAGTCATTATATTGAGCAGATGTATGCAATAGGAATGGAGTGGAATCACAGAAAGCAAAAGAAATTTGCAAAGTGATAAAGTAGTTTAGCTAATATGACTTAAAAAGTTTCAAGACCAGACATCAAAAAAACAAATTACGCCTGCACCGATCTAACCACTAACCACTGACCATAGTCCAAAGGATGGGACTTTAAACGGTGGTCCATGTTGATTGTCCAATCTCCAACACTAAAGATCCCTATGATGCTTTTATAAAAAGAGTAGACATAATATTGTTGGCCCAGAAGTCTAGGGATAGTGTCAGCCTATAAATTTATTTTTAAGGCATTAGACAGACTTCAACATTATCCTTACACAAACCAAATCTAGATAGGCCCTCGTCCTTTCAGCTTCTGGACATGTTTCAACTACTAGAGTGATACAGATATGGCATTATTAGGCCCTGCAGCCATCTACCAAAACTAGGATAATCAAACAATCACCATTACAGACAGTTCCATACCACTGAGGGGGATGCAGGTTGCCTCACGTTGCCAGTACACTGACGTTCGTCTGTGAGACATACCTGGACACAGTAGGACAGACCTCATATACATGTATATCTTCTAAACATTTCTTTGAACATCTGTGGTAGAATAGTCCCAACATATACCTACCAAACATTTCCTTGTACATCTGTGGCAGAGTCAGGTCTGGGTTCTTCTTCAGCATTAGTGTGATAGCAGTATTGTGCTGCACTAGGATAAAGTGTAACTCGGCTAATCTGACCAGCAACATCCCGAAACGTGTTCTACCATCAGGGTAGGTCGCTACAAACAAAGAGGATACAGGTTGATTTAGGCAGCTATGGAATACAAAACATTATTTTCATTCTACAGCAACTGAGACCAGCTTATATGTTGGCCCAGATTGATGGCAGTTAGAGGTCTTGCTGTGTGAGGACACCAGATTACCATTGGAAAATCCTTTGTTTGGGCAGGTCACCCCAAACTTTTCTACTTTTTATTAGGGAACCTTATCTAGTTACCTAAAGGCAACTGACCATCCTACTGGCTTGGGATGGACATCTATTTAACACAAATTTCATATGGTAAGGTGAGCAGGTTTACCATAATTCTACCTGAAACAGAATTGGTTTCTCGTCAACACAGTTGTTGACACACAATTAATTCAACGATAACGGAAAAATAATGGCAAAATTGAAAGTAACAAGAGGGTTCCTGAAGATAGCTGGCCATAAAAATGACAAATGCATAATAAAAATCGTACTCTGACAGGTCACACATTGGGGTATATGTTTTAAACAGAGAAAGGTCAGTCTCAAGGTCACACTAAATATAAGGTCACACTTGATGAAAGGTTAAAAATGCAAGGTCACACTCAATGAAAGGTCAATGAAGGGCTTGTTGATCTTATCAAGGTATTTGTTTTCTATATACATTAATCAATAAGTAATTTTCTAAAAGAATCACTAGAAGTATTAAGATATAAAAAGTGTTTGTTGCGTTTGACATGTGTAGTCATCCATGACATTTCTTAACACATTTCTACATGCGACACCAATACTGATCCAAGACAGAAGTCAGAAATTACTGAAGCCTTTAAAGCTGTGGACAAAATTTTCAGAAGGAGAAGTTAAAACCTTTAAAGTGTAAAAGACATGCAGTTACTTGGTATATCTTGTATAATTATTAGTTATTTCTGTGCAATATATATCAACATTTGTACTGACAGTGAGGGTCAGCGACTTGTGTCAGATTCTTTGTAAGTATGTACCCATTAAATATCTAATTCTCAATAACTAAGAGATTTTATAAACAATTTCATTTTTACTTTTAGTTGCAGATCATTTAAGGTGATAATATGACTTGGCTAAAATTAGATATCACCCTTTTGGCAGCAAATGTTGAAATTAGGGCAGTCAAAAAAAGCAAAGTTATACAGTGTTTGATATAATGGTGAAACTTCATGTGACATAAGAGTAATCAAAACTCACTTTCTTCATGATACTGTAAGGCATATGTAGTATCCATCTGCAGCTCACGAACACTGTCAGAGTCAGCAAGGCTTTCAACATCTACGTAAGAAGAGGAAATTAGTACAGTACTACAATAATGTCATCATAACATAATAGATCAGATTGGGTAGAATTGTTACTGTTAACTTGTCAAGTATATACTAAACATTTGTTCAGTGGAATATGTATAAAAATTTGTTTGGAAGTTAGTATAAACAAACACTCTTTAATCTCATTGAGAAAAAAAACAGGACATCAAATTCTGACAGCCATACACTAAATGTATTAAAAATACTAAAATCTTATGTTTCTAACAAATTTTTGCAGAATGTGGCTTTTCTTGAATAAATGTCTGCAGTGAAACAGTTGTACACATCATTACAAAAATAATGTCTTAAAAGAGAAAGGTGTTGGGAGGATGACAGGTTACTTACCTGCATTTAATAGCAGCAGAATGGACAGAAAGGTATATTCTGTGGTACTTAACTTCATTAGGTTTACCATAATGCCTGTGTGTATAAAATGACTCGACAATATCTTCAGCATCGGGAAGAATGAATGAATGGTTTGTCTTTGTCTTGGTGTGAAGTTGAAGTAGCTATACTGTTTGGTTTCACAGTCAAAGCTTCGTGAACAGTTGAGGACTACAATGGGGTAGATTGATGCTTGTATGAGTTTGATTTGGTCATCCAATGAAATAGCTCTGAAACCTGAAAAACATGTCAAAGTGTAAGTAAGGTTTAACTAGTAGCATATCAACATGAGAACAGTCATGTCTTCTAAATTCTACAAGTCACTGTAGCATTAAAAAAATTTACATAATTATACGATAATACTCCGATAGACATGTCTTATGTATCTAACAAGTCAATGAAGCATAAATATTTTTACTTAGTTATACGATAGTCCTAAGATAGACATGTCTTATGTATCTACCAAGTCACTGAAGTATAAAACACTCCGACTAGTTATAAGACAGTCCTCAGATAGACATGTCTTATGTATCTAACAAGTCACTGAAATATAAAAGGTTTACCTGGTTTTAAGGCAACACCTGGACAAATATGTCTGACCAAATCAATGTTATACTACATCAGTCAACACTGAAAGAAGGAATATTTTTACCTGGAACTTTCTTTGAGAATTTGATGAGTGTTCTAGCAGTATGTTCAAAGGAAGCCATCATACTGGCCCATGTTTTCTTTGCAGTTGTATACCCTGCTAATTCATCTCCTTCATTCTGAAATCAGAGAGTTCAGATCCAAAATTGCACTATAAATCTTCCACTTTCAGAAAGGATTTAGTTCATCATTAATAGAATGGTTCAATTTACACATAAACACGAAATCCCAACAAATAAAACTTTGAAAATATCATTCAACAATGACTAAATTTTCACTGAGCAATCAGACGCCTGAATTCTGTCTACAATTGAGAGAAGTTTGAAGGAAGCTATATATGTATCACTGATTTTTATGGCCAAAACATATGAGCAATAAGGGTTCTCAATTTCCATAACAAGGCACTTCTACAGTACAAACTTAATAAGTGTACAAAGTTTCATGTAACTATATTGAATGATGTCAGAGCACTGGTCCAGAAAATGACCTTGCAAGGACGGACACAGAGTCCAATTTAATATCCTTGCAAACTCGTTTTCTGGGAGATAATTCCATTAAATATGGAAATGGAAGGATAATTGGTCAATCAAAATACCAGTGAGAAAGCACTGCTTAATATCATTGAAGTGAAAATTAAAAAGAGAACAGTGAATATTCAGAAAATTAACAGAGAAGATTTCTGCATTTAAATGATTTTAATAAACAAATTGACCAACATACATCATACTGAAAAATACCCTGCCTGATTGACATACAATGACATAAACAAAGTTTCTGTTCACGTGTCTCCCTGAATAGAACATATATTCTGTCAATACAAAATATTAACAAGTAAAGAAGTGAACAACTAGATTTTGATGTTTGACCCATAATTCAGGAGAATTTATACTTAAAATGATATCAACAGGCAGGAGCATTCATACTTACAATGATATCAACAGGCAGGAAAATTCATACTTACAATGCTATCAACAGGCAGGAGAATTCATACTTACAATGATATCAACAGGCAGGAGAATTCATACTTACAATGATATCAACAGGCAGGAGAATTCATACTTACAATGATATCAACAGGCAGGAGAATTCATACTTACAATGATATCAACAGGCAGGAGAATTCATACTTACAATGATATCAACAGGCAGGAGAATTTATAACAACGATTATACAAACAGAAGGAAGGTTTCATACTTACGACATTAAGAGGCAGGAGATTTTCTAGTTCCCCGTTACATTCAGCACATTTACTGATGATCTCCAAAGTCTTTTCACTGTTAATACTATCTATAATACTTCCTGGACCGTTAACTGGACTGACACACCTGATTGCTGGTGAATGTGGTTCCTGTTTAATCTCTGTCACCACAGGCAGTATTGGTGTTACTTCTATATCACAGTTTTCTTGAGCAATGACCTGTTGATTTGTGAAGTTAAAATTTGTATCATCTGAGTCTATCTGTTCTAGGCTTACATCCTTTATCATTTCCAGTCCAACATTCCTAGGTACTTCCGATCTATCATCCTTCAATATTTCTGGCCCGATACCTGTGGCCAATTTAACCACGGCATCCATATCGTTTAAGTTGATTTCTTCATTTTTTTTCTGCTCCTTACGTGATTGTTTTCCTTGTTTGTCAGCCTCTATGGATATTGCATGTTTGATGGAATTTGGTTGACGACCTATTCTACTTCCTGTAAAACCGATAGAAAACACTGATAAATTCAGGAATAACTGACACACATCAGGAAGGGCACTGCATTGTGTCACACTCCAACTCTGAGTGTTACATTGTAATCACTACCCTAATTAATCATGTATTGAAACTGGCCATCTTTGCTTCACAATGTCAAAAGAAAAAAAAGAAAATCTATTTCAAATTTGACCTTCACATTTGATCTGATGTCCTCAACATGTAGTCAGGTGAACTCTCATTTGATTTCAACCAATCATGCTTCATTTTGTCATAACAAAATACATTATATTCACTGCAAAATATTTCAAATTGACCTTTGACCTAAAAGTATTTGTCTTCCAAATATTTCAAATTTGAACTTGACCTTCACTCTCATTTGATTTCAGTCTGCCAGTAAAGTATTTAAAGTTTCACCTTGACCTTTGACCTGATGACCATGACCTATGGTTGGGTGTTTTTTCATTTGATTTCAGTATAATATGCTTAATTATCTCATCAGTAAATATTAAACAGTAACATCAAGATATATGTATATTTCCATTTTTTATTGATCATAATGGTGACTTTGGCCTTTGACCTGTGACCATGCAAAGCAATTGAGAGCTTCAACTTCCTGTGACAAGGGAATGGAAAAACATTGAGCGTAATTGTCTTAATAGAACTGAAGATATTTTGCAGAAACAGGTTTTCTTTTTTATAGAAGCAGTGACCCACCTTGACCTCAGGATCCCAAAATCACTACCACCTTATCATTTCCTTTGAACAACTATTGAGTAAAGTTTGTATGCAACTTGATAAATTGTATTGCAGTAAAAAATAGGCCAGACAACAACCATAACTATTGGTTAACCATATCTTTGAATTAAGTATTGAAATCTGGAGGTGGTTATATAACTCTCATTATCTAGCTACTTCTAATCTGACTATTCCACTATCTAGTCACCACTAATCTGACTATTCCACTATCTAGTCACCACTAATCTGACTATTCCACTATCTAGTTACCACTAATCTGACTATTCCACTATCTGGTCACCACTAATCTGACTATTCCACTATCTAGTCACCACTAATCTGACTATTCCACTATCTAGTCACCATTAATCTTAATATTCCACTATCTAGTCACCACTTATCTGACTATTCCACTATCTAGTCACCACACCATCTTTATCTGACTGTTTATTCCACTATCTGACTATTCACCATTAATCTGACTATTCCACTAACTGTTCCACTATCTAGTCACCACTAATCTGACTATTCCACTATCTAGTCACCACTAATCTGACTATTCCACTATCTAGTTACCACTAATCTGACTATTCCACTATCTAGTCACCACTAATCTGACTATTCCACTATCTGGTCGCCACTAATCTGACTATTCCACTATCTAGTCACCACTAATCTGACTATTCCACTATCTGGTCGCCACTAATCTGACTATTCCACTATCTGGTCGCCACTAATCTGACTATTCCACTATCTAGTCACCACTAATCTGACTATTCCACTATCAAGTCACCACTAATCTGACTATTCCACTATCTGGTCACCACTAATCTGACTATTCCACTATCTAGTCACCACTAATCTGACTATTCCACTATCTAGTCACCACTAATCTGACTATTCCACTATCTAGTCACCACTAATCTGACTATTCCACTATCAAGTCACCATTAATCTGACTATTCCACTATCTAGTCACCATTAATCTGACTATTCCACTATCAAGTCACCATTAATCTGACTATTCCACTATCAAGTCACCATTAATCTGACTATTCCACTATCTAGTCACCATTAATCTGACTATTCCACTATCAAGTCACCACTAATCTGAATATTCCACTATCTGGTCGCCACTAATCTGACTGTTCCACTATCTGGTCGCCACTAATCTGACTATTCCACTATCAAATCACCACTAATCTGACTATTCCACTATCTAGTCACCATTAATCTGACTATTCCACTATCTAGTCACCACTAATCTGACTATTCCACTATCAAGTCACCATTAATCCGACTATTCCACTATCTAGTCACCATTAATCTGGAGTATTCAACTAACTAGCCACTACTAACCCAGCTATTTCACTATGCAGAAGACATATGAGGCTGCAGAGCCAAAAATTACCTTCGATGGACATTCCTGAGTTCAGACATTTGCGATATCGACATGCTTTACAGAGGTTACGTGTAAAGGTGTTAACTTCACAGTGACCACTCTTAGTGCACTTGTACCGCTGACATTCTCTCTCCTTTGCCATCCGCCTGAAAAAACCCTGAAACAACATAGCCCATACAGTGAGGATAAAGCAATCAGCTTTTACCAGTAAAACATCTGGGAATATCTTAACACATATTGTACTAGCTGAAGTTAGTTTTTTTCCCTTCAATGTTAGTACTTTCTATCAGATCCTTGAAACAGCACTCACAATTGGATGATATCTACTGGTTTTATGTAAAATTGATCTTCCTATTTACCAATCATTTCTACTTTCATTCATATCACCATAGTAAATAATGTGGAAATGTTTTCAAATTCTATTTCTTCATTCTAGAGATATTCTGTCAACTGTATCAAAATATGGTTTTAGTGAAAATATGACCTGAATGACCTTGACCTAGATATCATAAAACATCATCAAATGACCTTCTGGCATGGACAACAAAGATTCAGGACAAACATCTTCTATGATTAGTTTACATATTGATGATGTCCTTAAAGATCTTGAGAAAGAATATTCATCAACATCAAATGTCGAAATTCTAACTGGTCATTGGTGGCCATCTTGAATGATGGATCAATATATGTGCAAAAAGGAACCATACTGATCTTATACTTTCAGTTTCCTGAAGACACCTGAAACTGTTATTGAAAAATAGCAATCAAAATCTAACTATTGCAATTCAAAATGGCCACTGTCTGCCATCTTGAATATTGAATCAGTCTCAATTGGTGATATAAAAAAATATTCTAAGTGGCATGTTGTAGCAGCAGTTTGAAAGTATACAGCTATTTCTTTGCTTATAAACATTAAATAATATCTGTTACCTTACAGCCTTCACAGGTGAGTGCCCCAAAGTGGAATCCCGAGGATGGGGCACTACACACCCGACATGGAATCTTCCCAATTTTCTTGTCTTTTTTCTTGCCATCGCCTGAACCTAAGTCAATAAAAATGACACTCTTTATAAACTCCTTTAAATAAAGAATATTTGACAACATTCTTAATAAATCAATTAACACAAATCATGTTACCAACCATATTCACTCTCAAGATATCCCACGGAACTATCCGATGCATGGACCTTTCCTTCTTAGGGTTATATCTTGACTGAATATTTAGAATTTTATGATATTGGCTGCTGTTCCTGACCTAATGAACTCTACTTTTCACTGTTGAACATTATTACCGTTCATTGTTTTTATCTGAAGTTCTTATGCTTGGCATTTATATACCAATGCTCTAACCCTACCTTATGTACTAATTTATTATTCATCATAGACTATCTCTATTTATATATTATACTGACTCTTCTTTAATATTTATACTTCTTATAAGTTCTTCATATTATTTCTACTTATACTCTAGCTATCATTTTTACGCCAACTATCATTCTTCTACTATGTTGTTTGTTTACTACTTCCATGGCTACACTATGATGTCACAATATTGTCACATGACTACTATTGTTATTCACTATACATCTTGTATCACCATGTAACAGGCAGACCAATAAAGTGTGCCCTGATGACGGCCTGCCAAGCAGGCCGAAACATGTCAGCAGTCACAGTATTACTACACCTGGCCTCAGCTGTTGTGGTCTTCCTACTATTTTGATTTGACAAGTCATCTTAATCAGGATGAATGAGCAAAAAGGAAAGTATCAAAGTTATAATAACACAATCTTCAGTGTCAGTTATTTCATAAAATGATATTAGTACCATCCACACAAGTATATACACAGGTGCATGTAAAAATGTGCATACCTTAAATAAAACCAAATAAGTCCAAAACCTTGAAAGTGGGTGAGGTCATTCATTTACTTGGTAGTACAGACCCAATATCGGCACAAACTTTTGCCTAGAAAGTGGGTTGAGGTCATTCATTTGAACAAACTTGGTAGCCTCTCCTCCAAGCATCTTACAGGCCCAATATCAGCACTCATGGACTTTTGCTTGTTGAGAAGAAAAAAATATGTGTAAAAACCAGAAAATTATTTGCCTATTTCTGTATATTAAGAGAACTATAAACAAACAACACCAATAGGTTCCTGGACACAACAGACACCTATAAACAAGTTTCTTGTTGATACCTTATATAATTTTAGTGTAATTTAAGTAAAGGGCAATAACTCCAAAATTATGCAAAAGAGAGTGATGGTTCTTGTGCACTGCATTTCTCTTTGTTAAGATATATCTACATTTTCAGAATAAGACAATATTTACCTGGACAGTACATTTTCAGACTTCAGACAAAGACAATATTTACCTGGACAGTACATTTTCAGAATAAGACAATATTTACCTGGACAGTACATTTTCAGACTAAGACAATATTTACCTGGACAGTACATTTTCAGACTAAAACAATATTACCTGGACAGTACATTTTCAGACCAAGACAATATTTACCTGGACAGTACATTTTCAGACTAAAACAATATTACCTGGACTGTACATTTTCAGACCAAGACAATATTTACCTGGACAGTACATTTTCAGACTTAGACATTTCTGGAATCGGCAGTATTGACACTGGACTCGACTCTCCTTGGTTATTACACAATTTTGTGCCCGAAGACATACATATTTTACTTTCTCCATCTTACTGGCTCTCATAAAGAATTTCTGTAAAATGAGATTAAATCACTATATCTTATGTTTCACATGTCTTTTGTATTTCCTATAGATCAATTGTTTACTGAAAGACTTTTGAAACAACAATTTCTTAAATTCATCAGAAACAACATTGAACAACATTTTTTGGATCATTCATAATCAAATCAATTTATCTGGGTATATAATGCATATAGCCAACCAATTCACAAGTTATCAGGTTGGAACAGATTCAATGCAGTACACAAAGTGATTAACACACTACAGAGGGGTCTCATACTCATTCTCACTAGGAAGCATTTGTCAAGATGAGGCATATCATCAACATACAATCATATTTTAGGAAAACAATCAGCAGACCAAATTGATAACCAAACCTATATAGACACACATTTTGATATAGATTGAAGTTGACCACCTGTTGATGTGAACCTCAGTACATACCTTGCATGCCTCACAGATAAATGCCCCACAGTAGAATCCTGCAGCTTTGTCCCCACACACCTGACAACTGGTTTCGTTACCTGGAGGTTGAACAAGTTCGCTAGCAGTTTCTGTGCTGCTTATCTCACTACTGTCCTCAGTATTCATCTTCAATATTTTCAGGGACACTACTCTAACTTCAGATGTGCTTGAGGGCAGAGAATATGATTCATTTCTGTTCTGACCTTGATAGGAACATTCTGGAGAAAGTTCTTGTTTCATATCTGTTGAAGACACATGGGATGATGATATTACGGAAGGGGAACTTGAACAACTCACTTGATTTTCTACTAAAGGGTTTACTCCTACTGGAGATGCAGATTTTTTCTTTGGCTGTGGAGGTCTGTGTGACGTGTAATATGTACTTTTTTCTACAGATTTTTGTTTTTCTACCACACTCTTTACAGAAAATTCTTCAATATCAGCTAGACTGACTCTGTTGAATGACTGTTGCGAAGGTTTTTTGAGTTTAGCATGAAGTCCATATCGCTGTGCCCATGTCATAGTACTGCATGGAGTACTTTCTTCTGTACTGCCGAAATACTTTACAAATGAATCACTGCCGACTGATCCTGGAATTTTATCTTCATCCTGTACGTGATCAAACATGGATTCAGCAGTTGTTTCTGATGGGACTGATAACGGACTTTTTCTTTCATCATGCGACATATTGAAAGGTACAAGCGATGAAAATGTCCAGCTTTCTGGTGAGTTAACTAGACTTTTTGTAGAGTCACACATGGCTGTACCATTCATGGTGGATGACTGGTTGACATTGTTAGGTTCATTTACTAAGTTTTGCTCAAGATCTTTTGTATCCTTTAATGTCTCCAGTCTTTTGTTTCCAGATTCTATTTCACTATTTCCAGACAATACCTGACCAGAACCTATGCTGTTCACATTCCCAGAAGATAGAAACTGATATGTGCTGTAAGGGTCTTCAGTCGAATTCTGTCCACAGGAACTTGCATTGTTTACCATAAATGTTTGACTGACCTGTCTATTATTCTCGGGGGATGTTTCATTAGGATCCAATGGTAATATCTGACTTGCATTCAATGGAGGCACTTGGTTTGTATGAACAGAAGAAGCTTGGTTGGCACTCAAAGAGAAAACTTCACTAGTGGTTAATGGAGCTTGGTTGGCACTCATTGAGAAAACTTCACTAGTAATCATAGGAGCTTGGCTTGCACTCACTGAAAAATTAGCACTAGTAGATGTGGGAGCTTGGCAGGCACTCACTGAAAATATGGCACTAGTAGTCACAGAATATGCTTGGTATGAATTTGTTAAGAAACTTTGGCTTGCATTCACAGAAGGAACCTGTAAATTATCTACAGTTGAAGAGAATTTACTATCAATATTCACAGAAGTCAGCTGGCTTGTACCCAAAGAAACCTGACTGGCATTGAAAGGGGTCAACTGACCAACCAGTTCCTTTGGATAATATCCATATGGTAGACTACTGGAGTCCTTGGAACTTATAACAAAAGACTTTTCATCCTGAAAGGAGCTGTTGCTTGAGGAAAATAGCTGGGGACTTGTGGAACTGATCTCAGATGGAAACATGCCAGGAAAGGAGCTACTAGATACAGATACATTACTCGCTCTTCGTTGGTTGGTGTCAAAATCCATATGCAAATAGTGATCATGACTGTTACTATTATTTATCATGAACTGGTCACTACCAGAATTTGAGGAATAAAACTGCTTATTTGGCTGTCCAAATTGAGACAAGAACTCTCGTGATTGTATCTCAAACATGTCGTCAGTTATAATTTGATTGCCCACAGGTTCTTCGGCCCTTTCCTCATCTCCTGGAGTCTGGATACCATCATTCAAACTTTTGGACAAAAAGACCTTTTTAGGGGCATAAATTGCCTGCCCAGACAAGTTCATCTTCTCATAGGGCATTCCCACATTTTGTTTTGAACAACACAAATTGTTTTTAAATCAAAGCATATCACTTGGAATTCCATTTACCATTGTTTTATCCAGAAACCTGAAAACAAAAATCAGTAATTAATAAATAATTACCTATTTAGGTCTATATCAACACATTTATAAGATAACATTTAAACCACATCTCTAACTCACACGATTAAGACAAAACTAGAAAAAGAGGAAAAATTCAAACAGAGGACTTTGCAGATACCACCACACCAGTATTTGTTCAGTGGAACATTTATTTGGGGAATGTCTGAATTTTCTAATATCATATCCATATAGATTAGGCCTTTACAGTATTTAATGGGTGTAGAGAAAAAGTGCCATGAAAGAAAATTAAAAAGTAGACTGAAGTTACATATTAGTGGTTACAAGTAAAATCCACATAACGCATAACAGCCATGTTTGTATTACATGCTGGACAATTGATCATAGCCATTCTTTGGATGCAAGAATTTGGTAATATCAATAATAATGAAATGATATGAATCATCTGAGAAAAGATTAATTAGATGTAAAACATTTCATTAGCACAGGGACTTGTTATACATTTCAGTAGCACATGGACTTGTAATACATTTCAGTAGCACAGGGACTTGTAAAACATTTCAGTAGCACAGGGACTTGTAATACATTTCAGTAGCACAGGGACTTGTAATACATTTCAGTAGCACAGGGACTTGTAATACATTTCAGTAGCACATGGACTTGTAATACATTAAAGTAGCACAGGGACTTGTAATACATTAAAGTAGCACAGGGACTTGTGATACAAAACAGTAGCACAGGGACTTGTGATACATTAAAGTAAAAGAAGGTAGGCCAAGCAAGAGCTTTAAGTTATAAACTTATATTATATCAATCTGAACTGATTGTACGCAGAAATTTTGAATATTGTATTTATTATAAGAGTCATCATAGAATCCCAACATCTTTTGGATGTGGAACATTTTGTTTGAGAATAACAGGAAATGTGATGTAGCTTTGTGATAGAGGAAATATCCTACCTGTAATGTTCTATTTAAGTGTAGTAGTAGTAGTAGTAATGTATTTCTGCTGTAGTATAGAGATCAAAGCTAAAATTAGGTCAATAACAATTGGAAAAGACTTGTGTGAACATAAATCCCTTACCCAGCACTCTTGATTCAGACATTGAGCTCCTACCCACTGACCCTTGATTCAGATATCATCCCCCTACCCTCACTATAAATTCATACATCATCTCCCTATCTTCACTCTAAGTTCTGACATTGACCCCTACCCCTACCTTTGATTCAGACACTGACCCACTATCCCCACCTTTGATTCAGACACTGACCCCCTACCACCACCCATGATTCAGATATTGACCCCTACCCCTACCCTTGATTCAGATATTGACCCCCCTACTGCCACCCTTGATTCAGACACTGACCCCCTACTACCACCCATGATTCAGACACTGACCCCCCTACTGCCACCCATGATTCAGACACTGAACCCCCCTACCACTACCCTTGATTCAGACACTGACCCCCTACCGCCATCCTTGATTCAGACACTGACCCCTACCGCCACCCTTGATTCAGACACTGACCCACTACCCTTGATTCTGATATTGACCCCCTACCACCACCAATGATTCAGACACTGACCCCCCTACTGCCATCCTTGATTCAGACACTGACCCCCTACCGCCATCCTTGATTCAGACACCGACCCCCTACCGCCATACTTGATTCAGACACTGACCCACTACCCTTGAATCTGACACTGACCCCCTACCACTACCCTTGATTCAGACACTGACCCCTTACCACCACCCTTGATTCAGACATTGACCCCTACCGCCATACTTGATTCAGACACTGACCCACTACCCTTACCTTTGATTCAGACACTGACCCCCTACCACTACCTTTGATTCAGACACTGACCCCCTACCACCACCCTTGATTCAGACATTGACCCCTACCGCCATACTTGATTCAGACACTGACCCACTACCCTTACCTTTGATTCAGACACTGACCCCCTACCACCAACCCTGATACACCGTCCTCCACATTCAGACAGTGACATCGTCCAGCCTTCCCATTTATTAAGACATTATGAACTACACTCCTCCACATTCAGAGAGTGACATCGTCCAGCCTTCCCATTTATTAAGACATTATTAACTACACTCCTCCACATTCAGACAGTGACATCGTCCAGCCTTCCCATTTATTAAGACATTATTAACTACACTCCTCCACATTCAGACAGTGACATCGTCCAGCCTTCCCATTTATTAAGACATTATTAACTACACTCCTCCACATTCAGACAGTGACATCGTCCAGCCTTCCCATTTATTAAGACATTATGAACTACACTCCTCCACATTCAGAGAGTGACATCGTCCAGCCTTCCCATTTAATAAGACATTATTAACTGCACTCCTCCACATTCAGACAGTGACATCGTCCAGCCTTCTCATTTATTAAGACATTATTAACTACACTCCTCCACATTCAGACAGTGACATCGTCCAGCCTTCCCATTTATTAAGACATTATTAACTACACTCCTCCACATTCAGACAGTGACATCGTCCAGCCTTCCCATTTATTAAGACATTATTAACTACACTCCTCCACATTCAGACAGTGACATCGTCCAGCCTTCCCATTCATTAAGACATTATGAACTACACACCTCCACATTCAGACAGTGATACTGTCCAGCCTTCCCATTTATTAAGACATTATTAACTACACTCCTCCACATTAAGACAGTGACATCATCCAGCCTTCCCATTTATTAAGACATTATAAACTACACTCCTCCACATTCAGACAGTGACATCGTCCAGCCTTCCCATTTATTAAGACATTATTAACTACATATGTCCACATTCAGCCAGTGATACCGTCCAGCCTTCCCATTTATTAAGACATTAATTACCACAAACTCTCCACCTGTCATACACACACACCTATACATATATACACATACACACACCTGCCTATTATCCAAAAGTAACTGTGGTAAATACTAACCGCAATACACCCCTCAGTGGCTTAAGAGCATTTGTCTTTAGTCTGAAAGGTTGATCATTAAAATTGTAAGCCACAGCTAGGTCCAGGGTTCAAATGCTAGCAGAGGCATTGCTATAAAATAATGATACAGACTCAGAAAAATTCTTAACCGTAACCATCACTGTAATCCCTGAAAATTTAAGGAGGAGCTTAGACTAGTACCCAGAGGTCCCTGGTTCAAATCCTAGCAGAGGCCTTGATATAAAATTACGATCTTTGTAAGAGCAAATTCTAACAATGACTTTGATAGCATCATCCTTGTTATATCAATGTTATGTTTTACTGACCTCCTAAATTTTGACCAGTCTCTGCAAGTATGTGTATATGATATACAGGTGGGTATTTTCATTTGTTATCAGCCCAATGGAATTAGGACGTGTAATGATAAAAATCCGTTCGTGGGTATCAATATTGTTACATCAATGTGTGATCGTGGTGTCAAGTTTACAAAAAAGACGATTCGGGAAGAAAGAAAATGGGGTCTTGTTGCAATTGCTAGCGAATGATTAGCAACCATTACCAATAATGGGTACACCTGGCGCTTACCTGCTCGTTTGTTTATGTTTATCACATTCTTCCGCTTCGAATCCCCTTTACTACACATTCGACGTGGACGTTCTATCAATACGTAAAAGTTGACGCTGATATTCCGTTCATGTTGGTGCTTATTGCGATAACTGGTTAGGTAAATGTAAGACATATCTATAAATATAAGCGATGTATTAGTGCAATGTCAAGGTAGTGTGTTTGGTGTAAGTAGGTCATCGTTTTATGTACGTCACGTAGCATGAACAAAAGCTCGGGGAGTTGAATTATTAATCCACCCGGACGTGGCTCACACCTTCGCCCCACGGTCAAAATCATGGTCATTTGTGTATAGTTTTTGGACCGTTTAAACATTTGTCAATACATTAATATAAAAATTATTTGTGGTCGTGATATCATTTCAAGTGGACTTATCTTTAGCCTGGTCAACTGCCCATAGTTACACGGTAGCGGGGACGTATCTGACTGTAGTCATGGATTTCAAGCATGCACAGATATCGGTCGTAATGTAGCCCCGTTTGTTTGCTGCTAGCTTTAATTTTTATGTGCATATAAACTGACAACAACAAGGACAATAACTAATTGTGACCAGAGCCAGAGATGTATTATCAGTGTTCTCTGCGTGAGAGTATTTCTTAAAAAAACAAACAAACACGACCACAAACACGACCACACACACACACAAATCACGCAATGTTGTTACACAAGTGGACTTGAAATAGATCATTAGAGTTATGTATATATGTAAAAAGTAGTAGAACAGGTTTTTTTTGTTTGTTTGTTTGTTTGTTTGGGGTTGTTTTTTTTGGGGGGGGGGTGGGATGGGGAGGTGGGGTATGTACTTTGTGATTAATTTGAACTGACTGTACACAACCGCCAATTGTTGATTTATTTTCCCTTTTATATTTTGGTTATTGATGTCTGCAATAATATACTGACCGGTCACTCCGATAATAACATATGTAATGTAGCGGACTGTACGTCCATTATTACGGCCTTTTAGCTCTGTCAGCGGTTTAGACATAAGGATACAGGAATTACTTCCCTTAGATAATAATCTAGGGACATGTGAGTTATTTCCCTTGTATCGCTTCACCCAACAGAGGCAAGTGTTGTTCCATTTTGATTTTTCCACTAGCTGACTACATACATATTTTCATTCTATAACCATAACACACCAAACATCAATGCAAATAATGGTCTCCCATGGGTCTATCTTACCAGCGGAATAGTTTATCTTCATAGGTATTTCAGTTCGTTGACATAACCCCTATCTAATTGTCAGCGCATTTAACAGGAGTAGAATTCATATTGAATAAAAGATTCTGTAAGAACATCGTTACATTTCATAAGCTGAGTTATATCGCCTGTTGGCACGTCTGTTTTAGAAATGAGAATGATCCGCCTTTTTTTATTTATTTATTTGTTTTTTTTTAATATACAGAGCAAGTTTAATTTCATACGAAATTAAAGAAAATCCATCCAGTACTTCTCAAGAAATAGCGATAACAAAACTATCCGCATCAAAATGCAAGCTTTTTTCCTATCAGTCTCCATATGAAAAAGGCACACAGGGGGAAATTACATGGTACCACTAGGACCGAGGTGGGTGCCGACTCGGCATACAGTGTAATTTGAGGTCGATCAAATCAGCGTTTCCCAAGCCAGATACAGGAATTGTCTAAGAACAGACAACGGACGGACCACGACCGAGCGGTATAGTAAGGCTGGTGTTGACCAAGGTTATACATTTCCCTTCCAGCCAAAAACACATTCTCGTGTTGACCAGGGTTACAGCTATGTTCTCTAGTCCCGACATGGGCGACAGTGATTTCTTTATATCGCAGGTTATCTTTACAAAAGTTATTACAAGGGACCCAGAACGGATCGTCCACCAATGCCACGGGATATTTATTGGTTCTTTCTTCACACGCTATATCTCTTCTTAACTATTTGTTGCATTGACATGAGAATTGATTAAACCAGCGTAGATAAGAAACATGATTACTGAGATGAAATCACATTTAAACAGCTGTTTAAAGTATTAGTCAGTCCCATTTAGTATATGCGTCAAGTGGAATCCTTATAAAGAGAAAGGCATCGAAAAAAGTGTACACGTACAACGAAAAGCTACTGAATTAACACTAGGCCTGAAAGAAAAGTCTGTAAGCTTCAATTACCAACACCTGTTTATGGAATGTTAAGAGGGGACATAGTTAATGAGTATAAAATAAAAGATCCGAAGGTAACAAGAGGCATTTTTGAGAGTGATGAATCATCGACGATCAGAGGACACTCGCATACACTAAGGAAGAAATAGTGTAAACTTGTTATACGCAAAATATTCATGTGTACTGGGACCGTCAATATTTGGAACAGTCTCCCTGATAAAATTGTTCGGACAAATAACATTAATTTTCACATTTGATAGCGCTCTGGACAACTACTGACAAAATCTGGGGCTGAAATGCAACCATACGGCGAGATAGAATTCCATCCTGAAATGACATTTGAAATTTTTATGTATGCCTGCGTTCATAAGTAATCCTATTAAATCCCATGAAAGAACTAGGACTGACAACAGACAGACCAGGACGGACGGCGGACGGACCATGACAGACAACAGATGGACCACGAATGCAGGGCGAAGATTCCACCTTTAGATCAGGGTAAAATGACAGTAATTTATCATGGCGAATAAATAGGTACAGTTCTATTACATTTTAAAGTCCAAACTACATTATAATATCAGCATGGAAAAATATATTACAAAGTTCAAGAATCCATATATGTGATTTCTGTGTTAAATGAAGAGGTATAAATATAGATTATTGTTATGACAACTAGTAACAATCTACAAAGCAATCCAACCAGAAACCAGCAGACGGCGAAATTACCAATTTAATTTGACAAAATAGAATTCAACAGACTATGATATGAAGCCAAGTTAATAGAATAAATTATTAACACTCGAATACTAGTAAAGTTGTCTTGTTGATTAAGACTTGGTGATGAATATAGGATTACTGGTTCTCCATTCACGTGATACCTGTAATCCTTCTTACCTGTCCACAGTCCGCCAGGTATTGACCAAAGGTAAGTGGTGCAAGTCAACCGGACAACGCCACAATACCTGTCAATAACACATGAACTGGTATAATGAACGTTCACTTCTACACACTGGAATTGTCGACTACCGGACGGGTAAACATAAATGGACAAACGACAACAATTGTGGGCAGTTATTAAGACAACGGATGCGTAAACAGAACAGAAACAGTTAGACTCATTATAAAACAGTTACACGTTCAGTTTTCCATTGGTTTCGGTTCAGTGGTTACCTCCATTGGGAGTTGCTGTTAATGACTATTGCCAATACACACCTGGCCGAAGTAAGGTAATGCTGGTTTGTGAAAGCGAACAACAGCCAGCTCTGTGACCCAATATCACACCACGAAACCTCGGAGTCGGAGAACTGATAAAATCGTATGTGACACGGTCAGAATAAGCGAGAAATACGAAAACTTTGCCATAAAACAAATATGACCCTATGTGTGTGAATGAAAGTTATACCGTGGTTGGACCAATACATTTTATCAATAGGATCTTACCGTTGTATAACCAGTGAACCCCACTGATGGAGGAGGAGGATGAGACCCAGTCACAGAACCAGGTAAAAATATCATAATTAATTGTGAATGTTGATATAGACAGGTATGTGCTGTGTTCATTATCATCAAAAAGTATCTTAGGATTTGAATAATTCTTTGTATTATTGCTATGGTATGTGTGCTTTACGTCTGAGTTCACTAGAAGAGTGACACATTTGAATTCAATTTAAGGTGGGTCACCACACTTTCCCTGATAAACAAAATTAACTGGTGTCGGCGTATCAATACATTGAAAGAAGGAGAAATGGAATTCTGTATGTATAAATGGTGTACTATATATAGTGTACTTTAAGTTTTACTATATGTTGTATGTATATCAGAAACCATGAGTAATCCGGAGTTGTCGAAGTTGTGCCCATGAACAAACTGAACGCCTTACCTATGGAGAGCATGTTTTGGGCCTCCTGTGTGGCTTTCAGTGAAGTAGGCACTAACTACAAGAAGTCTCAAGATAAGAAATTATTAGTTTTTATATGTGTTATGTACATTATGTACATGTGTGTATACAATACACACGATATTTATATTAATGGTTTATACATATTTGGTACATTGTATGTATACTTTGTACATCATACAGTAATGGGGTCCGATCGCTTTTTATATAGTACAGCTCGGAGTTTTGGTTCAAATCTTTGTACTCAAACCAACATTTGTTGTATCAGAAGAAACCTATTGCTTTAAAGCCAAGTACTCCAGACATTCCTTGTCTGCTACTCATGCCATTAACCTTGTAAACTATAGAAGCGTTTATCATCATAAAGTAAAAATAATGTACCATATTATTACAGGAGTGCTTATTATATATATATAAAGACGGAGTCCCAACCTGACGCTAAAACAGTTAAGTCGATGTTAGTGAGGTAGGGCTTTTTAACCCATACAGATCACGAATCATGACACCAATTATGCGAAATTAACTGTATAGTTCATTCTACCGGTCTAAATCGGGCGTAAACTGACACGGTAAAATTATTTCTTTATGGTTATCCGACGTTCAATATTGACACTTGTTAAGGACAAGAAACCCACACTCAGCTGGTATAACGTGTCTTGTTTTACCAGTAACTATAGACGGGTATGTATGTAAACACCACATCCAGAACTTCGGCGGCCTTGTTTTATAAACTACCCGCCATAATGCTATTTCATCCATATAAAACATGAAAACGAGAAAACTGGAAATAATTACACAGAAATTCAATTAAAACACAAATAATGTCGACTATGGTATTCAATATTTAATGTTGATTTTGTGGGTCGGTTTCACTTGCCATTGACAATGCTAATACATCCTAGATCAATAAGTAGATGGCAATGGGGTGTATGTATTGTTTCCAGGCTTACATCATTAGTAGTGTTGACGATTGTATTATATGACAACAAACTCGTTTATTCGTCAGTGATAACGGGTATCGACCTGGG